TTTTTCTCCCCTTTACTTTGAACTAATAATGTATTTTTTTTTTTTCCTCTCTTTTCTTTTGTTCTTGAGGAATGAACGTGGTTGCATCCATGACTGGTCTGATTTATGTGGCCGCGGTGTAAAATGCGTCAGTTTTTATGTGCTGTTGTTTTACCCTGCAGAAAATGCCCAATGCAAGCATCTATTGACTAAATAGTTCAGACTTTGGTGTCAAACAGTATTGCAGTGTTAAATATGATCCAAAGTATAAATTACACATGGGGTTTAGAAATATGAAATACTGCTGGAATGTAATTGAGATTCTGCGTCGTAATTATATCGACATATATAATAATCTGGCTGTTGTTTCGTTTTGGTAGAGATGACGAGGAAAACCCACCGAATAGCTCTGCACTATAAGTGAGGATAACATTCAAGAGTACCTATTGACAGATTTGGCCTTTGCTCTTTTCCTCACAGTTCATGGCAAATCGTGGCGACAGTCTATCGTATAAGAAAAGGCTCTTGACCACAGTAAAAAACACACAATTTCTCAATAAATGCCATTCACAGCATACAAACATAACCAAGCAATGAAAATAACATCAGCCAGATAAGCCGCTTTCATGATTAGCTATCGATCAATCAGACTTGCCATATTCAACGAGCGACAAGCTCGTCACAGAACCAATTCAAACAAACCGCTCATCGCAATTCAAAAAGCAATATATTCTATTCAGCACTTCATATGCTGGGCGAATCTCGCCATGTCCGCTGCCGAAATCACCGCCATGCCGTATACGCGGTTATGTCTGCTCGGACTCCTTCCCCAATGTTCCAATATGTACAGCTATCCAGCCAATTTTAGCCACAGAGTCCCCTATGCGCGGCCATCGCTCTGCCCAAAAACTCCATTATCTCAAGCCAGTTATGCCAATGTCGGCTTGCTGCCCCCCTCAAATCCAAAACGACTGCGATGTGATTATTATTCAAGTATAAGGAATGATGCGATCGTGTCATGTTGTGACCGTGGTACGCGTAAATGTCCTCCCCAGCGCTGCTCATGGGCCGTCGTCTCGTCTCGTGATGAAGAGTTTCGAATCTCAATCTCAACGGCACCAACTTGGCGGCCCCCTTTTACTTGCTCTTATGTTCCCCCCCTTCTCCCTAAAAACAGAAAGCTGCCAACGCCATCCTGGTATCTCGAAAGGCGACAAGACCCCAAAATCTTTTGTTTTTTTTTCTCATGTACGAACCGAAGCGGCAAATATTCATATAGTTGTCGTGGCGCTCCGATCTTTCTAAAAACCAAAAAAGGAAAAGAAACTAATGAAAAGAGAAGACCTGTCCAATGCGATGAAAGACAATAAACAGAAAATCGAGCGTGTATGGAAAAACAAACAAGCCAAAAAAAAAAAAAAAAAAAAAAGAGGGAGATTCAATCGGTTCCCTATTATGCCTCTTCAGGATCAGGATTCGTGGCTCGAAGCACCGGGGGTCTCTGGATGCGTCGTGAATAGTCGTGATCATCTCGTAGAGTATTGAGACTTTCGTGGCTACCACGGATGTAGAGACCCTGCTTGAAGGGGTCCATTCGAGGATCAATCTGGATTGTGCTGTTCCTGTTGGCAGCAGACACCGGCGAAGCTGGAGAACCGCCGTTTACGCTCATCTCAGGGGGGACTGATCCCACCATACCAGATGAGCTACCCCGGACGCTGGGGTCATCTCTGTATTCGTCCTGATTCTGCCTTCTCCGCCGGAGCCAGAAGAAGAGGGCAGCAGCGATGAGCGCCAAACCACCTACAACGCCAACCACTATACCAGCAATGGCACCAGATGAAATCCCCGACTTTGACTTTTTGGAAGTGGTGCCGGATTGGTCTCCGCTTGGGTCCGCTGTCTGCTGGGGAAGACCACTGCTGCCGCTGCTGCTGGAGCTCTGCCCACCGGATGATGATGACGACGAGGGCGGGGGCGTGGTACTGGCAGAGGACGAGGAGGACGACGACGTGGAGCTCGACTATAAAACACGTTAGCTATTCTGCTCTCTCACGGTATGTCAAGTTAGCATTCATAGTTTGGCGGCGGAACGGCTGTCCAGGAGTCAAGTCATACAGAGGATGAGCTACTCGAAGAAGTAGTCGACGTCTCTGATGTGGAAGAGGAGGTGGAGGAGGACGCCGAGGTGGAAGTGGACTCGGCGGTGGAAGCTGTTGTGGAGCTGGACGTTGTTGAGGACGTTGTTGACGTTGTGCTCTGCACCAGTCTTAGTCACACTATTGGTCACAATCACAACGTTCGTCTGAAATCCCAGGGGTTTCGTTCCAAACCCATCTGGTTTCTCAGAAGAACAGGCTTTTGACAAAGAAGAGGCGTTACAAAAAGTGGCGGCCAGGCCGAGAAAGTGTGCGTCCAGTCCTCCCAATGATGCTCTTGTGCCGTACATTTCATGATTGATTCCCAGTGGACAATAACACGCGTGCGCCGCCGCAAACAAAATTTCAACTTACCTGTGCTGTTGTTGAGCTTGCTGGTGCCGTGCTGGTGCCAGATGGGGCAACTTCGTTCAAGAGAATATAGCCAAACAAGCCAGGTCCACCGCAGTCTTCTGGCTGCCAGGCTGGACAAGGCAAATTGCACTTTTTGGTGTCGACAACCGAGGCTTGGTCGGGATAATAGTTTGAGCACCAGCAGGAGTTTTGCTGTGTGATGGAGAAGGCGTAATTTTTCCTTGTACAGAACCCTCCACAGAGTCCGTTGGTTTGGTATATACTGACGTCTATTGAAGAGTTAGATGACTGGTCTCGTTGCTCTATCCATAACAAGCCGACTTACTCAATGGCGTCTGGGCCGTGTTGAAACTGGCACAAACATTAACTTCTATAGCAGAAACCAATGTTGTAAAGGCCAGAAGCAGCAGAACCAGATGGCCCTGTTGCAGGCCACTGTTCCTTGACGAGGCCATGGTAAATATTTGAAAAGAGTCGAATGGGTGTTAAATTATCGGTCTCGAAGGTGCAGACTTGATAGCCATGCAAATTTGAAACACGCTTTCCCTTGAGGGTCGGTCGTTGACGTGACTTCCTTTCCCTTTTGTTTATCTTTCCTTCTGCCTTTTTAACCTTTCCTGCAATGTTTTTGTCGATCAAATGGCTTCTTAGACACAAGCCATAACCGCCTTTTCCTGGCAGATTTTCAAGCCGCGTCCAGTGCTGGACTCGCTCCGAGACGCAACAATCGAGATGCGAGAGCACCAAGGTCGGCTCTTGGTATCGTACCCAAAACCGATATTATTGAATAAATTGCGCAGTAGTATTGTGTGGGAGATGTCTTGGTTGAAAAGCCGGAGAGGGCGTTGTTCAAATCAGAGACAACGGCCTAGAAACTGAAGACTGGAATGCTTCGTAAACAAGCGTGACGTTGTCGTCGAGGCCGTAAATCTTGGGGGATTGGCGACAAGGGCGACTGGAATGTGCGGCTCGAACGCAAACAGGCCGTAAAAAGCGTTTGCAAGCAGTTGCAAAGATCCAAAGCAGCACCGAAGAAGGCGGACGAGATTAATAAGTGGCAAGCTCGAGAGGCCGCTCGTATTACCCAATAAGGATCTGTACCAAGGCCAAAAGATTTCGCAAACAGAAATCAAGTATTAAAAAGGAAAATAAAAGACAAAAAAAAGAAAGGACTCCAAAAAAAGGAGGATAAGATGGGCGGCTAGCAAGCGGAGACGAGTAAAATGTCTTGAGCTAGAGACTACCGAGGCCGCCTTTTATTCTGCTGGCAGATGCCAAACCACTCTGGGAGATGATTAACAAGAAGCTGGCAGTCGGGTGTGGCTGAGAAGCGATGGCGAGAGGCGAAGGGCTGCGGCAGCGAGGGCGTTTGCTGATGGAGGGGGAGATGCAGCCAGTCAAGCAGAGGAACGACTCCAGGGGAGGTTGGAGATGGTAGATGGTAGATGGTAGAGGAGGAGATGAGGAGGGAAAAAAGAGAGAGAGGGAAAAAGAGTAGAGAGAGGTGGTATTATGGAGGTTTGCCTGTCTTTGGCGTTGGCTGGAGGGCAAGTACCGGGTACAAGGCCCAGCTGCAGGCCTTTTTGGGGCACAGGCTCCCTTACAGCAGGCCCCGGGAAGATCAGGTCCGAGCGCTGCAGTGACAAGTGACTGGCCTTTTTTTTTTTACGGGGTGATCCTGGTGGCCTGAGGGCCAAGTGATGGCCGGAGAGAGGAGCAGCAGGCGACTACTGCTGCACTGCAATGTGAGATAGAAACAAGATGAATTCCTAGTTGATACCATCGATGCTCTACTGCTATCCTCACACATTCTAGTACTGCATCTGCATATAGTATTCATGAGAGACGGCACCTGGATGGCTCCTTGTAGGCGTCAACAGGGCCTATAGGTCCGTACCGCTACCTGCGTGGCTGTCGCATACCCCTGGCCCATGGCGTCACTGGGGCGCCACGGGGCAGCAGATGGCGGCATCTGGCCCAGCGGGCTAGCCAGACGCCAGCGCCGCTAGAGGCCGTGCGGAGGGTCGCAAAGACAAGCCACAGTGGGTGCGCAGTTTTTGGCGGCATGGGATGCTGGCCCGGAGCTGCTTTGGGTCGCCGTCTGCGATCGAGCGCAGCGATCTTGCTAAAAGCATCGCGCAAATGCCCTGTCCGGAGCAATGGACGATGTTGGCTAGCAGCGTCGTCAACTGGCTAAAGCAAAAGGGTAGCACACACACACGCACAAAGTAGGCAAGGGAGGCGATAGTTGATGCAGGTTTATTACTGATACCGTATTTCGCACGGGATATCATTGCCGGTTCCAGTGTTCAGGCTCAAGCCACACTTATTTATATCAGGCTGTGGCTGTAGAAACCACCTTGCCTGCGGGGATACACACAAACTTGAACGGCTCTTGAGCTGCCCGGTATTCCATGACGCGATGATGAGCACAGAGAAGCAGAGCGTGCATAAGAATCTTTATGCATGCAGTGGATTGCATCACAAACCAATCATTCATTCACAAATATGGATGAATACCCGCGTGTAGGTATCTCTGTGCCTGTGGCTGAGCTGCGGATAGCAAACGGGAAGGTTTGTGGCTTGACACTGGCACGTTGATGTGCATCCAAGCCTCAGCTCTTCTTCATCGTCAACTGAAACGGCACGACGAGGCCCGCCTGGCTGACATTGAAACTTTTGCTATCCTGTGGCCTATTCCGTATTGGACTGACACGGCAGCTATCGAAATGTCCATCAACCGACTCTGGACCGCTAGCTGTTACGGAGCCCCAGAATACTAAGACAATGGATGGCGCTCAAGTTTCGGTCCATACCGTCAGCAGCGCCCGTGTCCCAAAACACCTAAACAAAGCAATCGGCAGCAGAAAAACATTCAATTTCAGCACAGGTACCGGTACCTGCACTCGCACCGCCGCGCCAGCAGTGCTAGTGCTGGGGCTAGTGCCTGTTGCTTATAGCAGGAGGTGGCAAGGAGCCACAGACAGCGTCCCAACCAGGCAAGTTACATTGGAGAGCTCCCTGTGAGCGCTGGAGCTAGCAGCCTAGGCCTGAATTCAATTCAATTCATGGCTGTTGATGCCACGCCTTGGACACCTGGGTTCTCGATACCCAAGTCTCCATCTCCGCCATGGCCAGAGAGCAAAGACAAAAACACCTCAACATCAACTGCCAATCTTTCCGTACCGAGTTGCCGAAGCCGCACCGCAAAGGACCGCAGGCTCCGTCCGCACCGAGCCACAGGCCGCGAATACCGCTCGCTCGCTGCAGAGGTCACGGCACCGAACAATACGAAACCCCTGTGCTGTGGTCGAATACGAGGCACAAAAGATGACCGCGTGTGGGCTGCTGCTCGTACGGCAAAGCGTGCTAGTAACCCTCGGCCACGGCCAGTGTGGCTCAACCGCCCAATGGCGCCCAAGAGCCCAGCGCACGTCGCCGTTCCTTTGACGATTTGGACGGCCGTGGATCCAGAGCTGCATCTCGGACATGTGCCCACCCACACACGCACATTCGCTTCGGCCTGCGCTATGCCGCTCGGGGCATGTATCATGGATTGGCCTGGACGACTAGCCTCGTCCGACTGATGGACGATACGAAGAGGACGGGATCACGCGGTTGGAGAGCAGGAGAACGCGAGAGATAAGCAAGAGCACGAGTATCGAGAGATGGTGCCGTGATCTGGTGACAATTGCCGCCATTGCAATTGACAGACAATCGCAGAGACCGATGGCAGACGCGCTGTTGATTGCAATGGCGATCCGCCAGACCAAGGCCGCTCTGGGACGATCAGGGGAACGCTCCAAGCTCTGTCACCTCTCTCTCGCCTCGCACACCGGAAGCCAAAAAAGAAAAAAAAAAGTTTCTCGGGACCGGTCCATGACGATGATAATTTTGGATGCACGGGAAAGCAGGGACCGGGGCTTCTGCTTGGGAGTGGGGATGGTGGCACCGCATGCCTGACCCGGTTGCCTTTGTTCTTGTCTTTTTCGCTGCCGCCTTCTGCTACAGCTGCTACAGTACAGTACGATGCCTCGTTGCCCCTGTCGACTCGGATCGACAACAAGTACCTGCTACTCCGGACGAGCACGATTTGACACGGGCGCAGCCGTACGAGCTCATCACCCGTACTTGAGGACATGGCTCCGCTGATTCAAAGGCAACGCCCGACACACATGCATCGGACACAGCTGTCAACTGCCCCAGACTCTTAACTGCCTTGAATCCGCTGTTGTTTGGCGGTCACAGGCGACGTGAAAGTGTTCCGTATCCACGCGTATTCCGCGCACTCTGGCTGGTGGCATCGGAAACAGACTGACCCCGCGCTGGTGCCCTTGATTTCGCTCACACCGATGAGCCACACTCAGCTCGTGGACCCCATCGATCTTTATTTTGATTGACAAAGCCATGAAACCGATTGCTTTTCCAGAAAGGCAACTACGTTGACAAAGGATGCCATCCAGCCGTCGTCTTATGTCAGCCGCTTGATACGACGCATTTCCTTACCATTCGGCTTAGCAGAGAGCATGGATCGCAGCTCCATGCTCATACGAGCGTCGTGTACTTGTGAAAACCACCGACATGTCGATACTATCTGTTCCCCGCAGTGGTCTCAAATTCGCCCGGCAGGTCCTATCTGCGAGCAGTTGGCCAGGTCTCGGCAAAATAAACATAAGAGCCCCCCCCGCAACCCACGCGGCCTTACATACAGCCACAAAGGTCCATGACAGGAACCTGTTTTGTGAGGGCTGCTCTCTTGCATTGGCCAATAATGGGCAGCCCCCACGGTTCGTCTTCCCCTCATCCCAACCTCCTTCACCAGCCTCCCCATACGCGCAGCCTTTGCAAAGGGAAAAAGATGGGATGTTGCAGGATTTCTGGTTTTGGCGGTGGACCAATTCACCCTGTTCCGAGTAAGACCATGCCGGATGTCACGGCGTTGGCTCTTTGAGCTGATCGGCGTTGATAAGCGGTCGACCTAGGACCGCGCTGCCGAATCATATCATACGATGCGCTTCACTCGAGTGCGCTGTGGAGAGTTTATGCGCATGCGGCAGGTGATTCCATGTATTGAATAGGTAATTCTTGGGTCTGACGACGAAATTCTTGTCCTAAATCTGGCATGGTGGACCACCAGTGCTCTCGATGCTTGGCACCCGTATACACCAAGGCAAAAAGTTGCAGTATTTTGGGAGAAGAAGAAGCAGCCAAAATCTCATCATATCCGGCGCATCGACGTTTTGCAAGTTGTCGGTAGAGGGACCGCGGCTTTCAACAAAAGCATATGAAATTGAACCTTGTTCGGCTATCTGAGGTCAGAGGATGACGCCGTGTTTGCCGATCTATAGGTCACAAATGATCGACAAGCTAGAGAGATGGATCTCTTGTTATTGGGAGCAACCGCGCCGGGTGTTTCAGAGGCCGACAACTGCCAATTGCCATGTGAACAGCAGACGCTTGAGCCACTTGGATCGAGAATTTTTTTCCCCTCGCGCGTATACTACAAGTGCGAGATGGAGGTCAAGCTCCATGCTTCTACATATTGTGATCTATGATGCTGTGTATGGTGGGTTATGGCTCCATATCGTTTCATGCCACGCTTGCTGGAACCATCACATCACATTCTGCTTGCGGTGACCAATTGACTGCCTACAGTGGTCCATTGGAAGATTCGATTCCAGGAAAGCTGTGCTGTCTACCCACTGAACCATGTTAGCGTTGCTGCTACTGATACAGGCTAAAATGAAGCTCCGTGACTGGCGGGCCACGATTGTTAAAAGTATGGAGCAGCCCCAATCGAGACGCGCGCGCCCACTGAGCCGGAGCAAATGGCTCGAGTCAGTCTATTGTCTGCTGCTGTATCAAATCGTCGATTCCATTGGGTTTTGGCTTTCCGTGAGCTGCCAATGAATGTTCTGAGGGTGCGTGCTCATTGGACCCAATTGGGATAACAGAAGAAAAATGTTGGTATAATCGTATGCGCTGGGGACAAACGCATCAGAGACAAGTAGCCGTCATATTGACTCTCTTGATTTGTCTGTATATTCCGATTCCCTGGCTTCCGAGGTGGTGAGATTCCATCCCCTCTTGATCACATACTTGTACAATACCTACTGTACATGTCCGACTCGTGCTCGGTGGCTTGGCCCTTGAGCTTGCAAACGCGGCCGAATCTACGGGAAGCTTCCAATAGCTCAAAGCTTCATGTGAGAGCTTTCCCCTTATTGCCATGAAGCCATAGCAATAGAATCCACCGACGAGGCTTGCCCGCTCCAGGGTCCATCCCTAACGTGCGCAAAGTCTAAAGCAGGGAGACCCCCCATAAAAGACAGCAAATGGTATTGATTTTTTTTAGTTGTGCGAATCTCGGGGCTGAAGTTGCCTCGCGCCGCGCGCCAAATCAGCGCCCGCGAATACGAGAAGCCGCTTTTGAATATCGAGGGTGAGGGTCTACTCTAATTTGCGGTAGCGCGGTGGGTAGAAGGGCCTGTTCAGCTGAGATGGACACATCTGAGGCCCGGGATTTACCACTACGGTAAGTAGTGCTACAGGTCTCCGATGGAGAAGAAATTGCTGTTGTTTGACACTGGAGCTAATGAGGGCAGTTGACGGGCCAAAGTGGCGCGTACATTAGTTGCCGGATTGAGAGTTGAGACTCGTATCCCCTTGTTCAAGAAGGATTTCCTTTGTGAGATGCATGACAGGGAGGGTCGGGAATCTGAGAGAGAAGAAAAAAAGGGGGATTGAGTGAGTGAGATCTGATAATTACTGAGGCTGAGCAATTTGGATCTTTGATTCTCAATCAGAAAAAGCCGATCCTGAACTCTTGTAACGTTTGATAGGACCGTGAAGACGGCACAGGGGTGATTTTGATTTAAAAAAAGAAAAAAATGGCCGTCGACTTGAAGGGAAAATGTGGGGGGTACCTTTTATGCTTGAGAGAATCTTGGGCTGTAAATACGACAATACGAAGTGGTGCTGTATTTTCTTGTCAAGATGTCAGTTGAATTCTGATGGATGTGATGCGAGTTGGGAGTTTTGGAGGTGAAGTTGACAGGGTTTGCTTTTGGCGGTGGCTGATTTTGAGGCTTGTCTCTGTGCTGCCTCACACGTGGGATGAATTGGTGGAAGTCATGGGTTGGCTTGAACCTTGAAGCCTAAGAGCACGTTTTGGTATGTATGGCTGGAATTGCATTCAAGGACAAGACCATCTCAAGGATATTCATGGGTGGGTTTTATTGAATTTATCAAATCTCATTTGTTGTCTTGTACTACTTGGGCGAATGGTGTTATAGCATACAACAGCCAGTAAGGCTTGCTGTGATTCCTAGCAGCAATAGCACTGTATTTGCAGGACTGCCGTGATTTGCCCGGGGCATTTTCGGCGCCGGCCTGCTAAGAATATCTTCCGGTTACGCACGGCATCGCATCGCATCGCATCGCATTTGCATTGCATCATCACCATCCTTTTCTTTGTCTGCGTCTCTGATTCTGCCTTTTTTTTGCGACCACAACAACAGCGACCATTTTGGCCTTGGCTGGCGTATATATCGAATTGGGCCGTCTGGGTTATATCTACTGTGTCTGGTTTGTTTGTCTTGTCTTACTGTGTGTGCTGTTACTAAACTCTGACTTGATTACCCCAGATATTACTTATCCGATGCGGGTCACTGCCTGTTTGCCATAGATCGGACCGTTGTGTCTGGACGACCTCCTTGCTTTGCGCGCTCCGATCCTTGCATTGCAATTGGACACCGAGACGAGACGAGACGAGATACCAACCACCATCGGCAACGCAACGATAGAAACGAGTGCCGGTGTCGCATCGCATACAAACCGCCGTCACCATGGGCGCAATATCACTCCCCGTCAAGGCCCTCAGCCCTCACCAGCCTCATCTCCATCCGCCGCGCCGCCGCCGCCTCTCCTCCAGCCTCATGGCCGTGATCCTCCTCCTCGCCACGGCGCTCTTCTACGCGCTCGTCTCCCTGGGCTCGGGGCCCTGCACCGCCGGCGCGACCTGCTACCGCGGCTACCAGTCCCTCTACAGCTTCGACGCCGGCAACGACGATCACGCCGCCTGGATGGCCGCCATCCCCGACGACGTGCGCATCACCAGCCTCAGCATCCCCGGCACGCACGACACCATGACGTACGAGATTGAGTCCGAGCAGCTGCAGTGCCAGAACTGGAACCTGAGCATGCAGCTGCACAGCGGGCTGCGCTATCTGGACATCCGCGCGAGGCTGAGGGACGACGAGCTGCACATCTACCACGCGGATGGATACACGGGCTTCAGCTACGAGCAGGTGTTGTTGTATGTCTTTGCCTTTCTGGACGAGAACCCTTCCGAGGCCATCATCATGCGGCTCAAGGAAGAGGGCAGCCCGCTTGGCCACAACACCATCTCCTTTGAAGACGCTTTCCACTATCACCACTACGCGGCGCCCCTCACCGCGCCCGGGTCCGACAAGCACCTCCACAAGTACGAATTCGCAGCGCCCATCCCCACGCTGGGCGCTCTACGCTCCAAAGTCTTCATCCTGCAAAACTTTGACTCCCGCGGCGGGCCCTACGGCCTGCAGTGGGAAGGCCCCGAAATGGTCCTCGAGGACCTCTGGATCATCCCGGACGTGTACCACCTGTCTGAGAAATGGTCCGCCATCCGCGACGCGCTGGAGAACGCCGCCCTGGCCCCAGACGACAACCGCTTCTTGTACCTGGCGCACACGAGTGCTTCGGTGGGCGTCTTGCCCATCGAGGCCGCGGCCGGACCGATGAATCGGACGATTCAGGGCATGAATGACATGACGGGGCAGTATCTCGACGATGCGTCGGGCAATGTCGACGAGGCGAGGGTGGGCGTGGTGATTATTGATTTCCCGGGGAAGAAGCTGATTAGCACGATTTTGGAGTGGAATGTCTGGCTGAGGCAATGATTGGGACTATAGTATCATGATGACGGGTTGCTGCGACTTGGATTTTTGTTTTTTTTGCATTCTTTTACTGAGACATGGCGTTTATTGATTTGGATATACATGCATACATACTAGTACTACATAGGACAGTATTGGAAATGAATTAGACGCAAAGGATTGGAATTTAACGGAATTTTTGATCAATTTTTTGCTTGAATGATGCCCAAGATAACTCGTATATATACTCATGCGCACATACATACATGCCCACCACCCGAAATACATCCCATCCATCCATCCTCCCATCTCTCCATGCAAGACCACCTATATATATATATACACACATGCAAATAACAGCACCATTAACTCGCCGAAATACACAAAAACGCTCAGTTAGCTACACTTCCAAAAAAAAAAAGACGAGAGGGTGGTATGTAAAAACTCCAGATGGTCTCCAAGCCATCCATATATCCCAACACATGTCCCTTGGAATATCCCTTAATAAACAATAGATAAAGAGAAGAAAAAGAAATCCTCATCCCCCCCCATCTTAAAGATCATATCCTGTTCGCCAGTCTTCCCCCCCTTTACATTTTCTTCCTTGCTAATGCTGCCCAAGCTGTTCCTGACTCCGCATAGACTTCTTGCTCTTGATGGTCCGCAGTCCTGGCGTTCCTGCCCTGCTCACCGAAGGACTGTTATCGTTACTATTATGGTTGGTGCCAAAACTCTCGAAGCGATCAACCATCTGCAGCACTCTCGTCTTGGGCCGCTCAAACGTCATGGCTTCAGCCGTATACACGCTTGCTGATCGCGCAAACGACACATCTGTTGCGATAGAAAGCGGTCTTTCACTCCTGTCGTCCCGGTCGCTTTTTTCCTCGAAATCCTCTTGGTTGATCCTAAGGAAGCCGTCGTCGCGATCTCTCTCGTCTACAGGTACACCTCCGCCTTCGTCATCCAGATGAGAGCTGAGTTTGCTGGCGCTGCGAAGTGAAGGCTCGACTTGCGATGACCGCTTGTCCATGTCAACGAGCTCCGCCGTCTGTGGCATATGGAGAGGTATTCTTTCGTCGGTGCTTGTTCCGTCATCGAAATCCTCGCCATTTACGACACGAAGACGCTCTTTGGGAACTGTAAACATGACTTGCACGAGGCGGTTCTCCACGGCTCTTTCAATATCCCAATCGTTTTCTCTCCCTGCAGCACTGCCAGCATCTGCACCTTCCCAATCCTGGCGGCCCTGTTTTCTTCGGAGAATCTCGCTGCCTATGGCCGTGAGCGGTGTCTCATAATCGTTGCTTAACATATCCGTCGAAATTTCTCTCTGAGGAGATCTGTCCCTAGGAGATAATAATTCGCCCGAATTGGACTCTGCTCCAGAGAAAACGCGTCTCAAAGAACCCAGCCAATTCCTCCGAGGCTTGAATTTTGACGGTGAGCTAGGCGGTTCGTCTTCGTCGAATGGGTCTTGAGGCGTTGATCGACCGAGCAACAGATTGGGGCCTTCTGCCTGTAAGGCGCCAAATCCTGATTTCGCTGTGTTGTAGCTGCTAGAAGAGGAGCTGCCTGGCTTGCCTGGTTCTGTGGTGACTGATGACGTACCGCCAAAAGCACTGGTAAGAATAGCAGACCATCGACCAGAACTGGATCGTCCCAAGCCGTCTCCTCCACTGCGATTCGATTCTGATAGAGCTGAATCGGTACGGAGCTCCTCCTCCCGCATACCAGTCGAACGCTGGGAGCTTCGCCTCATGGGCGTTCCACGGCCTTGAGCTTGGCGTGTGCTGTTATATCTCGCCAACATCGCATCGGCGGCGTCAACGTCAGAAACCCAATCTTGCACGTCTGGATCGTGCTGGAATGAGCCATCTTGGTTTGGATCAGCGGTGCTTTGACCAGGGGGCGGTGGTTGGAACACTGGTAGAGCCCCTGAAGCTACAGCAACAGTTGGTGTGAGGAACGGATCAGAGTATGCGTCTGACGTGGGCGTAGTGACCTCGTTAGGATGGACACGCTGCTGAGCCAAGTCTTCTTCTTCATCCTCCATGATGGGGTGGATTTGGCCTGGAGTAGGCATAAAGCTGTTCTGGGCATTCGCCGGCATATAACCGCCACGAAGCTGCCGAGATACTGGCTTTCTCGCAACTCCAGGTACCACCGGAGCATAGCCGCCATAAGAGCCGCGCATGCCCTCATACCCGAGAGACCGGTCATCTCCGCCAAGTTGATACTGATCTGGCCCATTGGAGTACCAGCTGCGATAGCCCCAAGGGAAATTATCGTCCCGCTGGGCCATCTCGGACGTATCGTGGACAAACATGCTCGCGTCCTGGGCCATGGCCCGAATGGTCTCTTCGCGGGCAGCTCTTCTCCTCTGCCTCTTCCGCCAACAGAAACAGCCGGTGACGGCCAAGATGATGAGGAGGGCTCCGCCGCTGATGCCAAACCCAAGGCTCAATCCCAGAATCTTTGACTTGGCAGCATCACTTGTTGAGCTAGAGGAACCGCCGCCTGGGCTTTTATCAGGGGCCTTGCCCGCCGAAGGATTGTTGTACGTCGTTGACCAAGTCATGTCGGTCAAGTTTAAGAACTGCGGCGAGGTGGTGACGCTGGACTGTCGCTTCACCTTGCTGGACGAGCTGGAGCCGCCAATCTGCCACCCTCCATATGCCATCATGATGTTTCCTGGCAAGATGGCCGCGCCGTGCCCGTAGATGCCACTGCCTCCAAAATCGGGCTGCTGTTTCGGCACGGTCCACATCCAAGAGCTATATGTTTCGCTCATCTCCAGCACTACAAGTTGAGGATCCGCCGGGGTGTTTACATCGCCGACCCAGCCCCCCATGATGATAATCGAGTGTCCATTTGCGCCTAGTACGGCCGTGTGGCCAGATCTGCTATCTATGCCGTCGGCGTTGTCGGTTGGCTGCTGAACATTGATATAGGACCAGGATTCCTCGGGGAGACTCCACACAGCAGCGGTGCTCATGTTGATAAAGGCCTGCTGGGTATGGCCACCGATGACAACGTACGCCGTCTGCTGCGTGACGGTGCCAGAGTTGTTGCTCATTGAGCTCTGCAACGCGGTGAGGCTAAATCCGGCAATGGGCGTCTTAGGCCCGGTGCTTGACGCGACGCCTTGGACGTAGGACTTTGACGAAGGGCTGCTGTCGGTTGGGGTAAGAGTCATCATACTCGTGGTATAATCCGCCTCGGATTGCCAGTCCGTTGAGTTGTCCGAGGGCGTATCGCACATGCCGCCATACGAATATATCGTCGGCTCATCCAGCGAAGGGGCCAGTGTCGCCGAGAACGCAATTGTCCCTCCCAGGAAATATGGCCCTCTTGACGCGCTCTGCTTCAATTTCCCCAATGTGGTCGCCTGCTTTGCCCACGTTGCGTTACCGCTTCCCTCCCCGTAGGTCCAAACGTCTCCTGGCCCCTTATCGCATGCTCCCACATATGCCAGCACCGAGCCATCTTCTGTTCTTACCGCGCCAAACGCCGTGTTTGGTGGTTGGGTGCCGTCCAGGAAAGGCAAAAACGTCGAGACAAGATTCAGCTTTGTGTCTGCGCCAACCGAGCCCGAAATGTTGAGTGACATGAACTGTACATGGTCGTCGCTGTCCTGGGTGAAGATGTAGGCCACGTCGGCCCCGTGACATGCGCTCTGGTTGAAGCACACGCTGGGCGTAAAGATCTGGGTGGGGTTATAAGGGAAGCTGTGCGCAGAGGCCACCAGCGGAGCGCCCAAGAGCAGCGCCGCGGTCCAGAGTCGGCGCAAAGGCAGCGCCATTCGTGGTGTTGCGCGATGCGGCTGCGCGCGTCGGCGAGGAATCGCCTCTGGTAGCGCGGCCATTGATCGGTTTCGCCTCGAGATTCCGCTTCGCTGCCCGAGATGGATTTTTGGTGTTTTCGCTAGAGTTGGATTGCCTTGTTCGTTTTGTCGATCATATCATCGTGGCATGTCGATCCCTCGCAGGCTTGTCGCAATCGTGGCTCTTGGCTTCGGTCTCTCGCGTTTCCAAGCTGCCGTACTCTTTCTCTCGTCAACTTTTCAGAATCGCATCCACTGTCTGAGCCCAATATCTGATGGCTCCCGCAAAGCTCCTTCTCCCCGCAAAGATCCTACCGAGTCCGTATGGTACGCGCAGCAGTGATGGCGACAAAGCCAAAGGTGGCGGCCAATCGCCCCTCTCCCGCAAAAAGAAGCTTAGGGATGCAGCTAGAGATCAAGGGGAAACAAGGTCAAATAGAAAAAAGAAGACGTCCAAAAATGAATCAGCCTTTATTGCTTCAGCGCTCGAAAAGAAGCTCTGCGCCAAAGCGGCTGCGAAGAAAAAAAAGGCAAAAGCCAACACAACAAGCCAAAGTAAACGACGCAGGGACCTGGACCAGGCTGTTTTGGCGGGCACAAAAACACAGAAGAGAGTAAAAAAGGCCAGGCGCCAACGCGGTGGGATGCACCCCGGCGATTAGCGGCAAGCAGCAGAAAGGAAGGCGCAGCAGCGGGTGGTGATTGACAGATTCGGAATCGTCCAAACAAGGGGCAGGCGCGATAAAGGCGGAGGGAAAGAGCTAACATCGACATGGTTGCAAGTGCAAGTGCAAGGCTCAGGCGGGCTGCAGGCGGCCGTGGTTGCCGTGGTTGGACATGCACCGGGGCTGATTAGCCGCTGGCTGGCAGGCTGTTGTACGGCAGGTGCGACTGACGGGCAGCTTGTTGATAGCGTTGTATAAGCTTCACACATGTGTGTGTTAAAATATGCTTCACATCAATGCCTTGCTTTAACTGTACTCTTATCCTATTCACTCGACTCAAGTCTCATACACGCAGACAAGACAGCTCTACATCCATATCTGATGGCTCCATCACAGTGAATCACTCACTGCCTACCGTACTTCGTATATCTCTCTACTAATGATGGCTCAATTTCCTTTCCTCCCCACCCCCGTTTGTTGTCGTCGCCTGCTCGGCCGTCGTTGCCGGGAGCAACCAAAGCTTGGCCTAGCGGGAAGGGGACCCGAGCTCTCTCTCGGCTCTCCATACTAACCGCCACTACGACTAGGTACAGTAAGCCAACTGCTGCTTTGGGCGAATCTTGGCCCAGCCACCTATTACAGGCCAGGACATGTGATGCTGCGAGGGGCTGGGGTGAGCTGCGTGTATTACAGCTACTACAAAACAGGCTCTGGACTGTGATTAGACGCTGCAAATAAGAATGGCTGGAAAGGCTCACGGCAAAGTGCCATTGGCTGAGCCTTGCACATCATCCTCTGCGAATGCGTGTCACGCTGCTTTTTGTCTCTTCTTTCATGCGCTGGCTCCATCCATCTCTCCATTTACGATTCTGAACGAGGCTACACATGGGCTCCACTTACTTCTTGGCCTGGGAAATGACAGAGACCCGCGCCACCGTCAACCACCGTCCACTAGTCAGGTTTGGGGGCGGCAAGCAGAGACACTCAATAGAAACGAACAAACAAGCCAGCAGCATCCGACAAAACTGTTAGCGCATCAAATCAAGGAAAAGACTCCCTCATCCGAGACAATTCATCTTGTTCCCCATTACTACTCCTATTCATATTTGACATTATACAAAGACTGCGAAAGAAAAATGCAAGACGTGTCTTGGCCAATGGTGATACAACAAAATGCCGTTCATCTAATTCTAGGCTCCACCCCATGCCGTGTTCCTCGGAAAAGTGATATACTATCACATACAAGTATTCAAATCAAACCATTGTCCATAAGACCAATAACACGTTATCCCGTAAACAAGATGATGTTACTCTCTGTCTATTTCTTCTCCCTCTCTTTCTTCTCCCTCCTCCATTAAGACCACCATGTATATATAACGGTATATTAAAAAAAAAAAAAAGGCCAGCTATGCTGCAGGCAAAATAAAAAGGGAGAGGGTATCACGTAACAAGTCGCCTTAATAGTAAATCTTTTCCTCCCAAATGGGAGGTCGGGCTCCCTCAGAGTCCCACGTAATGTGGTTCTTCTCATCCAGCACCGCGCCCTCGTCTGTAATCTGAATTACCTTGCTAGAAGCAGCAATCTCAACCTTTGACAAGCCGGCAGGGTCCGAAGGGATCCAAAGGATTGGGGCCCTGCTCGATACAGAGGGTGGCAGGTATGCCTCAGCTACAATGTCTTCGGGGTATTCGATCGGTTCCGCAAAGTGCTTTTCGGATGTAAACCATTCGCGCAGAGTTGCGTAGTCGGCATAGATCCAAGGCTTGAAGAATCTGAGAATAAAGTTGCCCCTGTTGGCGGGAGCATTCGTCGCCACCTTGGTGCCAGGTGCCTTGCTAACGGTGTCCTCGTGAGACAACTCGTTGGTGGTCAGGCCTTCCTCGGCGCTGGTGGCACCCTCATTGCCAGCGATACGCGCGAGGATGGCTTCCTCCTCGGCCTGAAGGCTGCGTGGCAGGCCGTAGAGAAGAGGATCGAGTGTTCTCGACAGCGTAATGTGGTATAGAATGGTGAAGGCGAGGAAAATGGCCATAAGAACAGCAGGACCAGCGGCCTTGGAGACAGCAAACAGACCAACCATGCAGACCTCGGCCAAGTAAATACCAGCAAACAGCTGCTTAAGAGCACGTGGATAGATCAAGCCGTGCGTATCGATCTGGGTTTCCGTGACAAACAGGATATTGTATCGGTAGGCCAGATAGAACAGTCCCATGCCAATGGTTGACCAGAACAAGATCAAGGGAGCAATAATTGAGTACGTAATGCCTAGAAGATGGGGCGTTAATACATGTTGAAAAGTTAAAAGGGGTTATATGGAAGAAGCATACTAATGACAGCAATGTTGGTGTAAACAGGCATAACGCTGCCCCAAGAAATGGCACTGAGGCTGGTCCACTTCTTGTACATGGCTCGAGGCGTCTTGGCCAAAAACTTGTACAGAAGCGTAAAGACGAAGAAACCAACAACCTGGGTAACAACGCTAGTGGCAATCGTGAGACCTTGGACGATAAAGTAAGAAATGTAGAAATTAGATGCCGTTGGCAGAGATGAGGAGAGAATGGTGAAGACTTGTCCCGGCTGTTGAGCAATCTGAACAAGGGCTGTTGAGGCTGCGTTGGTAAAGGTTTGGACCAAGAACACCTGGATGAGCTGGAAGAAAAAGTACGAATTCTGAGTAAACAGCTCAACGCGGGACTGGGAGACTTCGCCGGCGAGTCTGGCACAGAGTCGCATGATGACGGGAACCAAAGACATGAGGATAGAGAGAGCAACTGCTGGGAGCAAGCCAGACACGACACCGAGAATGGGCTGTCTTGTAATTAGCGCATGTCATATTGGGAGCAAACGAATGTATCTCCTTGTGTTCCGAAATGGCTTACCTTGGGAATTTGTGCAATCCAAGTCAAGCCTGGAATGGACTTCAACGTGTTGACCTGGGCGATCAAACCAACAATACCAACAGGAATAGCCCAGAAGATGATGAGAGCGGCGATGAAAGCGTACACCACATATCGGCGAACGATAATCTGCCACCAGGGAAGAGTCAAACTCTTCCAGACAATTTCTTCGGGTTGAACTCCAATGGCCTTGGGGTCCATATGCAGAGCCAGGTGATGAGTGACAGACTGGAAGGCGAACTGAGCATCGCCCTGAGTCTCGAATTCGACAAAAACACCGCGGACCTTTTCGAAGTTACCAGCTCGCCAATCGGCTTGGGCCTTTTCAATCTCGGGGACCAGTCGCTGCAGCTCAGAGCGGCACCATTCGATAGTGTCGACCTTTTTGCCAACGAGACCAAGGAGACCCAGACGGTGGTGCGGCCGTTTCTTGTCGGCAATCCAGCGGGAAGCAATGTCACCAGTCTCAACATCGCCATCTTCGGTGTTGGCAGTTACCGGACCTTCGGACTGAGGTTCTCCGCCATTCTTCAGAGCTTTGACGCGAGCCTTGTTAACTTCTTTCAGAAGACTGATTTCGCCCTTTTCAAGCTTCATAGCTGCATCGTCTCGCTTCTCCACAAGCTCGTCGAGTTCATCCGTCTTGCCACAGACCCAGACGTTCTTGACCGCAGCAAACATGCTGCGAATGCGGGCTTCGTTGTTGTATTCATCCGGGACTGATGTGAAGAGAACGGTACGGGCAGAAATTCGCTTGGCATAGTGCGGGTTGATGTGGTGAGCCTGTCGCAAGTTGATGTAGAAGATGCATTCGCGCGTGATCATGTACATGAGGAAGCCATAGACGGCCCAGCCAACAAAGGTATGGGCATAGAGATAGTTCTTCTTGGTGTTGATGTCGACATTGCTGTACGATAGAATCTCGAGCTGGGACAGTCCTTTGCCTCCAGTGGCGTTGACAGGGAAGAGAATAGGCCAAGTGATGAGAAGGCTGACAAGACAGATGACGAAGCAAATGCGCAGGTATCGGAGGAAGAGATAGGCGTCGAGGCTCTGGTGAGTGAGAACATAGGCATCGGGGATCTTCCAGAAGGCGGAAACCCAGGTCAGTAGATTGCTGGGTATACTTGGTGTCCGCTGACTACATGGGCGTCAATATCAAATCAATCCTCAACCTCACTACTTCGCCAGAGAGGTTACTCACTCTTCTCGTAAAGACCCCAGGTATGTACGCGGCGCATAGTAGCGCCGTTGTGATTTCCTAAGAAACAGGAAAATGATGATGTAGATGGCTGATACAACTAGTACGGGAATCAGAGTATCAACCATGCCTAACATACCACGCGAGTTCAGTCAGCCACAAATTAAGTCTATTATTTTGCATATCCCGATGAAGCTTCAGCTTACCCCATGCCGACTCGGGCTGAGTGCCTTGGGCCGACCCTTGGTTGGAATCGGGAGCCAAGTTCTTGTCGAGCCAGCTGATAAAGTTGCCCATTTTGGCGTCGTGGTCGCAGCCCTTGCCGCGCGCGTCAGCTGGTGCTCAGTGCTGAAAGGGCCGGTGTCGAAGATGTATGAATCGTCGTCGTGATCAATAAAGAAGAAGGAAAGAAAATGTGAAATCGAATTGAATGCCAAGTGCAAGGTGCAAGCTAACAAGGGAGAGCGGGCAGGGCAAGGATTTTGAGATTCAACAAGATTGCCAAGTGGAGAGCAAAAGGCGGGATAAACAACGCCAACCAGAGGTACAAAAGTACTCTTGTATCGACTTTAGCAGATTGATCAACAATCGATCTGTCGATGGCGACGCAACGAACAGGGAAGGCGAGTTCCGGAGTCCTCAGCTCAGCGGCAGTGGGTGCCGGACAAGAGGTTAAACGCGTAATTCGTCAAGGAAAGGCACGAGCTGAGTTGTGCTCCCCTTTACTATGCCCTTTTTCTCCCTCTTGACCACTGCCCGAGCTAGCCAACAGTTAGTGCCATGTCTTTTTCTTCTCATCCCCTCCTGATGAGTTGGCTACGCCACTAATAAGACACTGTCTCAGCCAGGCAAGGACCCGGCTGCGGCGCCAACTTGCCGATCTAGCCTTTGTGTGGGCCAAGCAAGAGGAGAATAAGGAAAAAAAAAAAAAATTTGCTATACGTACTTGTTTGTTTCTATGCTCAGAGAGGAATTAGATCCTAGACTTGCTACTATTGGAGCTTGGATTGTGGCTTGGCGGGTAACGAACGGATGGTCATACCAGACGACCGAATGACAGACGTGCAACGTCGGGAAAGTTGGACGCGAGAAACAAAGCTGAGAAGAGACAAACAAGTCGAGATAGCCAGCTGTTGCTGAGCTGTTGGATATGCAATTATTCGCATGCAGCCTGCGCCTCCCTCCTGATTGTCTCCCCAATCCCGCTCCTTCAACCCTAGCGGCAATTTCAGGTTTTTCTTGTCTCTCTCTCTATCTTTGTCCTCCTTGGTTTCAATATAATCTCATTTCCCCCTCCGGGAGGGGCCACCGTTCGATAACTCGTGGCTCGTCCCCTGCTCGGCTGGTGTTAGCCTGCATTGGCGCTGCGGCTTCATCCCTGCTCAGCTGTGCTTTTGTGGGCCATTTGACGGCAGAGTGCGACAAGGGCACTTCAATCTCGTCATACCCTTGGCATAGGGAAAAAAACTTGGTTTTGAAATCAGCGTTGCGGCAGCTCCTAATTCGCTCTGGTGAAAAGCCTGGCTTCGAGGACGCCGAGGGTTTGGCGCCACGCGCGGGCTTGGCTCGCCCCAAGCGAAAAACACACATGAATAGTCGCTCGTCTTATTGTCTGGAATAAGCTTTTCAGAGCGGTCTCTTAGTGTCGGCTCGTTGCGAGTTTGCCATCGTGTCAGGCCAGATTCCCCCACAGGCAAGGGGAACGAAAGGGCTTGTTGCACGGCGTCAAGACAGAGCCGTGAGCCCCACGAGTACCCAGCCCGTCGGAAATGTGGCATTTCTTCTCTCTTTTGACATTTTCACATGGCATCCATGCCGCAGCGATACGGAGACGTGCATCTCACGGTTGCATGCAGCATCAGCGGTGGACCGACGAGTACGGCCGAGCGAATGAATTCGCCTAGCCCAAGGTTGCAGCCATAGTTTGCGACTGTCCTGCGATTGTCTCACACGAAAATGCTGTTGCAAAGCATCAGGTTTTCGTATACGGCGGTGCCACTAAGCAGCAGTGAATCTCGTCCACAATGGAGTTTAATTGTGACCAGCAGCGGTCCCTTCTTCTCGGGTGTTCCACATTCCGTCCGTGCTGTTGGGTCGTCAGTTGTCAGTTCTCGCATCAATTCCGGCCTCTGTTCCTCAGCACGTACATACGTACATCCATCCGCAACGATCCCGATCTCTCAATCCTGGGCGTCCGGCTGCAAATCGAGTCGTCCGTCGCCAAGCTCTGTGAATGTGGGTGCCACACCAGTTGATGGCAGTTCTGCGTCATCGGTTGCACAGATGCAAAGTGGCCTGTCGGACAAACGTCGGCTGCCGGCCAGGGCCTTGTTAGCGCTGTAGCGAGGCCTGGCCCAGCTGAAGATGCACCTTGGACGTTCTAGACTCTAAATAACTGGGCAGCATCATCAAGGCGTGGCACATGCATGCAGCCCCTAATATCTGCATCAAGAGCCAAGTGTGGCATAAAATATTACTAGTGGGGTGTGCTCTTCAAATTGATGAAGTGACTTTTGCGTATCATCCCTCCAGGGCCGACAAATTTGCGCGCAAAACAAGAAAACGTACAGGATGCGCACTAAAGCCTCTATCCCTCTAATCGCTCATTCTTAGAGATACCTCGGCTGCATGCTCGTCCCCAGCATATCAAACGATATCGCATCACTCAATCGATAGATGGAATAGTGACGATGAGACCCTGTTACTTTGTAGGCGTCATTCTTGGTCGATCCCAGCTGTGGCCCAGTTTACTTCGGCCGGTTCATTTCGTTGTCTCATCCCGCTTGTCGATCATGAGGAGGTTAGATCCGAATGCTAGTAACGTCATCCGTCTGCACACAGCTATGGAGCTAGATCTAGGTAAGAAAAGCCATCTTGGCTACGATTATGTATATCTGTAAACACACGCGATCCGTGATACCGCTTAGTTTCGGGTTCAATAAACCTTAGCAGTGAACGCAAGACGGGCCGAGATCTCCCCCTTGGCCCCCGCAAAGAAACGAGTGTGAAGGGCAGATTGGCGTACTGCATACATATATTACCTACTTTCGACACTCAGAAATACTGTACGATGCAGATACAGAGACAGCGGCCTTTGGTTATACAACTGCTGCCCGAACAAGGAAATGGTTTGTGCTCAGTCACACTAAAGAAGTTTGCATGTAGTGAAGCTGTTTATCCATGGACCGTCTGCACCTGTGTCCATTGTATTCAATTGGCTTCTATACATTAACAGGCAATAACTTTTCGGAAACGTTACACGACAATCTATGACTAGTGTGAATTATCGCTATTCCACAATCCTGATATAGGTACGCTGTATTTGGGTTTGGTGTAAGGGCTGTAGCATGTACTGCACTTTAGATCGTGAAAATTGGCCATATGTGTGTGCATCCTCTTAATAGTAATTGGAAGATCTTTGTTCCCACTTGCCCTATGTTCAATAGGCAACTTCAAGTTATAGTAGGGCTCAAAATGATCAGACTTACACATTCTTTCGGGACAATATTCACAAAGCTCATGCCTAAAACTACATGGCATGGCTATTAATATATACGCACTACCCACACGCTGGTAAAGATAAAAGATAAAACCTAAATTAGCTGGCAGATAAACATATATCTGATTTACGCCAAATAAAAAGCGCAGCATGAATTCTGCAATGATGCCCGCAAGAGAGATGATTTACACTGTTCCAATCGTTAACAGCATAGATATTCTTGGTTGGAGTTGGACATGGCGTTGCGTTATGTCAGACTTTGGAGTTTTATTGGTAGCATAATTGCTGATTAATGCTGAGGCCTGTACAATTGAAACCAGCAAAGTGGACGATGATGGCGGCATTAGTTGAGCGAGTTGATTGAGTGGCTTGACATATACGCTATTCACAATGTTAGCAAAGCTAAACACCGTATACAAATAGTACAGCTAATATGACATAAAGCAGAAATAGTTCAGATTAAATTCAATATACAGCTATTCTCTAAGACTGCCTTTGTATGTACTTTCAATGGCAGGTGATTCTCTTGTTGTTCGTCACTATCTCAACGAGAAGCTTGGATACTCTGCTCTGCATTGAATGAAAGCAGAAGGACTCATATGAATAGGTTTCCGTATCTGTGATTGCATAGGCCGGAACAATAAGCGGTCAAGCATAGTTCAAATGTGAACCTTGCTCTGTCAGTTTTACTTCGCTTCTGGATGGCCTGCGCTGTAGTTGTGAAGCTAATGTAGAGTAAGGATGGATCTTATAGTGCGTGCTATTTACAGCAATTGAGCAAATCTAATGACTAACATGAGATCTACTTATATAGAGTTGAGTAAAGCTTTGGAAGTTTTTACTAAAAATTAGACCGTTGTAGTGGGTAGAAATGGACCCCCCAATGTTCGTGTTGATACTCTCAAGATGCAAGTTTCGAATTGCAAATGGCCATTCACCTACCGGACAGGCGCACTAGCCGATAATCTTATTAATATGAGAACTGAGTGGTCAAATACGGCTCTTCTATGATGGATGTCCTTTCAAAGCCAGAACGTGAAATTTTCCACCTTCGTTACAGTTATTATGAGAGTTTGTCTTTTGTCATGGGCACTTTGCCAATGACAAACCACACCAAAGATCAGAGACAATGTCTAATAGGATCCAGAATTTGATGCCTGTGTATCGTAGTTGTTACTGAGCGAAAGGCGAAAATTTGCAGTGAGGCATATACGGACAAAGGTTCAACATTTTGACGTATTGGGAAATTTGCAGCAGCGACTGCAATTTACTGGAAGCTTTGCATGTACATGTACTTACAATTCACTTCCCTCTGAATTGAATGTGTCTAACGTAGGCATCTCCCAGTTTTCTCCATCTATTAAGTATTTATTCTAGTCTCGTTCTAGCTTATATAAAAGGGTTACAACTTATTTTACTGTATATGGTTTGCTTGACTCAACCGTCGTCCCACTGAAGTTTAGTGTTCTTCAGTGCGGAACTTCGCGTCAAAAAAAACACCAAACATTTTTAGTGGGCCACTTTTAATATTCTTCCTGGCTTGTCACGACTTGAAATACTTAATCTCTCCACTTATGTGGCGATCGATGTATTAAAAATTTCTCACCAAGCACAGACAGCATGTGCCATGAAGCAATCGGCGGTTCTCTTTGGGAAGATCGCTTGTGAGTTGACGGTATACTGTTCCCGCGCCTACCAGGATATACGAAATACGTGCTGGCATCTTCAGTTTTTATTTGACCCCAAGGTCTTATCTTCCGTTGAAGTGGATCAAAGCGTCGATCGGTGTCTTCTTTCACTTCCACATGCCCGAAGCTATCGTGCCGAAAGGCGGATTGTGGATTAACATGTGGATTAAAGACGTCGCAATCCGCTCCGGTTTACCCGCAAACAACGGTTATCCTGCAGAATCACAATATATTTAGATATGATGACCCCGTATGATCTCATCGTTCATCTGTTCATTGAGGAATTGATCGACCTATCGCTCGCTTTATTTACTTTCTTTACCTCCGCGGTCTTTACCAAACATCTGACCTCTTGCGTTCTTTATCGCGGAGTTGACATTCACTGCTAACGAAAACGTAAATAACAATCGATATTGCCTCAAAATAGCCAGTCACGAGTAATCTGGCAGGATTGGCGAATGAAACCAAATCTGACGACTCTATCATTGCCGACGACAACACACATCAGCCAGAGCCATGGACCAATCGCCTAGTCCACACCGTGGCTCATCGAATGATGGCGCTGGCGATACTACTTCTCCAACTAGACCACATGCAGGTATAGACGAAACAATATCTTCCTCTAGACAAAATGTTAGAGGGAGTCAAGAAGACACGGAGCGCGGAAGCCTTCGCCGAAGGAGCAGAACTTCCAGGAGATCGACGTTTCGTAGCGTGGCTCCCTTGACAACAGCTGGCCAGGGGACTCAATTCAATCTTGCCGGTCCCAGCGAATCTCAGCAGTTGCGCAGCGCGCATGAGCCTTTCGTTCATCCAGGTTACGGAGATCTCAACCCATCATATGAACAACCGAATAACACCAAGCCAATATGGAGTTTGGCAAAGCCGCTGCCGCGCGTTGTTCGGCCAGGAATGGTCCCAACGAAGAATGAATTGCTGGAGAGCTGTATCAATGCAGAGCTACCGGCCGAAAACTCCCAAAAGCTGGGACTGGATGTTGACCCGAATGAGCTGGAAAAGGGTCGCATTGACAAGTCGGCAGACGTACGCAAGATGGCAGCACAAGTTACCGATGCCCGAGTGCAGAGGGAAAATAACTTTATAAAAACCATCCTAGCATCAGATGCTGAGTCGGCGTCTGGAGATGTCGCCCAGCTTGTGCAAACAAGATCAAGCCAAAGACGAGCCACGATTACGCGCCCACCGGTCCAGAGCCCTCTGGATACTGTGGAGGAGAGTGTGTCTGACCACCTAAGCACCGCATCGAAAAAAAGACGTAGCCGTGAGTCTCAGCGGCTAGACGAGGCCGAGGGAGAAATTGATTTAGGACCAGACGAACTCATCGAGGGCAACAGGTCTCTCGAAACACTTCGCATCGATCAAGAGGCATATCCGGAGGATCTTCACCCATTAGTCCAGAATTTGGTGGAAGATGAAATCCACAACAACCACACTGTCTGGTCTGTTGTCCGCACCCATCATCGCGAGGCTTTGGCCGAGTCCCTTGCTGTTTTCATCCAGCTGACTGTCGGATTTTGCGCCGACATTGCCGTTACTGTGGCCAATGCTGGTAATCCCAATACTACGGCCTGGGCTTGGGGATTTGCCAGCATGATGGGCATCTACATCTCTGGTGGCGTTTCTGGAGCTCATCTGAACCCTACAATCACCGTCATGTTGTGGTTCTTCCGCGGATTTCCTAAGCGCAAGATGCCCGAGTACTTTCTCGCTCAGTTTATTGGAGCATTTTGTGCGTGTTTTGCCGCGTATGGCGTCTACTATGTGTCTATCCAGCATTATGTCTCGAGTGGCACGGGTACAGATCAGGAAATCATGAACTGCTTCGTCACAAACCAGCGCAACCCATACATCAATGTCCCCACAGCTCTTTTCACCGAGTTTGTCGGCACAATGTGTCTAACTGTCGTCGTGTTAGCACTCGGTGACGACCAAAATGCCCCTCCTGGTGCGGGTATGAACTCTCTTATTATTGGTCTAGTTATTGTGTGTCTTACGATAAGCTTTGCCAACCAGACGGGCGCTGCTCTTAACCCGAGTCGTGACTTTGGACCACGATTGGCACTCTTGGCTCTTGGTTATGGTTCTGAACTATTCACTAATCCTTACTGGTTTTATGGTCCTTTCGCAGGCACGCTCATGGGCTCATTCACCGGGGCGTTCCTTTACGATTTCTTCATCTTCACTGGTGGCGAATCCCCAGTCAACTATCCTCTGGACCGGACACAGCGTGCCCTACGTAAGAGTGGGATGAAGTGGCGGCGTCGGCTACACCTGACTCCCAAAGAGGAAGAAGACAAGGTTGTTTAGACAGCCAATTAATGTGCAATTTTGAGCGAGTTTATGGAGCATATTGTTATAGTAGAAATAGAATCCACTGTCACTATGTTTAGGCACAACAATGTTGATATATACACTTTTTATTTATCTGTACTATCTAACTTTAGAGAACGCCAAGTCTCTCTTTTTTTTTAAAGAAAAAATCTCTCATATATACAGAAGATCGTTCATAGATACATGCACTTAAGATGGTGGGGCACCAACAAAGACGGTAAGAGTGTCAGGGCTGCCCGAAGCCAGAGTGCCAGAGGCATTCTCACCATCAGGGTTGACGTCGTCATAGGGGAAGGCATATCCTCTTCCATCAACTTCGAGGGAGTGTACGAGGCGGCTGTAGTGGTTGGTGGGGTTCACAGTGTAGTACTGAGAAGAGGCGACACCAGGCTGGACGTTGCCGCCAGCAATCAGGAGGGTAGATCGGACAAAGGCAGCACAGAGACGGGGGACAACAGCGGTGTGGATGGCGTTGTCACCGCCCTGGATGGCAAATGGTCCGCTGTTGCAGCCCCAGATATCACCAGCAGTAGGCTTGGCATAGCCGCGGTTGTCGCCGCTGCAGTTGAGAGTGCCGCCGGAAACCTGGCAGTTGACGTTGCCAACGCTCTGGGTGTTGATGGTCAGGGGGTTGTTGGTGTACTGGTTCCAGACCTGGTCGACATAGGCGCTCCAGTAGTTCTGGAATCCGGCCGAGTTGATGACGTTGTAGTCGTTGGGCGAGAGGGCGCGGATGGGGGTTCCCGCAGAGTTGGCAACGCACATGGAGCTCCATGGGAAGCCATCCGAGTTGCCCTGCTGGACGAGGCCATTGCAGATCTGGCTGACGGCGGTAGAGCTGAGACCCTTGGTAACCTGGGTGCCGCTACCATCCTTGACGGACAGGGTCATGCTCAGGATCATGCCGACAAAGTCAACATAGCTGATGTTTGCGTAAACAGCCAAGCCCGTAGTGTAGGAAAGCTCGACGAATCCCCAGTTGACGCCCGCACTGGGATCAGAGAGGTTGGTCGGCGAAGGCTGAACCAAACCGTCACCGTTGGGAATCTTGACCATGAAGAACTGGAGGCTGCCCTCGGAGAAGTAGATTCGGGCAGAAGTGATGACGATGGGCACAGTGACGGTAATGGAGTTGCCCTGCGCAGGCAGAGGAATGGCGATGTTGCTGGTGATGGCAACAGGGACGGCGGAGCCTCCGGAGCTAGGGTAAACCAAGCTGCCATCGGCGGCAACGAAGACAACTCGGCCGTCAGAGTCGAGACCGGAGATGTAGGCGTTGACCTGGCCACCACTGAAGCTGTTGACGAGCTTAATGGGCAGACTACCACCAAGAGCGCGGGAGTGAATGGCGTTCTTGTTCACAATTGTCGTGGTCGAACTGTGGAAAGTTCCGTTGAGAGTGTTGTTCGCGGTGATGATGATATCCTGGGCGTCGCCGGGCTTGGCGACGCTGAATGGCGACTTGGCTCTGGAGATGAGCGAAGGAGCGGCTGAAACTGCACCCAGAAGGGCAGTAAGGACAGTGAGATATCTCATGGCGGAAAGATTCTTGCACTCGGCAACGAAAGCAAATCGAAAAGAAAGGAATGTAGGGAGTCCGACAACTTCTGCCGCCTTGGATTCAAGACTTGGATCTGGAGTGTCTGATGAATATCTCCATGTGTAGACTGTTTGCTTTATATATTACTTTCTGTTGTCGAGTTGCAACTTTGAATATCCATCATCTAGTCTCAGAAAGTCAAGTGCTTAACGTTCGGACCGAACATGTAATCGAAGGAGAGAGGGAAGCTGTTTCGTAGCCCACTTCCAAGTTTGGAGCATGAAAGTTATCACTTTACAATTAGAGAATAGTACCGGGCTTCCTTCGGACACTCCATGAAGTGAATGACTTCAGAATAAGGAGCCGCATCTTCGAGCTGCCAAATTCAAACATGATAGTCCTTGGCAATATTGGCGTCTAATTATCTAGGATACCATCTAAAGCGAAGTTCATGCAGGAGACGGCTGTTAAGCGTTTCGTAGACCCAAACTAAATCTGGTTTGTGATAGTCTTCTGATGCTCTCTAGCTGCTGCTATATCCACTTGTCACTTCCTAGACAGGCTGCGGCCGCAACTCCGGGCCCTCTCGGGATTCAAGTCTTTAAAGTGTATACAGAGAACCTAAACGGATATCAGGGATTTGGAAAGTGAAAACAGCTCGAAGGAATCTTCAAATGTCAGATTTCTCTCTCATCATGGCTATAATAGTAAGGTAGCTCGTGAGCATCGATCGACGTCTCTTCCTTCGATCTTGGCATTGCCAATCCTGGTAAACATGGCCACGAGCACAGGATTCTGGAGTTCTTACTAGTGCTAGCATCATCTGATATGGGCGTATTTCTTTATAAACCCCTGAGCTAGCTTTGATACTTTGGGCATAGGATTTCGCTTCTAGGCCGCATATAGAGTTGGCTCTCGGTTCTTCACACCCTCACAACATCTAGCGCTTCCGAAGATTCGGGCTAATAACACACAAGTTGCTGCACCCCACACTTTGCTAAAGCACGATTTCGTGCATAAAGATGGCACACTGGACGTTGCAACGTGACAAATCGAGGCGAGCAAAGAAAGGGATGCGCGGTGCATCTCAAGGCGCCGGTAAGGAGTGCTGGAAACGCTAGGATTTATGACTGCCGAGGCGCGTATAGGAACGAATCAGAAGGAAGTGTTCGTTTAAACATGTGATCAAACGGTAGAGCCGCTAGATAGTAGCTGTCTTGGTTAGCTTGAGCGGCTGTCATATATCTTTGTAAATATCAGTTTATAAGTGTCGTTGAACTTGGTTCCAGGCATGAGACAGTTTAGCCGACACAACCGAGATTCGGACCTGATACTACCACTACTACTACTTTTCGCTGAATTTAGGCACGTGTCATCACATTCTCTAGCACTTAGCAGGCCTTTTGAATGTTCCAAGTGCCTTGACATGTTGCGTTTAAGTACCTGTATAGAAGGATTTTGATTGCTAAGCCTCTTCCTGTAGTTTCAAGGGGGATTCTGAGCAGGAGCAACACCCCTGCGGAAGTTGCCCGCCGCCACATATAGGTAGTTGAATTTAACCACTCAACCTGCCAGGGTAATGGTACTTGAAGGGAATCTTCGGCTCAACGTAAAATAGCGCAGACTAAGACAGCTTTGTACATAAAGAGAACAATCTTGGCTAGAAGCAAGAAGAGGATGTTTTTGGAACCAGGCTTTGCGCTTGAAATTTCATGTAACCCTGCAATGCGGTTGCCTAAGCTAGTAGAATCCTTTCGGTAGACGAGTCAGCATCGTGCTCCCCCGCGTGCGGCTCTCAGTTTGATGGAATTTAGTCTTTTCTGTAAAACATGATTACATATAGGCTTTCTATTCTATAGTTTTTGCCCAATAGACGTTATACAGAACTGTTGGATTAAGCATTTACTTGCAAGGGGCGTGATTAGTATTCAAAGCTCTGTTCATCGTCTGATCGAGTGCTTATCCTCTTGAAGTGGGGAGGGGGAGGAGACCGAGACGAACTAAGATACACCCTAATTTGACCAGGAGACGACTTTGGACTCTAAAGATTTTCGGTGCATTTTTGATTGGCTAATATGTTCCTCGGTGGAGATTTTGGTCTTGGAATCGATACTGATCCTGGTACAGTAGTTCTCGCAAACAGCTTCCAGGATGGAAATGACCGGGGTGCGCTTCGCCTTTGACAGTGTTTTTGTCACTGCGTGAGATCTGATCTAAATGCTGCCTAGGTCTGCATAGTGACGCGTCCAAGCTACCCCGAGCACCGAACGGTAGTCCAGATGGCATGGCCCCCTTACATGCCCCTTAATAAAGCTTGCATTCGATGGTACGTAAAAGCATGAGCTGCCGTAAAGATTCACTAGTCCCAGTAGGATCAGCGGCAGCACTTAAGCGGCCCTATCGGACTGTCGAATTCTGACCGATTGAGCAGGCATGAAGCAGGGGTAACGTTGAAGCAGGATTTACATAGCCGCTATAGGTTTACGGAAGGATGTAGTCTAGATTGACAAACTGGGAACTTGGAATGTGGGTAATATGAAGATGGCCAACGCTCTCTACATATATGGAACCTATGACCCCAAGATATGAATGCCGAACAGAGCCCAACAATGAGAAGCCAACTGCCAACACTGAAGAGCAATATACATCCCAATCCTCCTCGATTGCAACCGCCGCTCTGTTGTTGGCACTGTTTACACTGAATAAGCCAGCTTTACAAAGGAGTAGGGTCAATCTCGCCAAGAGTGAGGTTGGCAATAACGTCCCAGTGTTCCACGATGCAGCTTCCATTCATTCGATAAGCATCCATGATCTTAATTAGTAGCGTGGAGGATTCACAATGGTGTACAAAGCCAGTGTTGTTAATAAAGGCCTGGTGTACAATGGTGGTGTTGACGCGTGGTCTCCCAGAAAGCGCAGCAATAGCAGCATCTCGACCTTGTCCAACAGACGGGTTGTGCTGAATGTAGTCGACCCAAATGTAGTTATTGAATGCTTCTGGGATACTCTTTTGAACATTGAATTCGTTCACAAAGGCATTGAAAATCTTTTCTTGTTCCAGTGGAGTTGCTGGCTGAGGCGGGCAAGCAGGAACCACAGTTTGAGTCGAGCCTGAGCCCGAAACATGAGGGAGAGTGGCGGTGAGAGCACCGATATAAAGCAAAAATTTCATGATGTAATGATTTCCTTAACTTGAAGATTAAGGAGAGCTAAAGCAGTGAATTTATGGAGCCTATACTCGCAAGACAAAGAGGGTATCTAGAGATCGCGTGATGTATTGGGAGGCATCAGAAAGCTATATATCTCCCGGAATCAAAAGAATGTTGATGTTGAATGAGAATCTACATCGGATCGGAGGTTTTTAAAGCCTTTCATGTATAAACTTACCAATATTAACAACAACAGTGATATTTCAATATGCAGAGAATCTTTTCCCTTGGAAATACTACGATGATGGCAACTATTCACTGAGGCTTCTCGACAAAGTGGATCTTTGTACTAAACTGGTTGTCTGGTCTGTGTTTTTGCCGTTTGTACGCGGCCTACCCCTGCGAATGTCAGAGCTGGAGCTAAATCGACTAGCAGCAAAGTCTTAAATCCGATGCCGAGTGCCGACATTATGGATTCAGCGATCTTCAGTCTTGACAGCGCCGATTACATACCCTATATTGTATAGATTTTGTAAAGACTTCTTCATAGGGCAACTGATGTTACGACTAAACTCTGGCTGCTGCGAAAGATAGAATACGTTTTGTACAAAATCTGAGAGCTCGATCAACTTCTTCCTTTTCGATTTTTTGCCATGGCGTGGCCCCTGAACTGATAAGCTGAACATTGAGGCTAAGAAAAGATATTCATAGCGTTGGGAGAATAAGATGAATGCAGCACCCCTGGTCAGTACTATACAGTATCAAGGTTTAAGTAAGAGACTGAAAGTCTCATGTCTGAATGAAGGAAACGAGGAAGATAGAATCATTTTTTTGCCAAGGTTTCTCTAGTGTCATGAGCGGGCGTATTTGTTGCGTATTTGATATAATAATAGTGGGATTTGAATGCGCGAGTGTTGAAACATGCTGCATTTAGTTATAGCGGATACCGAATACGCTTGCTTGAACATCAAATACGCTGCCGCTCCTCTTTTCGTTTCAGAAAATACACCTAGTTTCCTAGACCGCGTTGATGAGCCTTCTTTTACCTTACAATCGTTGTTGTTACTGTACCGGAGTATACATTTCTGTCGATTTTAACAATTACTGGCGTAGCTGGCGTCGCAAAACATTGCTTGTGCAGGGGAATGCTTCGGAACCGAGAAATTTCAGGAGATCTAGTTGTGTAGCCAGTAAGAGTGGTGAACGACATAAGCAGCAACAGCAATTTTCATACTCGGACCAATACCTGAAACGAACCACAACCCATAATCCAGAGTCGAGCTGTATTTCTAGTCTATTTTCCCTGATCGATTGGCAGCTTCACAGTTTGACAGCATAAATTGACGACATTAATTCCACCATAGCCTTTGCCTCTCATTCCGCCACGTCCCGAATGCGTATTTGAGTTATTAGAGACTTAACCACCAACCAGCTAGCCAGTATGAGGAAGATTATACACTCAAGTAGAAATAAAGGCATCGGGAGGGAGAAAGCAAAGCGTTCGAAATATCTCAACAAGAATTATCAGCCGAGACGCAGTGTATAGGAGCAAGACTATAAGAAACAGCAGTAATCCACACCAGCTAGGCAAAACATTAGGGAAATGCTTGCCACCATCCTTAGCATTACATATGAAGACGGCGGCAAGAAGCGCAATAGTTGCATGCATAACTGAATAGGTACTTGCACATCTCCAAAGATATAGCTCGAATGTAGAAGGAAAAGTGAAATTCCATGCTCCAATGTGTATTGCGCCAAACAAAATCATTGCTGCCAGCATTGCTGCTGCAGTTGGGATTGCAAATTTCTTGCTGTCGCTCGAGGCCCGGCCGTCAGCGGCGTGCAGTGGTGCACCAAATGGAGTTTTGCCCATAGGAAGTACCAGATTTATAATAGAATCGTCGTCTTCTTCAAGTTCATTTGCTACCCATGTATGGTAGTCTTGATTTTGCAGAGAAATCGTAGTTGATACGCCAATAGACTTTGGTTTATCCCAGTATAAGCCGTATATAATGATTGCACAGGCTGCAAAGGCCAAAACGGCGAGCTCAAGCGGGCAGATGGAGAGTTTCTTTACAGCACGAACAAGGATTTTTATTGTAGACCATATGATTTGGGCAACTGAAATTGTCCTAATGAAGGGGTCGTCTTTAGCTTTATCGTTGAGTTCTTCTTCCGTGATATCGGGTAATCTGGCGATTTGGTTCGCTTCTCGGAGTTTGATGAGCGCCCTTCCGGAGAGGTGATGCAGATTGTACCCGTTCACATTTTCTCTGCTTTCTTCCTTCACTAAAACAAACCCTCCCATGTTTGAATAGTAGGTATGGGTTAGAGACCATCTGATGTGATCTTGGTCTGCAAGCCGCAGTAATATCGGGTGGTCTTCGCGAGCTTGGAGACGTACGTTATAAGCCACGCCAATTATTATTTCAGGTGCAAGAATTGTCAGTATAAACGCATTAGTAGCCCTGAGGAAGTGTTTAAATTTCCATCTGATGTTCCCTTTCCATCCAGATTCTTGTGTAATGTCATTGCAATCATGTCTGTAGCCATGACGTTGCTCTGGAACATTTGGATGCTGAAGGGTCCAAGTACAAGCGAATATTGTGAACAGCGAGCTCCAAAGAATGTCCAGCGTGCCCCGAAAATTGGGAGAAGATACATAATTTACGCCGATAGGAGGCTTAGAACATGTGGTTTCAAAGACTGAATATGCCCTTGCGACAGCAATGAGACAGAAGAGAGAAAATTGAGATGAAATCTTTAGCATTTTCACAGAGAAAAGCTTGGAATTTTTGATTAACTGATCCAGTGGCTGAGAAACTGCCGATAGATTTTGAAGATAGGCTGTGGTATTGCTGCCGTCTGTATATATAGGCGCTGGTGATACGTGTCTTGCATTTCAGCTATATTAGAATCTTTGGATGTGCCGTCCCTGCATGCTTCTGCAGCCACTCCGTCGTGTGACTTAAAAAGGCCAAGGGCAATGGCGAATTAGATGTTGCATAGACAACCAAGGTTTCGGTGATCGCCTAAAGCAGACTCAGCGTGAGGCGCATACGCAATCCTTTGAAGGAAAAAATCAGGCTTCGAATATCCAATGTTTGGCCGTAAATAACTATACCTGTCTAATGTGAGCGATCCATCGGAAAATCCGCCAGGCTGGATCAAGTCTCAGGTGCAGCCCCCAATAATACATCACGACAGCACGCTACATCGTAGGCATCGGCATTCCTCCCATAGATTCGTATATGGATGTAAACAAATCTCTATATTAAGCCATAGCATCCCCGTCTTTACAACTCCCTCGGCCCGTGATTGGATCCTTGGCAAGAAGCGCCAATTCGATCAACAACCAACAGAGCGTAGTAGCGCTATAATAGCGCAGCTCTAGCAGCAATTCCATGCATCTATTATGTGTAGGAGAATGAAATAGCAAGTGAGCGATATATATGACTCAAACAACCTGCTGCATATGGATTAATACTGTTCATTTACATGCAAGCATGGCCAAGCGCACGATATTGTAGTATCATTGCGGGCCGTGCCTTAAAACGAAGAGAACCATTCCTTATATGCTGCAACTCTCCTTGCAACAGCGTAGACTTTTATACTACGAACTGTTTCAGACTTGAATCTGTTCATTACCCATGACCGCTGCCACCGCTTTGAGCCTGGCCGCGCTGCGTCTGCACGATCCGCCCAGGCTGCAAGACCTCGCTCCGGCAATATGGACTATTATCTTCTCCCTCTTCGACTCGGCACAAACTGTCGCACGCATCGCATTGACATGTAAGAAACTCAACGCTGTGGCCCAGGTGCAAGGCTGGCCTTGCTTTGTCAGGAGCCGATTTGCGAGTCTCAAGCTTTCAAAGGCACTCGGCGACAAAGAATGGGCTGAGCTGGCTAAGAAGTTGACTGCGCAATCGCGTGCCTGGGACCGCCGCGCTTTTTCTATAACTTCAGTAGTGCCTCCTATCCAAAACGGCGGAGGCAATGAGCGATCTGGTCACAGTCGGGGGCGAGGGCGAGGGCGTGGACGTGGGAGAGGACGCGGCCGTGGTGGTGGTGGCCAGTCTAGGATACAGACGTTCCCAGCACACGTTGTCGTCGACGCGAGTTCCAAAGTCGATGGACGGGACGAAGAAGAGACAGTTGCCTGGGGTCTCGGTGAGGATGTGATCATCCGATCGCGAAAGTCAAAGAACTCTGTTCTTCAGGGTGAAACCTGGACATCACTCCCCGGAGTCGAGGCCGGGTTTAGGAGCGGCGACGATGATGTGGCGGCCATTTCGATTCTGTCCGATTCTGCGCCCCAGCCTGGCCTCCTTGTTGGCCGAGCAAGCGGTTACTTGCAGCTCATTTCTACAGAACGCAACGACATGGGACGACTTCTCGCTTGGTTCCATCCAATGCGTGGAGGTGTAGATCAATTTGACATGCAGCACTTTGATACCAACGAATCGCAAAACGCCGTGGTCGTTGCCACAAAGGAAAATGTCTTATTCTACCCTTTAGAGCCCAACAACTGGCCGGCTGCGGACATGGCTAATGGCACTCCGGATATCGTCGTTGAGCCCACTGAGGCCTTTAGCGTCAAGAGTATGCCCAACTCTCAAGAGTTTAGATTCATTCGTGAGGCAAAGTATATGAGCAACGGAGATATTGCTTTGTGCATGGCCAGCAGCGCACAACCTCTGCGTTATCTGAAGAGAACACCTTCGGGCACCGTGTTAGCCAATGCCGCCAAATTACGACCTTCGAGCCGTTGCACCGAAACGCATATCTTTGACGGCAACGCTCCGCAAACTGCTCGGAGCGTGCTGCCAGTCAACTCTACGTCAGTTATTGACGGCTCTGGCAACACCGTCTTGAGCTCTTACGATGATGGGACTGTTCGGCTGCAGGATCTTCGGAGTCATTCTCCCATTGACGCCATCTTCCAAGACCACTTTGAGATGACTGCCCCTCTCGGCCCGCTTCTGTCCTATGGAATGGATAGATTTATCGTTGGAAGCGCCCGCTTACCTATTCTGAAAGTGTTTGACTTCCGATGGACGCGGCCTTATTCCTACACAGACGCCCTCGATTGCAGCAAAACCGGGCTCGGCCCAACACCAAAGTCACTCACCGGGATCCCAGCCCCGAAGTCCTCAAATTATGCGAAATGCTGCCATCTATCTGGACGCCAATGTAACCTTCACTCCCTGGCTCGGACTGACTTCTACAGACCAAACTGCAATTTGTACCTCCCCATTGTGTATCCCGCCGCGACGCCGCTGTATTCGCTTGCCAAATCGTCGGACATGGCATCAAATGTCTATGCAGGCGTTACTGGTGAGCTACTGAAAATAAGCCTCAGAGACGCTACAGTCGATGAGCGGGAAGATTTCTGTATGAAGCGGATGGGAAACAGTAACCGCTGCGGATATACCTTTCACAGGAGTCTTGCCAATTTGGTCGAGACGGGCGATGGACTTGCGCTGAGCGATATTTCCAAAAGCAAGAGGCTTCCACTCTTGTTCAAGCAGAATTCTGAGCTGTTGTCTGACGCTGCTACAGGGGAGCTCCGTCGGCTCGATCATGCTTTGAGGTAACAAAGTATAGCCGATCAACTCTTGCGTGTCAAGGACCTAGCATTTTGACTTTACGTGTTACTATGTTAACAGTGTATCTAGAGATATATATAATGAAAGACAGAGAACTATGTGCCTATACTTGAGCACAGTTTCATTTCCCAACACCCTAGCTGTAGGTTAGCACGGCAGTCAGTCGACATGTAAATGTATTCAATTGTTATGGATAGGCATGTACTTACAGGCGACAGTAATAGTCATAGTAGCAGAGGTAGGTTTTTTTAGCAGTAGTACTAGTACTCGTAGTAGTAGCAGTAGCTTGTGTCATCACCAATGTGTTGGATAGGTAATAGAGTTGAGGTACTTGAACTTTTCCCTAAATGAGCTTATGAATGAAGTAAAGTATACACCATCACATCTACTTACATGCCATAAGTGTTGGAATCTGAGTACAATAGCTACTTCAAGATTATGAGTCGCTTTGAGTGTCAAAGAGAGTTTAGCCTTGACTTTCAGCCTCAAAGCTAAGGATGCGTAGTCAGGGTGATTAATGCAGTGGACCCAGAAACTCAGTACAAATATACAGATATGGACTAACACAGCCAGATCTTCATCTTGGAAAATAACATCGTCTGCGCAAAAATGACTTCCTCGCCATTAGTTGTCGGCCCTGCGATAGGCCATTCTCATACTCACACAATAATCGTCTTGCATGGTCGCGATAGTGAGGCACAAGAGTTCATGGCTGAGTTTTTCGAGTGCGAGGCAACCGGGTCTGAAACAGATCGCACGCTACCAGCGCTTTTTCCTACTATCCGCTGGGTGTTCCCAGAAGCAAAACCTCTTCATTCTGAACGCTTTCATATCGAAATGTCTCAATGGTTTGACATGTGGAGTGTGGAAGATCAGCAAGAGCGAGCTGAGCTGCAAGTGGAAGGCTTGCGAGCAAGTGTCGATCGCATCGCCAAATTAATCCAGGACGAAGAGCTACTCGTACCCAGAGAGAGGATATTTTTAAGTGGAATCAGCCAGGGGTTTGCGACGTAAGGATTGATTCACTACACCATTACTAGAATCAGTGTTGACAATGTTTTCTTTTAAGTGTATTAGCTACCTTCTTTGCTGACGGTAGAGGAGGCTTCGCTGGCCTATGCGGATTCTCTAGCTGGCTACCGCCCGCTGCCCAAGCTGTATCAGAAGTATATGAAGTCGCGGGCAATCCTAGTCACCAATTGGCCGCCATGCAGCGACTTTACCTTGGTAGAGATGAGATATCGCCACTACAAATGACCTCGACGCCTATTCTTCTAGAGCACTGCCGAGACGACGAAGTTATTGATATCCAGAGCGGGACTCGCCTGCGAGATTTTTTATATCGATTCGATATGGAGGTTGACTGGAATGAATATCAAGATGGAGGACATTGGTTCAACGAGCCGCAAGGCGTCGACGATTTTGTTAGGTTTCTGCGAAAAAATATGTAGATAATGACTCTAAGTCTGGGACTACGAGGATAATTTTTGTTATCCATCTCGTATCTGATACGTGGAGACCCTAACATGTCGCTGGCCGGCGGGAGCTACAATGAGAGACTGTGAGGTCAACAGTGTACGGGTAACTTCATACTCAAACCCGCTAGCCAATAATTTAAAGTAGAAGATTGAGTTTATGGTCTGCTTTGATTGCATACAAGAAGGTTGGCTGAAATGCAGTGTAACGGCGGGGCCGTAGAGCGGCTATCTGGATATCCATCGTATATACTACTGCTGCTACTCGGATAACATACCGATAGGGCTTTGTACACTACTAGGAGTTACACATCGGGAAGGTTATCGTTTATCTTCTGCGACCGATGAAGCGATGGTACCTTGTAAGTGGTACCAGCATCAGATACACTATGCGGAGAATTACTATGTAGCATCTATTCTTCTATGAGGAAGATCTCCGTAGACATGCTTTCCATCCAACACTAATCTTGTACGATTACTAACTTGAGATCTAAGATTTTGTTTGCATATGAGTACGCATTCTCGATGCTAGGTGTCCTTTACGAGCTCTGAGAAAGGTCGTGAGCCACCACCAAGGAGCGTCGATGCTCAAGTAGGAAGTAAGATAACAGTAGTTACACTCAGTTATACACTCGTAAGTTTATATATATCCATGAGTGGCTGTATAATATAGAGCTCGCGAGTTTACTTCTTTGTATAATCTTGGCTGCTAAGAGACTTTGGTTTGTAGTATTGGAAAAGTACAGTTCCAAGACTCGCAAGAAATGAATGCAAAGCTATATCTCAGCGAAACGCATTATCTAGTAACATGCTACATACAATAAATCAGTGTGTAGATTTATATTCGGCCAGTTCATGAATATGTCCTCTATTCCTAGCTGTTGATAACGCATTCCTAAATATTTGGCAAAACAACCTAATAAGAGACAATCTTATGCCCAAGAGCTGAGGTGCATGCTAGTAATACAATCCTTTGTGTTGTGCATAACTATGTAGGTGACTGTGAGTTTGCATAAACAAAACCTGGCGACTCGTCTCCGAAGTCTGAACCCTTCAAGACCAAGGCCTAATAGAAGCTGATGGATACGCAGAATCCTCCCGCCCTATTTACTGCACAATTGATCATGACGCAAACATTTGCGGAACTTTGAGCTTGCCCTTCTAGCATTTGAATCTGGACTTGAATAGTAAAATACGACAAGTAAAGCTGCCGTTCGGCTGATGGACAATGTAACTAGGACAGTGCACTATGGCTTGCAGGCCACGCATTGGCGTTTCTCTCACAGATTGGCGACAAGGAGCGGGCCGCAACGCAAATGGCCTGTGCTTACTTCCAAAACGAGGCCTGATCAGCGACAATCTGGACGTGGAGACGGCTCGTTTAGCCGGACAATCAGGGCCGCCAATTCATGCAGTGGGCGGCGGGGATGACAAGGATTGGTGGGAGACTAGGCTGACAGAGGGAGCTGAATAGAGGCAAGGAAGACGGTCTTTGAGATAGTCTTGGGACTTATGTAAAAGTAACTTGAATTGGTAGGATACCTACGTGTATACCAAGTACTAGAGCTCACAAAGTTTCTACAGGGCAGAGATGGAGACGATAGGTATACTTTGAGTACCCCTGGAAGATGGAAGCGTCTTGGGCAGATATGCATTTACAGTGGAAATATTTTGGCTCGTATATACATGTATTTTTCTTCAATCCTAAGCCGTTGCCTATATTTGGCTAAATGTAGCATTGCTGGCCTACTTCATTGGTGATGTTGCGTCTTACTCTATCGCTGACGTGCTCAAAACTCGTCGGAGCTAATTAGCAAATGGGTAAAAAGCACACGAGGGATATACACGCATTCTTTTCCGGCTTAGAAAACAGGGCTTAGAGCAGGAGCAGCTCCGCTTTGCTCAAGTTTGGTCGCCGATGTTTACTCAACTCCTCACTCTGATGATATCACTCTCAGAGTGCCAAGGTGGCGAATGGAGACCATTGAAGTACATCTAGGCAGTGTTCTAATTCAAGAGCTGCTTAGGGAAGACTGAAAATCACAATCGCTCATTGCTGCTGTTTTGTATCATAGACTGGTGAGGCCGCTTTTTCTGACCCAGCCACGAACGGTCAACTCAGTTCTATGCCGTTTATGATTGACACTATCCTGAGCTCGGATCCATCACAGAGATGAAAAAGCAATCACTGACCATTGCCCGTCTATTCACTCTTCAAATGCTGCTGAATGCCCATAAACCAGGACCACGGCTGTGCTGGTGGATAAAAATTCCTGATACTAAACTGGTATGTAGCGAAAAAGGTGGTTGATGTCGGTTATGCGGGCTGTGGATTACTAAACCTTGGCCGGGGATGCTCATAGCGGAGCAGAAAAGAACAAGGGTAGAGGCAGGGATGGTTGACATTGTTAGGAAAGCAAAGGCCTGCAGAGGGAAAATGATGGGATGGAGGGTATACCACCAGTATTGGTAAGGGTTAGACAATATGTATAACACGTACTGATTCTCGATGGCAAAGTATTATTCGCCCATGTGCGATATATGCCTGAACTTGCCAAGGACATTATTAAAGTATCTTTTCAACCTCTATGGAGCACTCCAGCTCATCTCAAGGTGTTCTCTATGCTCTCCTAGTTATCTCTCGATTCAAGAACTGTCCCGTCTATAGTGCCCCCAGGAAACAGCAAATAAAAGACATTGTTCAACTATATGTTCGTTTCCGTTTTTGAGCCTTTTGAATGTGTTGCTTTATAATCTTTACGTGTATGCGTTCTATCTATGAGCGGGGAAGCACCAAAAGTCCCTGGCAAACAAACCCTGCATCCGCCTATTTCGTCTCATAGATGTTGATTCCAAGACTGCAGCTAGTGACTAGAGCGGCCACTAAAGATTACGATATTTGGAAACCGGGGTGCCCGCATTAACACGAGCGAGATTATGCACTGAAGCCATCGATGGCGTCGTACATCGCATATCGTGTGATAGATAGCGATTAAATAAGCACCCCGATTGTACCGTTTCCACATCACCTAGCTTCAAGTAAGCACTCTATTGATGGTTTTTACGTATTGTTACGCCGGTCCCTTTCAATCCTCCTCCGAGTCGCTTTTGTTTTCCTCCGGATGCTGTCTCAAATATTCGAGGTACGCGGGATCGACGGGCCAATCATGCTCGCCACCCTCACGCTTGAAGTACCAAACATCCTCCGTGGGGAATCCGACGCTGTCAACCCATGATTTGAGGCCGTCAAAGTTGCGGCACTGGAAATCGCCGCTGAACTCTGGCTGCGGCTGTATCATGTTCTCGTACCAGTGCCAGAGGATGAGGTCAACGTCTGAGTGGCAAGTCGCTATTTGGGTGAGGAAGTGCAAGCAGTGGTAGAGGTGCTCCCAGTCATGGCGGGATCTCTCCTTGCCATGGAGGTAATGAGGACCTTCCAGCCCCATTCTCAGGTGGTTGATGCAATGCAGTTGGTGCGTGACAGAGAGCATCGCGGGGAACGAGTTGGGATCTCCTGGCATATGAGTTATCTTGGCCGGGTCTTGGCCGAGCTTCCGCACATCATCTGCACTAATAGTTATTGTAGACAATTTTGAAAGCTCGTGCCATGCCTCCTCGGTTGCATTATTCGGCCGCTGGCGAAGGACATCGTCGCTGAGCAGTTCGTTCTTATGAAAGACTTTCTCAAAGGAAAAGGTATACCGATCAAAGACGGGTGCTAGGTATCAGTTAGCAACAGGTGCGCTGACTTTTGCCTGGACAAGTCCATGCGTGTAAAGAAAAAGTCACAACTTACAATATCCTGATGCCTTTGACAACAATGAGTTTGTGTTTATGTTATCCAGAAGCGACTGTTGCTGTGCAGAGCGCTGGGTTGAATAGAGTACAAGTACTGCTCCTACGAGTATGACCAGTAGGATAGAGTTGATGGCGATGAGCATAATGCTGCACCAAACAAGTCTGGATTGGCGAGTCTGTTTAATCGACATTGGCATGAGAGTTTCAGTTGAAGATGCGTCGTCGTCATCCTGCTTAGCCAGAGCGGCATAAGCCGTGGAACGCGCAAACGACGGCATGACGGTTTACCGCCACAGGAAACTGGAGTTTGGAAATTGGGAAGAGAGAATTAAGTGAAAGCCATTTGCATCTCGAAAGAACTCGAGGAAGCGAAAATTATCGGCCAAATAACTACCGAATAAAATAGTAGTAGCCTCCTTGGTGATTTCTGAGGATCTTATGATGGGGCTCTTGGCCTCATGTTCGAGCTTCAAAAGTCCCATAAGATCATAACCCTGTACTAGGTATGCTCCATTCGCGCCACTTGAGTGGAGGCTCGTTGTATAGCCTCTGTTTATATACTAATGATGACCGTTTATAGATTGGGGGTCTTATCATGCGGTATAGTTAATCCCGAGACTACACACGGTATATATCCAAGCCGAGGGCTGCCAGAGACAGTGTATCACACTTTTGTGCCGTCAAACCGTGGTCTCTGTGGCCGCATATCTTGCTAGTAGATTAATATACATATGTATGTCAGATGGAAGCGATGCATTCCCCGTTTCCATGTATCAAGTCCCGCCGTGGTGGAGACGCCGTGACCGAATAGGTAAACGGTCTGCCTTGGATATCGGTTCACGCGGGGAAGTTTGTCATATTGAATCCAGTTACACAATCGACACTCCGCTAGTAATCACGACGATACTGGAAATGTGACGATCGCGATCTCTTACCCTGTCGATGAGCCATTTGAGAGATCCTTTTGTTGGCGTGAGTTAGACCAGATATTGCTTAGCTATAACCATGCCGAGTGTCAGCAAAGCCCACACTACATGCACATAGCTCCATTAGACCGCCAGTATAGGAGCTATATATATACGAAATACAGAAGTCCAGCACATCAGTCTCATCAACACAGAAGTTCCTGTTGGTATCTTGTTTGCCCCGGCCTGTCTAGCCATAACAGGCAGCTGCATTGCTTTCAACAACCTATACACATGATGAACCAATGATTTACTAAATTCCCGGCTTCAACTTTTTGTTGATCATGTCAACCGAGAGGGGTTGCCAATATTGCCCAAGAGTGTTATTCCTCCAATCCTATTCAAGAAAATTCCTTTATGAGGCAAAGCTGCTTGATAAGGCAAAGATTTGAGATATTATGGTCGACAAAAGAATAGTTCGTTACTTTATTTGGGCCGGGGGTGATCATATATAAAGCACGGTGATATCTGTACTTCCTTCTATCGTAACAAGGGACAACAGCATACTACCTTCTACTCCAGTTAATCGGACATATTGGTCATCATGAAGTTTACAGCTATTGCTGCCCCCCTGGCCTTTGCAGCATTTGCTGCTGCTGCGCCTGTTGGCACCAGTAAGTCGAAAAGCCCAACCAAGCACATTGTACATTGAACATTGCACGTTGCACATTCATTTTCCTTTGCTCGTATTGGTGTACATCCAAAGTTTTTATATTGCTCAGATTTCATTGTATTTTCCTACTTACGATCAAATAGGCGAGGTTCAGGCTCGCGCCGAAGCCATCGAGCCCCCTTACCACCCTCTCATCGACAAACGAGAGGAAGCCATTATCCCTCCTGCCTATCACCCTCTGATTGACAAGCGAGCTGAAGCCGTCGAGCCACCTTACCACCCAAACATTGATAAGCGGGAGGAAGCCATTATCCCTCCTGCCTATCACCCTCTGATTGACAAGCGGGAGAAAGCTATTATTTCTCCTCCTTACCACCCTCTGATTGACAAGCGGGAGGAAGCCATTATCCCTCCTCCTTACCATCCTCTGATTGACAAGAGAGAGGAAGCTATTATTCCTCCTCCTTACCACCCTCTCATCGACAAGCGGGAGAAAGCTATTATTTCTCCTCCTTACCACCCTCTGATTGATAAGCGAGAGGAAGCTATCGAGCCTCCTTACCACCCTCTCATCGACAAGAAAATCTAAAGATCAAGTATATGGCGTGCAGAGGCTATTGTATAGGTCAATGATCTTGGCTGTAGAATAAAATATATTATAGCTAGAAACTTTAGCTATAGTTATATGAAGCTAAGATTCAAGACAGTTGGTCAAGGCTGATTCAACCGTCAGTTACAATTGTACTTTGCTCCGTGAAAGAGAATTGCGTATATATTAAAGAGAGCTGGCGCTTTCTGAATAGACACAAATAAGCAAAACCTGCCACATAGGGGCTGTTTTTAGCATAGGCGGTAAAAGCCAAAAAGCTTTTATATTCTCTATAGTGAAATACCGCAGGCGTTATATATTTACTGTTTACATCTCAATGTAAAAAAGCTATTCATTGCTTTGGTGTGCCCGAGATAGTGGACCTGATGCTGGTAGCTCCATGTCTTGATCTCGCTACGAGTGCCCATATTTTCTTATGAAAGCCTTTCTTTTCAAAACAGCTTAAAAGTAGTGGTAGAGGGGCTTCAAGTTGTCTTTCTGATGTACTCACAGAGTTGTCATCAACCTCTATGATGTGTACGGCTTCTTATCCAGTCATCAAGTTTTTTGGTGAACAATACCTGTATTATTCGAATTGGCATAGAAAAAGAAAATAAGATAAAGTGATACTCCAGAGCTCTGTCACTCGACCAAGGAGCTTGACGGGGAAGAAATAACTAGTGCGAAGTCCATATAGTCATCACCACAAGGCGATTTGAAGTTTTCATCCAACCTATCCATCTCGCTGGTAATAAATCATAACAACTAAAAGTCATATGCGTGAAGGTCCAGTGCTGATAGTCCACAGTTTGCGACATTCACTTCCGTAACTTCGGCATTAATGCTTAACTCATGCGCTTCGCCCGTCAAAGACAGCATATCCCTCACAGAAAGAACATAACCAGAGTCAGACCCATCGAGTGCCAGAAAATAGTTCTCCACACTATTATAACTGATTTTCCAACAAGTGAAACAGGATAGAGAACCAGTGCTCTTAATTGCAGGAATGCCAATGAATGCAACAGCGTCCCTTTGAAGCTTCCAATCCAAGTTTGGCATAAAACCAGTATTTTTTCTCCAGCATGTTACCCCATTCAAAGGGCGTAATGGGTCGTCGTAACTCTTCCTAGTTGTGACTATAAAGTGTGAGTAATAGCCTGCATAGCAATAGAATAGCCCCTTACCAGTCACGATCTTAGATGACGCCGATAGTAGGAAGGCAGCAAGATGGAAGAAGCGAAGGGCAACCATGTTGAAAGTGTTTTGCCACTTTAACTGCTAGCCAGTTTGCACAAATCAGGCCAGAACGCAAAGTGGTGAGTAAATGATGGTGGAGGAATTGATCAGAAAGTTGAGAGTGGGAGAGCGGTTGTTGGTAGATGAGAAAGGGGCAGCCAGAACAAGGACCACTGGAAGTTATGGACATTGTTACACGATCATTTCACTCAAATTCGGTCTTGTTGTTATCCCTGTTGGTGTGTTGGCTCGGAGGTTTATCTACGCAGAGGCCTCCGCTACCGCATCAGTATGCAGCTCGTCTTCGATGAGTTTACAAGATGATGAACACTGCAGTGCTTATGTTACTGTTTTCTGCGCAAAGGCCCCCAATAGTACACCATTCTGTAGCCTGCCGTTGCCAAGGATGAAAGCAGTAGAAAATACTGGCTATACGCAACATCTGGTCTGTGCAGGCGTCTGTGCACATACTGCAGCTAGCCTTCACCGAAGGCGCAAGTTAGCTGCATTTCAAGCAGGTAAACAAACAAATCTCTGTCGTAGGGTTAGAGGGACCAAGTGCCTACGTTTGAGTGGCAGCAGACTGTATGTAGTGTTAAATCTCTCATAGAAGGATGTAAAGGGGTAGAGGTGACATTGAAATTAGTATAAATTCACCATAGTCCCCTACTAGATCTCAAAGATCAACTATCGCAATTCTTTTTCAGCTTAAGAGCCCTTTATCATACACCGCTACGAAATCTTTGATTCACAAACTCACTTTTGCACAATGAAAGTCGCAATTTACCTATCCATCGTTGTCGCCGCTTCGGCTGCTGTTCAGAGGTTGAGCCGTGCCACCAACGAAATCAGTGTTGAAAGCATCTGCGGAGAACTCGGCGTAATGAGATTCAACGCCAACGAGCTCCCTGACCATGTCTCTCCCAACGACGTCCGTATGTGTGCCAAGCACCCCAGCGGCCGCAACCGCACTCTCGACCTTTCGGAGGGCGCGTCACTTCCGCCTGCTCACACCAACAAACAAAGCCTGGCTAATAATGCGACAAATTCTGAGGTCCGCCATCTAAACGAACGCAGTTGTTACTTTAAGGCGCCTTACGGCTGTAGTAGAGGTTGGTGTTGGAAGGCTTGCGATGAAGGAGGCAAATGGTGCTGGACTGCAGCAGAAAGTGGCTACGGCCCTTGGAGGAAATGCGCAAGTTATGCCGACTGTGGGACCCATGATGATACGTTTGGTTGTGGTCGTTGGTGCGGGAAACAATGCGGATGCAGCTGTTAGTCCATGATCAAAAACAGGAATGTTACTGTCAGATATATGAGGGTGAAATCAGAAGTTCGTTGTCTCGAGTCTTGCCAAAAATTTTCGGCGTGTCTTTGGACTGTTACTAGATGATTACTAGATAAGTCAATTGTAGCCGGCTTTGCTATTTCTTTCTTTGCTTTTTCTTTTCTTTCTTTTCTCTTTTTCCATTTCGCAATGAATTATTCTCCTAACTCCAATCGTGATTTCTTCCGTCTTCGCTTGCGCGTCGTGGCAGTACTTTTGGAGGGATATTTGCTCAAAGTCCCCTGTGAGAGCCCTACATATGCTGAACTCCACATCCGATACAAGCAGCAGCAATGCAGCCGTGGGGTGGGTTCAGGCGCTCTCAATAGTGGACGAAAACGCACTGGATATCATGAGTAGCGGAGTTAAACAAACAGCAATCTTACAAGGGAAAAAGTGGAAACATTGTACAACAACGGGTAGGCCAATCACAGTACTATTGGCCTGAGCGTCAAGACGCCATGTCAGCAGACGTCAAATGAAAAGCATGTACCCGCACGTAATAAATATGTTGGCTACACAAAGGAATGTTTTCGTCTGTGTTACCGATATTCTTACTGTTCGAGATAGTACTACAAAGGAAACCTGTGGGCTCAGGCATTCACTATTTCAAGAGAGTAGCACAGACGCTTGACTAATACGTCACACATACCTTGCTATCCAACTACGCAAGCCCAATCTAAGCCATTGCCGTATCCTCTCTCATCTCTTATAGTAAAATGAATCAAGCCCACTCAACATCCTCTTGGTGGCACGTGAAACGGCTATCTAGCTGAGCTTTATCCCGTAGACCGGCAAAACTGCTGTCATTTTTCGATTGCGCATTGTTGACGTTCTTTGCAACGCGCCACTTGTATTCGAGGTCTGCTTCATTCGTAATTTGCCTAATGAAGTTGTAGTTTACTTCCTCTAATAAAAATGCTCAAAGTTGCCATCATGCCCACTATTTGCCGTGTCCACGAGAATATCCAACGCGAGAATGGAATCCTATTCAACGACAGAGTCCAGGTCATCATCGTGTAGCCATAGGGAATTAAGCTTGACCGCGCAAAGGAAATAGAGAAGAAGAAATATCTTTTCAAAACTAGTAAGAGAGAAAGAGATGTCAGATAACATCATACAGAAAACAATTAATTATATTGGATCTACCTACTTCGTAGCAGTAATTAAACGACTTGGCTAATGACAGTGGTTTTGACCTAGTCAGAAGATTTTGGCACCTACACTTGCATGTAATCTTCAGGCAAAGAATACTAATATCTAACTGGATTTCGGTATTGATCCTAAATAAATTAGCTAATGAACAGTAACGGTTACTCGGAACAAATGATTCGCGCACGCTATTCATCATAACATGCTGATATTTTGACCTTGGGCTTTCAGCTACATGTGCATAACTATATGTACTAAGATTTAGCGCTAATTTTGCTGGCCGCACGAGCACCTCTCCCCACGCTTAACCGACCTTCTACATCCCCATCTAATGCAGGTAGTATAAAGGCTCTGCCCGGCCATATCAATAAAGATTTGCATGAAAGCTGAGGTGTGAACTGTGATGATCTATTAAGTCTCAGCTGATATCTTCAAAGCGTTTTATGGAAAGGGCTGTATAATCACCGGAGTATCGATCTTATGTACTTCCCACAGCTATAGAGATTGGCTTTTCTTAAGAGGTGTTTGGAGATCCTTGCTTGCCAGATCTCTAGAGTATGTGACTTTGGATAGATATTATATGATCCTCTTACTTGAACGTAGTATTAATAGAGAGCGTCTTGACTTGAATCCGCGAGTGTGAGGGAGTATCATCCTTTATACACTGTAGAGCCCGAATTTGTGTTACCTATGGTGCATGCACTGAGCGTTACTTCAGCACTTCGTGACCGATTGAGTGTGCCGTATGAGATAAGATATCCACGGTGTACTTAATGCAGACACTATGTAGATATATTATGCAAGAGCTGAGTTGCTTGTAATAAATGTATTGTCATTTAACTTGATTATATACTTCTTAAACATTATGATTGCTACCTTGAAAAATGCAACAAACAGTATAAAATACATTCTATCTTTGATTGTATATGCATGTTTAAGGACTCAAGTCAAGTTCCTTGTATCAGATGACTCAGGCTATTACTACTTTAGGGCGGTAGCACGAATTTAGAGTAACAAGGTACGCGTACGGTTCAACCCGTATTCTTCCGAAAACATATTAATTATATGCGGTCGCACGAAAAGAAGATCAAATTGTTATCGTATTTATGGGCCTCTTCTCCCTGTGTTAAGTCTATTCATATATCAAATCTGCTTGGCATTATTTTCGTGGCCGATGATACGGAATCTGACCGACGATTTTCTTAGGCAGTAGGGCTTGACGCTCTTAAGCTGTTCTACATGAAAGCCTCTTGTAATTCATTGAATCGATAGGGTAATGGCTTCAAGCCCTCACTCGATCCTAATGCACACTGGGAGCATCCGTGTTCGAAAGGAGCAAGGGTAAATTAACCCCAGCAGCCCCCCCCCCCCCCCCCGACCACTCAAAACAATAAATGACAATACATTATCCCCTATTCATGTAGATCTGCTACTTCAAAGGATTTCGTCTCCATATTTGAGGGCTAATCATTCTTCCACAGGTAACAAATAATGTCTGGGAAGTACAAACGCTGTTCTGGCCAACTACCAAGCATGGCGCAAGTCTTAGCGGTGCGATTCAAGTAACGCAGCCTTTATAATTGGTTCTGCTATTTACTCTGTTTGTATCAATTTCAAAGTAGATATTTTTACCGATACAAATCGAGTATTCTAGATAGATTCCTAAATCTTATTCACCATATAACAAAAACACACAACAGCGTATGACTTCCATCTGCGCCTATAAGCTATACGATCCATGATTTTATGTGTCTTGTAACAATCTGCAAAATTTTTATAGCCTTGATGAAGTTCATTTTGCATATATAGAAGCATTTGAACTGGGGAATCTAGACAATTTAGCAATTTAGCTTCAAAAAACTATCCTAGAAGGTGAAACATTTTTCTCTTTTCAACTCTTGCGATATCTTTTCTCAGATGTTTTATCAGTGAAACTTACTGTTACACTACTACTCCGTATGTGGTCCTCAAATACACAAGAACTCCATAGATAAAACCTCTTATGACATATATTAAGCGTAGTTTGAGCCTGAGTCATAGAATCCTCCTTCAATAACCTAGCCACACGACGAACGAAACGGTGCTGATGAATTTTTTAAGCTCAAGCCATGAACTTATCTATAATCTTGGAATAAGTTCCAATTTTTCCATCCTGATACATCCTCATGGCAGTCGCCAATTGTTGTCTCCTCGAATCTCCCAGAGCGTCAGAGAGGTAATGGATATTTCCTCGATTGCTATTCTCCTCCTGCTTCACAGCTTCAACATACCATTTTTGATCCTCAAATTGTTCAATTAGGTCGGCGCTCTTGGGAGACCCGTCTTCATTGTAGTTCCATGGAGCATCAATAGCGGGCGGAATAATAGACAGGGTCAAAGGGAAGTCTCCAAGCATCTCCCAAGGCCCAGCGAAGGCCATTTCCCAGTCAATCACGCCTAAAATATGATACTGATCATCAACAATGGTATTGTTATGTCCGAAGTCCCCATGACAAAGAGGAAATGGGCCATGGTCGCGGAAAGACAATGTATCAGCCAATTCGCCAATGGACTTGGCGAAGGACGAGACTGAGGGGATAATTTCAGCAGCGTATGGGCCACATACTTCTCGTAATTGCTCATCCGTCATTCCAAATTTGGTATTGCCTGCCCATGCTTTGTAGAACTCTGTCGCTGTGTCAAAAGGGCCGCCTAGGCCCGGAATGGGGCCTTGCTGATATGTGCCATCCGCATTTACGGAGACAATTGTCCCAATCTTGGGTAGCAGCACCGTGGATAGTTGGACCTAGGAGAGAAAGTTAGTCAATTGACCACCTATGTCCAGGCCATGGACTTTATGCTTACATGGATCCTTGCTAAGCCACGTAGGAAGGCTTTCTTGTACTGTGGCGGCACGCTCATTCCCAAATCCATTCCTACATTGCCCTTCAAACAGTCCATTAACATGAATGGAGCGTTCACCTTGCAATCACTTCGCTCTTCGATGGCGTGTACTTCGGGGACGGGAATATGTGTACTCTGCCGTACGAGGCAAATCGTGCTAAACTCGCGAATTCCCGATGTCTCCAAAGCATCCTCGCAAGAATCACCGTCTGCTAGAGGAGGCAATCGCAGTCGTGCTACCCATTGTTTTCCATCTGAAAACTGAATTATCCGAACCATGTGGTTGTAACCAAGGCCGATATCAGGAAACAGTATGCAACTGACTCCATTCCTTTTCTCAGCAGCGTACTCTAGAAGCGCAGCCCAACTCACGGATGCTAGAAATGAGTCGGCCCGTGAACGAAGGGGACCGTGTTCAAGAGAAGAATAATAAGTCCACTGATACCCAGAAAATTCTTCTGCGTTTTCTAGGATGTTGTTAATGTGCCCTGAATACCAAATTTGGGGGTAAAGCTTACCTGAAGCGCCATCGGGGCATCTATTTTCAAGGTTGTTGTTTACCATGGCGTAAAACGATAGACAGACCGATCCCAAAGTTAGGAAAGAGATCAAGGAGATCGAACCAAAAGGCACGAAGGTTCTCTTTGAATGCTGGCTCAGCGTAGCAAGGCAATATTGCAGTGTGCGGTTGATGCAGATGGCAAATGGAATGTGCCACGTTTCTCTGATGCTTGAACTTGAGAAGAACAAGTCATTACATTTATGTGTCTGCCCACCTGAGTAGATTTACAGCTGTGCGACCTGAGATACGCGTCACGGGAGTGGTGCGTGCAGCTGCCTGGGGCAGATAACGCGTGCAGATTTTATCGGGTGAGAAAGAAAAAGCAATGAAGCATAGTTCGAAATAGATTTCTGAATGACATGCGTAAGAGACTTAATACATAGGTACCTGGTGTATATTAAATAAATAGTACATATATGTATGTATATGATATAGATTATTCCTTATTTAATACTCGCAGGGCATTTCAGGTCAAAAAAAATATTAGTACATATGTTCAATGCAGCCACTAAATATAACTATCTACCTACCTAGGTAGGTATCTACTGGTAGTGCATATTTATATCCCCCAAGGGGAAAAAAAAAAACTAGAATACTAAGGAAAGAAAAAAAGATTGTGTCTATATCTGTATAATTATGGAATTCATATGCGAAGCAAGCTCGTTGCCTGAGGACATTGCTTACCTGTGTTCTTTTGCATGAGTTATGGTTAGAGGCATCGAGTGACTCGATCCAGGTTCCAACCTGCTCAAATTTCCGCGTTTCTCCAAGCTTCCACGCACAGCCGCAAATTCCCGCCTGTAGGATTGGTACTTGTTATATCCCTGTAAAGTTCACAGGATTCTTCAATCTCGAATCCGATCGGTCAATAGGCATTTCTATCTGCACAGTGGTCGCAAGATTGTTTCTCAACACTGCGTCCTATTGTGTACGAGATGGAGGATGCCTCAGGTCGAGGCTGAGTAATATCGCTGGCTACTGCAAGGGATCGAAGTAATACATGCAGATTCATGTAGTAATATCACATATTTCTTCAAGAAGTCAAATTTAGTGCCCGGTTCCCTTTGTTTGTACCAGCATCTGCTTTTCTTATTCACTCGTGTGTACGTCAATTTCTTCACAGAATGGCTTCGCGAATTCTTTTGCGCGTCGTTTCCTCACCATCTTCGCCTCTGATACGACAAACTAGGCTACCATCACATCTTCCGCTCCGCCCATGTCTCAATATTCCGTCCAAGTATCTTGCTTCTTCGCGTCTGCTGCCTGCATTTCGTTATGTCCGGTTACAAAGTACTATGTCAGAGCCCCAGCAAAAGCGAAAATTGCAATGGTATTGGAAACTGCTGATCACTTTGGGAGTCACTGCTGGGGCGACGACTGGCGGCGCTCTCGTTGCGGATAAATACTACATGGGAGGCATCCTTTCGCGCAGCTTGCGAGCTTATGCGACACTCGCTCAAGTTGGCTTCGACTATAAGATGCACTCGGGCAAGAATCCCAAAGGAGGTCGTGTGCCCATTGATGAGCTGCACGATCGAAATGCGAAGCGAGTCTGTGACATGATCAAAGCCAACGGTGGCATGTTCCTGAAGATTGGCCAGGCCATCGCCGTACAAAGCGCTGCTCTGCCGGAAGCGTACCAGCGCGAATTCAAGGACATGTTTGACGATACCGCTCAGGATCCCTGGGACGACGTACAAGCAGTAATTCGAGAAGAGTTTGGAGCCAGCGCAAGTCAAGTATTTGGCGATGGTATAGAAAGAGAGCCCAGAGCCTCTGCATCCATAGCACAAGTTCACTATGCGAAGCTGCCAGATGGGCGGGAAGTTGCTGTGAAAGTACAGAAAAGAAAACTGGCACAACAAGCATCTTGGGACCTGTGGACTTTCAAGTATGCAGCGTACTGTTCTCTCCATACACAATCTCTGACGCAGTGCACTAATCGGATATTTCAACAGAGTTCTCCTCGATATAGCCGGCAGAACGACAGATTTACAGATCCAAGGCCTTGGCGACTACATAATGAAGAGCATCATGCAGGAGACTGACTTCCAAAACGAAGCAGCAAATACGATACGAACTGCGAAACTTGTCAAGTCTGATCCCAGCCTGAGTGCACGTGTATATATCCCCAAAGTCTACGCGGAGCTTACGTCTAAACGCGTGTTGACATCTGAGTGGATCCACGGAGCCAATTTATGGGATAGAGATATTATTACTGGCAAATACGACGCATCTGATGAAGCAAATACGGCGATGGGCCTTGGAGAGGCAGATGTCATGACTACAGTCATTGATCTCTTCTCATCTCAAATGTTCAAATGGGGCTTTGTACATTGCGACCCTCATCCAGGTAACATCTTTGTACGACGCCTTCCGACAGGCAAGCCACAAATAGTACTAATAGACCATGGCCTCTATGTGTCTCTCACAGACAATTTGCGGCGACAGTACGCTCGATTTTGGAAGTCTCTTCTGATGGGCGACCAAAAGGGGCTGGACGAGGTATCGGCTGCCTGGGGAATGAAGACTTCCGATGCTTGGGCAGATGCGTTCATGTCTCGCGAAAAAAAACCTGATCCGGTCGGCGAGACGCCCGAAGAGCGCGCCCAGCGGGCTCTTGATGAAGCCTCTGGCCTTTTCGGTGAAGCTGGGCTATACCCCCGCGAGCTCCTGTTCCTAGAACGGAATCTGGCTCTTGTTCAAGGCAGCAACCGGTTTTACGATTCTCCCGTCAATCGACTGGGCATGATTGGTCGTTCAGCAATGCAAAATCTGCGCGACGACAGCCAAGTGACGTTTCGGCAGGCTTTGAGCTCACAATGGTCCATGCTTGTCCTTGATGCCGTCTTCTATATCAGCCGCTGGAGGCAGTATATGGGATGGGGCAAAGGCTTTGAGGCGGAGCTCAAAGAAGCAGAGGAGAGAATGGCTCAGGAGATGAAAGAATCCATGTCTGGGCTTTGGGAGGTCGATGAGGAGACACAGTGATTGGGACAAGTCAGGTCCCCAGTATACGAATAACGATTCTCCTTTGTTAAGCGTCTAACATTAAACAACTGCGTACACGTACATTATTCATAACCAATCCCTGTTCCATATATATGTATTATTATTACTCTCCAATATAATGTTCTTCTTATCAAACCTTTTGTAGCCTCAGGTTATTCAAGACGATTGGCACATTACCTCACTATTATGCAGGAATATGTTACCAATGTTGTCTCAGATTGGATGCAACTTGTAGTAAGCATAATACTTGACATGCCTAATCCAGGTGACACAGACGTTTCGAAAACGTAAGCCAGCGTCGATCCAGTAAGCCCCGGCCCTCAGGCTTGGAACAAGATTTGCATTTGCAAACGTATTTACGAATTATTAGCTGAGATAAAATTAAGAGTGAGAAATACTAGAGAACAAAATGTATCGCTTCATCAGACGGGTAGAAAGGTCGTCGGTAAAGTGAGCATGTGGGTCGATGATGTGAGCCGAAAGAGGCGCCTCTCCGTATAGAACGCCAACGTGGTTTCGAAGTTCGTTTCGGTCATCTAGCTACACAGCTTGAGACAACTCTTTTAAGAGCTACTTGATTTCATAAAAGACCATCACCAAAGCAAAGGAGCATCTATAGTCGATCGACTAAGCAATACTGTAGTGGGAGGAACCATGCGCATTCAATTGCGTCTCTAGTCCAAGACCAAAGTAAAGGTCCATTAATAAATCTAAATACGCCGCTCCGAACTCGACTCTTTCTCTCCATATATTCCATTTTACAGATTTCCATATACAAACTTCGTGCAAGATGGCTGCATCCAAACTCCCAACCAAGGCTCTCGGCCGCAACGGCCCCCTTGTCTCTACATTAGGCTTTGGAGCCATGGGCCTAAGTGCCTCCTATGGATTTGGCGGTTCCGACGAAGATCGATTCAAAGTTCTTGATCGTGCTTACGAACTGGGTAGCACCTTTTGGGATACCGCAGATGTTTATGGCGACAACGAGGAGTTGATTGGTAAATGGTTCAAGCGTACGGGTAAACGCGATGACATCTTCCTCGCGACGAAATGCGGTGGTGTATACAATGCCTCTGGAAACTTTACTATACGTTCAGACCCGGAGTATGTGCGAGAAGCTTGCGACAAGTCGCTCCAGTTGTTGGGCGTATCCCACGTTGATTTGTTCTATCTCCATCGCCTTGATAAAGAAACTCCAGTCGAGCTGACAATTGGTGCTTTGGCTAAATTGAAAGAGTTCGTCTTCAATATATGCCCGATTATCACTGGTATACCAGGCTGACAGATGAAACGAAACATAGGCAAGGCAAAATCCGACATCTGGGACTCTGCGAAGTGTCTGCAGAAACACTTCGACGTGCCCATGCCGTGCATCCAATCACGGCCATTCAGGTCGAATACAGTCCCTTTTCGGTAGACATTGAACACTCTCAAGTCGGCCTTCTCAGCACAGCAAGAGAGCTTGGCATTGCCGTTGTGGCCTACAGCCCGCTCGGACGGGGCATGTTGACAGGGGAGATCAAATCGCCCGACGACTTTGCCGACGACGATTTCCGAAAGTATCTCCCGCGCTTCTCCAAGGAGAATTTCCCGAAGAACCTGGCATTGGTGGAAAAGCTTAGCATCATTGCCGCGAGCAAGGGTATCACATCGGGGCAGTTGACTTTGGCGTGGCTGCTTGCGCAAGGAGACGACATCTTTCCTATCCCTGGGTGAGCATTTCTTCTTCTATCGCTCGTCGTTCAGTATCATTTTGGGTCGAGTAGAGAAGCTGACAGTAACCAGCACTAAGAAGATCAAGTACTTGGACGAGAATATGGGAGCCGCCAATGTCACACTCACTAAAGATGAAGAGGCGGAGATTCGCAAAGCAATTGATGAGACAGAGGTCATTGGAGGCCGATACGCGGACGAGTAAGTCTATGACTACACCTTTTTTGCGTCCATCTTGTTCTGACAATTTTAATAGGATGTCGGGCCATCTATTCGCTGACACCCCTGCTCTTTGAACTTGGCAGGGAGTGTGAAGAAAAAGAGGGAAATCTCAAAGCCTCAAAATATTAGCATTTATTTCTCAATTAAACATTACAGTAACAATCAGTCGTTTTACTGCTACTACTTCTGCTACTTCTGCTACTAAGATATAGCTAGGACCTGTTGTTAAATATTAGAGCTGGGGTGCTGGATGACTTTTCCTTTTATAAAATAGTGTTTTTGTTTAAACTTGTGTGTCTGCATTTCCATTTTGCGGTCCCTATTCTACGGACACCTTCCTTCGGTTGCAAATGTATAGAATAACTCATACTACTAGTGTGTATAATGCCAATCTATTCTTCAAGACGAAGCCAATAGTATATAATTTTGCTACATCTCTCTGAGCCGCATGTTAAATCTGTGAAACTACCAACTGGCTCAAGGCCAGTCACTTACACGATGCTTACCAATGTGGCTGAATTACCTGGTCCCTGTAGATCTCGGAAAGTAGCGAATAGACCCGAATCTTATTTCCACTTGGAGCAATATGCCACAAGTCTAAAGCAGGCATAAGCCTCTCTTCCTAGTTCTCTATGTGGCTAATGGCTCTCTGTCAGACTAAAAATGGACATATTTCGATGATGGCTCACGGCCATTCACGGAGATAGACGGACGGTCCAAACTCCGCTGGTATATGTAGCGGAGTTCTAAACAGAATTTATAGTAGGCGTTACTACATGCAGTCTGTCAATCTTGTTATTATAAGCTTCCCTTATGAATTGAGTTTCGGATTTCTTAGTACTTTAATTTCGCCTTTGACCTAGTTGGCGCCATCTCGATTAGTGGAAGAATCATTCATCTTTGCTTATTCGATCAAAAAGTGGATTTTCTGGAGAGAGACGCTCACCTCATCATTCTTTAAGAACGGTCTGCTCACCACATCAACTTCTACGAAGCGCATTTGAGCTGCTGTTGCTGTCCAGTTGGTTTCACACGAAGGATTTAGCTGCCATCATCAAACATCCGCGTAGCTTCTTGGCATGTTGCAAGTTGATGACGATATCTGCATATCCTGGACCATGGAGCATGTTGGCGCTACAACGACAGATGCGGAAAAGGCAACCGAGGAGCAGCAAGTTGATCAGAGTGACATTGAGCAGGCTCTGGAACAGCACAGAAGCTCCAAATCACAAAGAACGAAGCCACAAATTTTGAAGACATCCGAGAGGAGGCGTATTCAGAATCGCGCGGCACAAAAGACTTATCGTTAGTACCAGATCCATACTGATGACGCTACACAAGCTGAAACAATTCCGCTAATAAGTTGAGACACGCAGGAGAAAAGCAGAAGAGACGACTGCAGGCTCTAGAGTTATATGCCAAGTCCCATACGACTGTTTCTCAGGATGAAGCAGCCTTCTCCACCCCAACGTCCGCTGTTGGCCAAGATGTAGCTGGTATGCTTGGCATAGATTCGCCAATCATGGGGCTACCAGAGTTATTGCAACATCATAGTCTCCCAATCCCCGACATTGGCATAAATGATCTTGTAAGCTGCGACCCAAGCCTTGATGCAGCTCCTTCAAGTCGCCTAGCCGGTGGACCCGTCCCAATATACGGCGAATACATACCGAGCAGTAACTTCCAGGGGAATAATGTTCAAAATCCCAGCAAACCATTTCAGGAGGAATTCTTCTCAGCGTCTGAAAATAGGCCCACATCTATTGCCGGCTCAAATGCCATCACCCCAGAGAGCAGCCTCGGTTCATTCAATGTACAGCACAGCTATGGGCAAGCACACGGTGACGGCGCGCCAAACGGCGACTCACATAATGACGGCGATGCGGATAGTTTACTTGCACAGTTTCTCTTGCAAGACGATGTTACCCTAAGTAGAGGTCTGCTTAGGGATATACGGAAACACAAGGTTACTCTAAGAGACGTGCTAAGGCTGGGCCTTCAGTCGCTGGAGGGCAGGCCATCCAGCACAGCAGGAAGCATGAGAGTGACTGAGAGCTCATTACAACAGCGTGCATATTGTAAGTCTGAGCTATTGATGCCTCGGATGCTAGGATTTTCTTAAACTAACGAAGAATTAGTACAACTCCCCGACCTTCATACCAACACAATTCGCCTCACGCAAATGTCATTTGTAGCAGCTGTTTTACACAACGCTTCTATGCTTGGCATAACGGCATCCGAGATTTTTTCACATGATACCGAATCCTATTTTTGCATCAGCAGAGGAGCATCAGATGCATCAAAGCATGCCACTCAAGAGCCCACGCTCGACCACATTAAAGAGCACTTGAAACCCACCCAGAACCAACTCACACATCGCCATCACCCTTATATAGACACTCTCCCATTTCGAGCCTTTCGCGACAGATTAATAGCGGTGATTCAAGCTCAGCCTCCTATAATCAACATGCCAGAGCTCTGTCACGATTTGCAGAGTGATGGGGTCATATGCTGGGGGTCCAGCGCAGGGGCTGGGACTGGCCATTCTGGAGCTCCGTGGGACATTCGAAGCTGGGAAGTGCGGCCGTGGTTTTTGAAGAAGTGGTGGATGTTGACGGAGGGCGCAGAGGGGGAGATGTATCAACAGGCGAGGTGGTGGTGTGAGATGAGAGGCGAGGATATGCCAGCTGTTTGGTGAAGATGGAGGAGTTTTTGTCATCCGTAATGCCTCATCAAGGGAAAAGTCGTGCAGCACCTTGATTCATTATCCAATATCCCAGCTGTAGCTCAATAAGCAGCCAGTCCATGCAATAAAAGACACAACTGCCAAGTATATTTGAGAGTAGCATGAGTAGCATGAGTAGCTTTTCATTGCGGATGATCTCGATTCATGTTTTTAATCCCTCTTATCCCTGCGTTCATATGGTGACTTACAAATGGGGCCTGTAACAGCTTGGTTTGTGCGTGCGATGCTATTGAGAAGGATATCTTGGTCCTGACGTTTGCCAAAAGAAAACATGGCTCTAAAAAGATGCTTATTACATGTGCACAATATATGGAGCAATGATGATTTTTCCTTGTTATGATTTTTCCGTATGGCCAGAAGTGAATGAAGAGAATGCGCTGTTGTATGGAAAGCGATTGAAAATATTCTGTATGAGTCACTACGTCATAGCTAGCGGCCGTCTTATTCACATGTGCATGTGCCCAAAAGCAAGACAAAAATCACGACATCAATGATTCGCGAACAATAAAAGTATCTCGGATCAAAGCTGCAGAATCTCTTAATTAATCCAATCCATTCAACCATCAATCTACACATTATTCATCCATGGCTTCTCAGCTTTCAGCTCAATTGCACCACCCCTCCATGCCCCACCATGGAGCTGTAGCTGCCGGATAAACCCGCCGATCTTCGGATCTCGATAGACAAAATCGCAAGAAAAAAAAAAGTCTCGTCTTCTTGTACTCGAAGCCAGCCAAACAAGACGAGAAAAGATCCAATTGACTGCGCCCGCCATGTCAATTCGCACGCTCAGAATCGGTACGTGTTTGCTGTTCCTCCCCCATTCAAAACATCACCATCATCTACTTCTCCTCCCCAAAATACATACAGCTGGCTAATCCCTCGCAGGCCTCATCCCCGGTGACGGCATCGGCAAGGAAGTCATCCCCGCCGGCCGCCGCCTCCTCGAAGCGCTCCCCGCGTCGCTCAAGCTCAAGTTCGACTTTGTCGACCTCAAGGCCGGCTTCGAATCCTTTGAGCAAACCGGCTCGGCCCTGCCCGACGCCACCGTCGATGTGCTGCGCAACGAGTGCCAGGGCGCGCTCTTTGGCGCCGTCAGCTCGCCCACGCACGCCGTCAAGGGCTACTCGTCGCCCATCGTCGCCCTGCGCAAGCGCCTCGACCTCTACGCAAACGTGCGCCCCGTCAAGACGGTCCTGACCGCCGCCAAGCCCATCGACATGGTCATTGTGCGCGAGAACACCGAGGACCTGTACGTCAAGCAGGAGACGACGCGCGACACGCCCGAGGGCAAGGTCGCCGAGGCCATCAAGCGCATCTCCGAAAAGGCCTCGTTCCGCATTGCCGCCATGGCCGGCGACATTGCGCTGCGCCGCCAGAAGATCCGCGAGAGCGCCCCCAGCATCCACAGCAGGCCCCTCGTCACAATCACCCACAAGTCCAACGTGCTGTCGCAGACCGACGGCCTGTTCCGCACCGCCTCCAAGCAGGCCCTGTCCGACCCCAAGTACGCCTCCGTCGCCATCGAAGAGCAAATCGTCGACTCCATGGTCTACAAGCTGTTCCGCCAACCCGAAGACTACGACGTCATTGTTGCCCCCAACCTGTACGGCGATATCCTCTCCGACGGTGCTGCCGCGCTCGTTGGCAGTCTCGGCCTCGTCCCCAGCGCCAATGTTGGTGAGGGCTTCGCCATTGGTGAGCCTTGCCACGGCAGCGCTCCCGACATCCAGGGCAAGAACATTGCCAACCCCATTGCCACCCTGCGAAGCGCTGCCCTGATGCTCGAGTTCCTCGAGGAGCCCGAGGCTGCTGCCAAGATTTACGCTGCTGTTGATGCCAACCTGGAGGAGGGCAAGCTGCTGAGCCCTGACTTGGGTGGAAAGGCCACCACTGATGAGGTCGTTGAGGATATCCTGAGACGCCTATAAACGGTGTTTCTTGCTAGAAATAACAAATAAAGTAAAATTGACGTGCAAGGTACTATTGTTACGTCACCTAGTATTATTGGGAAAATCACTGGGGCACACCTAGACTGAGAAGAAATAAAGCAATTTTGAATAACGAAATAAAGTAAAGCAATATTGATAGAAAAGATCATCCTTAGTAACCGACCAAGCAAATTTGGCAATCCAGCCGTAAGCAATCATTCCGATAGTCTCGCCATATAGACTGGAGAAGAAGAAAATAACCGTAATATCCCAAATCTCCAAATACCCAAATCCAGGCCGGGTATCAAATAGTGAAGTAAATAAATATCACCAAATAGCGCCATAAAAGTCGCATCATCGGCCCCATATCCTGACGCATCTCAAATTCCGTGTTGGCGATTGTCCTAATTCCCATAAATGCAGAAAAATTAATAATGAAATAAATCGAAAAGCACCGATAACTTTTATGACTGCGCCCGTCTCACGCATTCTGCCTCTTCGCATTCTTCGCCGCCTCCCTCTTTGCTTTAGCAGCCAACTTCTTTTCCTTTTCTTCTTTGACGCGCAAAAAAGTTTCTCTGAGCACAGCTTCGCTCGTAATTTGAGGCGTATGGCCGTCGTCCTGTAGAGTACGATCCACATCTCTGGCTTTCTTCGTCTGGAGATCGTAGATGCGTTTGTCGATGGGCTCTTTGGTCTTGATGTTCACAAGATGAGTCACTTTCTGTTGCCCAATTCTGACCACTCGACCGAAGGCTTGCTGCTCAGCCGTCTTGTTCCACCATGGATCGATGATAATCACTCGATTAGCAGCTGTGAGATTCAGCGACTGGCCGCCGCTCTTGAGAGTGGAAACCTGTATAAGAAGAGAATCTTAGTTAGAATTGGTTGATTCCCAATCGCAGAGGACGGCCGCGGGTAACACCGAACCAAGCTCACCATCACTTTTATCTCGTTTCTAGTCTTAATCGTCTCCAAGGCTCTAGCCTTCTGTGCCGATGCGAGTCCGCCGTAATAATACACGAATCCAATGTTTAGAGTCTGCAGCATGAGTCCCAGCATCTTTGCTGTACCAATAAACTGGGTGAAAACTGTGAAAGAGAAAGGAGAGGGATATGAATTAGTATTAATAGTACCAAAGAAACCTCTCAGCTCTGCAAACTTACTGAGAATCTTGTCGTCAGGCGCTTCATCCATCCATGTCAGAACAACCGCCATAGTTGCTGTGAGCTTTGTGCTTGGAAGTATCGGGATATCTCCACGAAATGTACTGGCGACGAAGAAACCGTTTCGCTCGTCATCATGGTGCACAGAAGCATTCAGGCTGTCCTTTGCAGGCTCGCTATAGCCGCTATTCTTCTCTTGCGACTGTTTCAATATTTTTTGTATAGTTTTTATATCAGGTCCTGAACCGAGCTTCTGGTTGCAATCTTTATAGGGACAGTCCTAGAATAAGTTATTAGTCATGGCTGAATATAATTTAGAAGATCAAATGTTGCGCTTACCACCCTTTTACCGTCACGCTCGGCGTCTACAAAAGCCTTGACTAGGCACCCCGAACAGAAAGCATGTGGGCACTTACTCCGTTGTCAGCGTGGGATATCAATATTTTTTTGATGACTTACCAAATATGAGAATATTGGATCCACTGGCGGTTTTTCTGTATTACAGAGGAGACAAGTAACGTCCCTCGTACTGCACTCCGCTGCAAGGAGATTCAAGAGTGGCTCCATATCGAAGAACTTGCCAAAATATGTTTCTTCTCTTTCTTGCAGTATCTCTAGCCCTTTGCGATACTTTGCAATCTCGTCGTCTGCTTTCATATCGAGCTGCATTTGCTCCAAAATTGTTTGCATCTTGTCGATTTTCCCAAGGTTCTCCTTTAATTCACCCAGCTCTTCTACACAGAAATTTTGGCGAAGAAGTCGCTCAATGCAGAAAACATGGGATGTTGATTGACGTGACCTCACTTGACTGGCATGTGTCAGCAAATACGATGCCTTTCGTGGCGAGCGCTCCTTGGGTGCAGATTTTCGGCGGCGGTTTTCGTTGTTTCGCTGCTCTTTCGTGGCATCTTCACCTTCCGCATCGTTGATATCTTTCAAGTCTCCCTCTCCAAGCGTGCCCGATTCTATTCTGGCCCGTAATTTTTTATAATGATCGTTCACGGCACTCAAAAAAACTAACATGAGCAGTTGAACTTGAATATAGCGTCGGGAATAAAGAGTGTGCTTCAGATTTCAACTCACCTGACCACGAAGTGTTCTTCTGCCGACATAGGTATCCAGAGATCAACCTCGTTGCGATCGGGGAGGCTAATGATTTGCCTTCCAAAAAATGAATCATCCATTGTACTAGATCTTCGTTAGCTATTGTGTACATGCGATGCCATACTAAAAACGAAGCTCACCGTCGGTACATAATGAGGCTGGTCAATGCCTCGAATTGCGCATTTGGTTCAGTCTGTAATCGTCAGCCCCACTCTCTGTAACTATTATGTGAAATTCCAATATACCTTTATGAAGAACATGGCGCGAAAGTCTTTCTGGGTTGCCGTCCATTCACATTGGGTGAACTTCATGTAAGGATACATCTCTGCAATTGTTGGTAAGCTGCGTTTCAATGCGAGGATCCAAATCGGTACACATACCATAAGAGCTGTTGGAAAGGGGTGTACCAGATAAGGCCCATCGATACTTTGAATAGAGCGCACAACAGGCTTTAGATGCTAACGGTGTAAAAAGAGAAGAATTAGTAACCTCCAGAATCGCGACGAATGGAAACATACTGCGGCTTTCAGCGTTTTTGATTGCATGTGCTTCATCCAGAATAACCCTGTACCAGTTGATGCGAAACAAAATACCCACGATCTCGTCGAGTGCACGATGGTAAGATATATCATCGGTGTCGTACTTCTCAGCGAGTTGTCTAATAACTGTATTGTCCGGGTACTGCATCATCACTTCCTTGTAGGTGGCAATCCTGTTCTGTGTTAGATGTCGAGGCCACGCAATCCGACACAAATGAGACTCACACAATGAGGCTTTGTGTGCACCGCTGGTGTAAATCTTCGCACTGCCGGTCGTAGATGAAAGCCCTAAGGCTGTGTGGCTCGTTGTAGTGTCTCTATATACCCAATCAGCTGAATATTTTTACTGGCAAGATAGCTTCAATATCCTTACACGCGCTTCTGCTTCCCACTGTTGGGCGACTGCTTTGCTCGGCACGACTACAAGAGTCGCCTTGCAATATTTGGCGATATGCTCATCGTCGGGTGGGTTTCCAAGGATACAGGCAAGACTCATGATTGTCTTGCCCATACCCATGGCATCCGCCAAAAGTCCACCGAAAGGTTGCATCCGTGCCAACTCCCTCTTAATCATCCAGGCCACGGCTGTAATTTGATGGCAGCGCATTGCTGTCTTCATACCTTTCAGTCTCCAATCACCGTCATCAGCTTCGATCTTTTTATAGCCAAAGATTTTGACAGCCTCATCAAGATCCTGCTTTTGTGTGTTTTTGCGTCTAGTATCACAGTTCTGTGGTATACTAGCTTTGAGTTGAGCCATTTGATCTGTATGAGTTTTGGCCTTAATAGACTCCGCGGGAAGTAGCGGACGACCGGTAGAGGATGAAGAGGAGCCGTCAGCCAAAAGATAGCTATTGCCATTTGCTGTCTTTATAGCCTTTGAGGGTCCAGAATCGCTTGCAGCGAGCTTGCGCTTGCGCAAACGTTTCGCGCTTTGTTTTTTCCCTTCGCCTTGCTTCATTTTCCGGGCATGCTTTTGGTCTTCCTGCTCGTGAAGGCGAGCAACGTATTCTCTTGCAGTATGTGCAAGCTTTCGTCGAGGTTTTGTACTCTTTTCTGCTAAAGCTGACGTGCGGTTTGACTGCGGAGCTTCATGCTCGCACTCATTTCCAGAAGAAGCGCAGCTGTCGTCCTCGTACTCAGAGGCTTCATCGTCTTCAGCGACATCCATGACATCTCCCCCAAGTTCTTCAGGTTTCTGTAGATGGATATTGGCCATCTCTTGCTCATAAATATTGTCTAGCGTTGGTAGAGTGTCCTCGTCGTCGTTCATCTCAGCTGCAAGCGCATATAGACGCTCCTCTTCCATGGTATGGCCACCCTCAACTGCATGGCCATCCTCCAAAATGCGATTATCGTTTATGTCATGGATACCATCCGTAGACTCATTCATCGCTTCTTCGACACTGTTGTCCGTGATTTGGGCATCTTCCATGGTATTCTCATTGTCCTCCACAAAAAGAGACGTCTCCATTGCGAGCTCCTCCTGGGCGGGAGCAATCAATTGAAGTAGCGGATCTGGGAGATCATGATCCTCGCTAATAATATTTAGATCGCTATTCAATTCCACTTTGTCGGCTTTGCTATTGCTTGAAGCAATATTCTCTAAGCAGTCAGCAATAGGCTCGGGCGATTCGCAGGGCGAGGGTAGTTGATGAGTGAGCTGTTCGATTTCTAGCGGTAGTGGCTGAGAAGACGCTGGCGTCATCTCCATATCGGAAGCCATTTGAGCGATATCTATGCCATGGTTAGTCGAAATCTTCTCGTGATATTGTGGAAGATGAATGTGCGGAAGTAGATACAGTGAATCAGGTCAAGCTTGCAGCTTAATGAGCGAATCAAATCACTTTTGGAGATGGAAAAAATTGAATAGGATATTGTAGCCTCTAGATGATCGTAGCCATCATCAAGTGAAGGGATGAAAGAAAAGGCGAGTGACTGGACAGAAGATAATGAGAAGTGATAGAGTAAAGAGGTGAGAAGAATAATTTGATCCGGTCTTCTATTTAAGTACCTGGTGGAGGGCAGTGAATTATTGCCAGGCGGCTGCACCTGGGAGCGAGGTGAGCAGGTGCTCTCTGAAACGCATGTACCTTTCGAAATCCGTTTCTCAGCTCTCCATGCTCATATTAGCAGTGCCAACGGTGCACAGAATTTTCAAGCTACTTAGCTAAATTAAAAGGCCCGCACAAAGCTCTCAGAAGCAATAGATGGTTTGCACACGAAAAGTCATTGGATATCACATACTATGTGATGAGATGAGATCGAAGTTGTATGATCTGTCTTTGCTTCTAACAGTATATGGTCGGGGATGTTTACCAAGCTTTGAGCTTAGATATCTCTAAAGCGACAAACAAAAACAAGAAAACACACAAGTCTATTACTCTTATTTGAAAGGCATTCAGGTAAGTAATAATAACACCCGAAGCATCTATACTTTTCTCTTCTTCTGTTGGCGCCACAACTTCTGCTACCGCTGTTACTGCTACTACTTTGGTAGCTCTTACGGCTTCTAAAGATAGAAAGCTTTATCATTTCATGTTGGCAGACCTATTTTGTATTTATTTTTCCTTTTGCGGCCCCTGCTCGTCCGTCCTCTCCTCACCTTTCCTCTGTATATATCGGCATCGCGACTCACACCAAGCTAGCATCGCGCAGTACAAAATGAGGTAGCAACATGAAGCTAATCAAAGCCAGCTGTAGAGATCTGACATTTTCATTTAACAAATAACATTTGTTTTGGTTCAATTCAAGTCTATATATTTATGCCTTACACGAAGATACCTGACATATCGGCAATTATATAATGATACCTTATTCATGTAACCCCCTAGAGCTACGGCGCAACATTCAATGCCCCTCAGATGGCCGACATTGCTTCTCCATACAAGATATTTGGAACATCTGATGGAAATAGAAACAGTAACTTCATCTCCAAAAACTTGCTGCTGCGCAATTGACTGTACAGTAACCTGTCCACTCTCTGGCTTCGGCGCGTCGCCCAGCATTATATAGCTGCATATGGTGTCACCGTCTTTTCTGAGTACTCTGTAAGTACATATGGTGTGCAGTAGTGTCATGCAGCCTGCCTCGTCTGGAGGCATCATGGTTCGGATCAAATGCCGTTTCAACGTTTCATCAACCTCATTCACTGCCATCCTATTCAATTTACACCCACTGCACTATTCCATTCTTGGATTTGCACCTCGGGAATGCTGGGCTTCTTTTCTTCGATATACATAGATCTCTTACCAATTGCCGCGGTTATAGAGAGAATAGGATTGAAGGTTTGCTGGCTGTGGCACGAACTCGCGCAATTCGGCCGCCAATCTCGTCAAACTCGTTAATCTTGTCAGCTAGCCTAGCGTCAAGTTAGCCACGGAGATGGCGATTCTTAAGAGCAGCATTGACCAATTCCCCAGACGACTACATTGTTTGGCTTCGTAGATTTCTCAGGATTCGCGCCATAAGCATCCATTTCCCAGGTTTTCAACCATTACCAACGACACTCGAGCTTGGTCATCCATAGAGCTAACTGTAGCCCCAAGACGTTAATGCAGGAGTTCCACAAAGAGAAGATAGCCACCCCGCAAAATCCTGCTGCTACCCGATATGGATTTGAACTATCTGCACAAGTCTGATATCTCTTTACTTCTGGGATATACATTTCGGAATGGCGCGCATATGAGGCGGAACCGAAGACGGAAGCCGCTCGAAGCGAAAGGCGAGTACTCCTTTACAGCCCTACAACACGCATCACAGCAATTCTCTGTTCCTAGCTACAATTGCTGACGCCTCGCTCATGGTCGGTCTCCGGCCGAAAATAGCGAATGCTACTCTACAGGGATGTCCCAAAGATGGGTCCCGGAGGCTGAGAAACGGCGCCTTGCATAAGACTGGGAATATAGTTGCCGCCCCTATTTTATCGGCGCATCGGATAGCTACAAGAGCGAACTAATCGAGTTAATCACGTAGTATGTGCTTCCCTTATGCTGTGTCGTGTGGGATATCAGGAGCGATGAAGTGAAGCGATAGCTGGATGTATCGATGCCGGAGTGAATGTCGCTTAAACTTGATGTTGATCCCGCTGAGGCTTGGAAGACGGTGGTCGAAACTCGGTGATGATGAACTCCTTGGCGTAAGCTGTCTCGAGATAGGTATATAAAGATGCACTTTGCTTTCGATGTTTTCCAAGTGCAGCCTGTGAAATAACAACCGTCTGCATTTTACTGCAATGAATGACCTACTCGATATTGTTGTTGCTCGCATTTATCTCGTTGGGGCTGTTGCAGTGGCAGCGCTGGCTTATGTGAATTCCCGTTGTCTTTTGTTTGTGCAGACCGTTTGACATTGCTAACTCGTACAAGCTGATCTTTTATGTCCTTCGAGACCCACTGTCCAAAGTCCCCGGCCCTTGGTACACCAAATGGACTTCAGTTGTGATCAAGTTTCACTGGCTGAGAGGCAATCGAGCAAGTTACCAGCATAGCCTGCATCAAAAATATGGCACGTATTCACCACAAAACTGTGTTGTTATGGTGGAAACTGCTAACATGAAGTGTATCATGACAGGTGCCGTCGTTCGTCTCGGCCCCAACGAAGTCGCCGTAACCAACATCGAAGCCGTCAAGAAGATTTACAACACCAGAGAGACCTTCCGCAAGACCTCCTGGTACAAAGATCTATCCGTCGCAAGCGAAAATGTCTTCAACACCAACCGCACCGAGCTGCACCGCCGCCTACGAAGGCTTCTCTCAGGTTCAATGTCCGAAACCTCGCTGGCGGCTGTTGCACCCCAGGTCCAAAGGACGATTGATCTGATGATCAAAAGAGTTGGGGAGGAGATGGAAAGAAGAGGAGCCGCGGATGTGATCAAGTGGTTTTTATTCATGGCGACAGATGTCATTGGGGAGCTTTCCTTTGGAGATTCGTTTCGAACCCTGGAAATCGGTGAACACAGCGATTACACGAAAGACTTGGCAGAACTGGGCTACCTCGGTGCTGTTCGCTCCGCTTTTCCGACACTTATCGCGATGGCAAAATATCTGCCCATCTCTTATTTCAGACGTCCCCTTCGAGGCACAAAAAACATGATTCGTTATGCGGACGAGTCGATTACTCGCTACAGGAACCTGTTGGACTCTGACCCAACCAGTGTTAAATGGACGCTCTTCACCAAAGTTTTCCAAGACCAAGACAAGGGAGAAGGCCTCAGTCCGGTAGAGCTCAGAAGCAACGTATCAGCCTACATTGTTGCTGGCAGTGATTCCACCGCAGTCACCCTCACTTACCTAGTCTGGTGTGTCTGTCGCGATCCCAAAGTCAAGGCCGTTCTTTTGGCAGAGCTCCGAGCGCTCCCAGACAACTTCACCATTGCAGATCTTCGTGACATGAGCTACTTGAACGCAGTGATCGACGAGACCATGCGTCTCTACTCTGGCATCCAGTCCGCGCTGCCTCGCTGGGTGCCCGAGAGCGGCGACAACATCGCTGGATACTGGCTTCCTAGCGGCACAACCGTTTGCGCACAGGCGTACAGCATGCATCGCAATCCCGATGTCTTTCCTAACCCCGACGTCTTTGATCCTTCACGATGGGATATGCCAACAAAGGAAATGAAAGATTCCTTCATGCCCTTTGGAAGCGGAGCACGGAGTAAGTTTCTTTGTCTTTCAACAAGCTGTTTTGTGCGCGCTGACTCGGTTATAGTTTGTATTGGGCTTCATCTGGCACGGATGGAACTGCGCTATGCAGCTGCACGCTTTTTCCTGACGTTTCCGGAAGCCAAAGTGTCATCTCTGGAGGGGATGAATGACGGGGACATGGTGCCGAAAGTGTTTTTCTTTACTGAGCCAAAGGCTAAACGATGTTTGATTCGGAGGCAGTGAAGTTACCAAGTGTATGTATGTATTTCGTTTGTCGCTGGATATCGGTACCGCAAAGCCTCTTGATATAATTCAACCTATAGGTAGGTAGAGAATGTTAAATAGAATAGCAGAGTATTATGCGGAAATTTCGGCGTAATTTCTCCGACTATTGTGAATCAGCCTTTGCTGAGATGAGGCACTTCGGTCCCTAATTATTGGAGTACAAGGGAAACAAAGAAGACATGTGTGGTCGGGTTGGAGGCCCGAAACCAGTCTTTGTTGCCTACGCATCTAATAATATCTCGTGCTAGAGGCGTAAAGCAGTCGGTGATCCTCTTTGATACTGTTTACAAGTAACATGCAGGCTTTTCACCTTGGCCAGCTTCATAGAGCTGAGAACGAAACAAAAAGCGGCGTTTCGCCCAAAGGCCCATTGAAGATTACCATCCATGTTCAACTGTTCAATTTTGGCTTTGCGATTTCCCCCAAACATACATTCTGAAGCACCTTAGACGGCGATCATCATGAACGACCTCAAAGACGACTCGTCTTATGGATCGGGCCCCGCAAACACCTCGGTAGACGGCGCGCCTTATTCTGTTCCGGCGACAGAGTACTCGACGGCGTGGGCATGCGAATGGACTAACCCAGAGTTTGGCATATGTACCGAAGCAGATTTACAGTGTCTAAGGCACGTCAACTGTTCGTATCTGTCCTCGGGAAGACCACCAACGCTGCTGGCTTTGAAGCAGCATGCTCAAGCTCTCACGAATCTCATCAAGAAGATATGCGTCAGCAACACATTTGGAGTCATTGATGGAGGGAACAAACGACAGCTAGCTTTTGAGAAGGATGAGGCGTTTGACTGGTTAACAAATCTCGACAAACCCTACACAAACGATGACGAAAGCCATCATTTGCCTCTATGGGTCCTAGCAAACCAGATTGAAGACGAAGATGAGGAGATGGGAATTGAGTGCCACTGCCCTCTCAAAGTTGCACGAGACTTTGGGCCTTTGGATGACGGCAAAAGCACACGCCGACCGTACAGCAGCCACCATAATCTGGTAATGCATGCGAATGCCTGTCTCGAACTTCTGGATCACGAATACGGCGCAACAGGAGGTCTCCTTTCGCTGCTCCCATCAGGGAATGAAGAGGATCATGAGCAAATGCAGGGCGCTAGAAACACCATACTGGGACAGTGGCTGCTTCATCACCAGCACTTGATTGCGCGTATGCATGAGCTCGAAATCAACTACGGGATGGGCAAGGATCTCCTCGCCGGCGAGGCCGTCGTGCCCATGCAGATGCTCAGCCGCCTTGGCCCCGAAGAACGAGCCAAAGGCCGTGAGCTGGTCCACGCTCAAGACCGCTTTGTTCTAGCCAACGCCGGCGACGATGTCTTTGAAATGCTTCATCGCCTGATGGATAAGGCGGAATCGAAGATTGACGAGAAGGAGAAGATATGGTGGGAGTCTGGAGTCAGTGGCGAGCGCATGTGGAATGAGCATCGAGGAGGCGAGTATTATTCCCGCGGCCTGGTCCCTGTCGACCTCATGACGCGATTTGTGCGTCTCAAAGAGCATGGAGACCGGTCCACCATCTTTGTATTGCCGGCAATCGAGCAGCATCCGGCCATGGCTCGAGCGCGCGAGAGGGAGAGCCAGCCAACGGTGGTCTCGGTGGTGACGCCATCTTGGCCGGAGCGAGCATCTGATATCGAGCAGCGCGTCAATGCTCAGGTGGAACAGATGAAGGAGCTGGAGGGCGCCAACCGCGCACTGGCCAGAGACAAGATGGAGATGGAGGCGCAGATGGCCACGCTTTCAGCCGATCTGCGCAAGACGAGAAGTGAAGTCAGGTTTTACGAGGGCACGGCGGAGGCAACCAGAGACAACATCGTCGCCGAGATGGCCGCTATGAAGCGCCAGATGGCCAAGCTGAGAGAGGCGCTGCCCCAGGAGTATCACCAACTGTTGGAAGCTGAGGCTGAAGCTGAGGACTGAGTTTGGGGTTGAACGTCAATGGTTTAGCAGCGTCGCGGCAATCTTCGAGGGCTGAAGAGGCGAGACAGGTGACGAATCATATCGACTACCTGGATTAGCCTGTTGACCGTGCGCCTCCGAAGTCTCCGATACGATTGTTGTTGGTTCGTGTATGATGTGCATTATGTGTAGTTTGTATGTTAGCGGTTGTAGGTACAGTAGCGTCGTTATTGATAGCGAGTACCTGGAGCGAGCATGGCGGCTGCAGCTGATAGAGAGGTGGCCGTTATCAGTGGAACGGCGGCCCCGCTACAGGCATTAGCTCGAAGGTTTCTAGAATCAATCCACGACTCCAGTTCATTTGCTCCATCTACTCCCTTTGATCTAAACAGCATCCACCAACACCGGTGCCACTCTGTGCCACTGACTTGTGTCTGCGGAGAGGTAGCAGCGTGCAGATAGATGCTTCCGATTGAGACGAATCCGGCAGGCTTGCAGCCGTCCTGCAAGGGGCCTGTCTGCTTCCACTTCCCCGTATCGTCTCATCTCGTCTCGCCTCCAGCGCCATGGCATCTCCATTCACGAGGCATTGTCTTCTGCAGCGAGTCCCATTGAAGCGCCGCTGGCCGTGGACAGCCAAGAGACACCTTCACCTTGCCCCGCCGTTTCTGCTGGACGACTACACGCCCCGGTATCTTGGACTCTCTTCCCGCGACGCCGCCAAAAAGCGCTCGCTGGCCTATGCCCACCTCCGCAACTGCAATCTTTGCCCCCGGCTGTGCGGCGTCAATCGCTACGAGACCACTGGAATGTGCCTCATTGGCGACAAGGCAAAGGTCAATGTCATAGCGCCGCATTTTGGCGAAGGTCCGTAGGCGTCTGCCTTCTTTTGAGACACCAAAGTGAAAGTGGCCGCCAAGAAGAGCGCCAGATCACAACCTTAACCCACGTGAGATGTAAAGACTGCTTGCTAACGTAGCGCCAGAGCCGTGTATCCAGGGGCACAATGGCAGCGGCGCCGTATTCATGAGTGGGTGCAACATGCGGTGCATCTTCTGCCAGAACTACGACATCGCCCACCAGCGTAACGGAATGGACCTTACCCCGGAGGAGCTAGGCCAGTGGTATCTCAAGCTCCAGGAGACGGGCAACGTCCACAACATCAACATTGTCACGCCCGAGCACGTGGTGCCTCAGGTGGCGTTGAGCATCCTCCACGCGGCTGAGCTAGGGCTGAGAGTCCCCATCATCTATAACACCTCAAGCTACGATTCACTAGCATCTCTGGAGTTGATGGATGGGCTAGTTGACATCTATCTAGCAGATTTCAAGGTTTGGAAGCCGAGCACATCCAAGAGGCTGCTCAAGGCGGATGACTACGCTGAGACTGCCAAGGAGAGCATAAAAGCTATGCAAAAACAGGTTGGCGACTTGTGCTTCACCGGAGACGGCATTGCTAAAGTGGGCTTACTGGTTAGACACTTGGTTATGCCAGGAAAAGAGGCCGAGGGCGCCGAAATTATGAGGTTTCTGGCGTCTGAAGTGTCAACCGATTGTTTCGTCAACATCATGGAGCAGTATCACCCCGATGCGCATGTTGGAAAAAAGAGAAGGCGAAGAAGAATACCCTCAGCTGAAGGAGAGGAGAAGAGTTTAAATATGCCAGAAGACGCAGACGAAGAAGTTCGGTATAGCGATATCAATCGATCAGTCACGAGCGACGAAATTTCATCAGTGCGAGGAGCCGCCGTGAGAGCCGGTCTGTGGCGGTTTTGCGACCCTCCAAAGCACGACGGCTTTGCCATCTGAAGCAGAAATGACATGTCTACGTCTCTAGCTTTGCCATGCTCGCAATACGGTGCCGAATTTAGCAGCAGATGTGCATACTATATCGTCAATGCTTCCATCCCATTCTTCTTCGAGTCTAATCTACACATACCGAGCCAATGATGCGCCACGATAGTCGAGCGTCGTTGTCTGCTATTTTGCCAACTAGCGATCCGGATGTGATCTTGGTTCGAGTGGCGTTCGAAGACGAGAAGCGATCAGAGCACGGCCCACGAAGCGCCACTGTGTTGGTTGACATTGCCCGCATAGCCGGAGAAAAGCCCCTGCAGCGTAGAAAAATCCCAATGCAAACAATCAAGGCGTATGTTGGTGGCGGCGGTGGCGGCATTTAACATTGGGTCTTGAAACAAATAAATCCAGGCCTGGGCATTGGGCTGAGCTTTTGGCTGAACTCTCGTGAGAACAATAGCTTCAACGGCTGAAAATGGTCAGCTGCTTCTAGGTGTGTAGACACTGGCTTTTGGTCTTGGCTTAGGACTCATAAACTGGGGATAATCTGCCATCACCGTTCTGGCAACGTATCGCTGCACCATCCAATATTCATCTCTCAACTATCATTCTAGGGATATGGAACCAATTACAATCTCCGAGAAATCGGTCCGAGGACTTGGTCGAGATCTCTCTCCAGCATCATCATCTCCATCATCCCGACGTGCAAACTCATTCGATTCCCGTTCATCAATGTCAACATTATCCACTTCAAGAGGGAGCTCTCCTGATGCTGAGAAAGACACCAGAAGTAGCCCCCGCTGCAGAAGCAAACGAAACCCTCAAAATGCGACGCCGGCTTGGAATCTCATGTTCCAACCTCGGTCATATGAAGATATTTATTCTGAACGAGCATATCTCACGGCGTCTCTTCAAAGGCACTCACTCACAGCGATCGAGTTAATCCACCAATATTCCTTGATAGAGGAAGAACTTGATGCCAAAGAGCATATTGGAAAGCAGAGGCGGAAGCTCCGCAAGCGAATGAGTTTCATCAAAGTAAAATTGGCCGAGGCCGCTCGCCAAGAAAAAGCAATCATTATTAGGCTGGGCGAATTACAGATGGAGCAGCTGGGAAGAGATACTTGGGACCAGGTACAGCAGCGTAGGATGTTTTACCCACTGGCGCCATCGCCCATGCCACGCACGACACCGCTCAATGCAGGCTCAAGAAAATTTGTTCCGTCTGAAAATCGATCTGAGATTTCACAAGAACATATTCAGCTCTGTCCATCCGATATGGCCAAGCCTAGAGTCCTCGACACAGTGGTTGAAGTACAAGAGGGAGAGGAAGAAGACACCAACGAGATTGCCAACAATACCGAAGAGGAAACCGAATCAAGGTCAGAGACTGATACCGAGAGCGAAGATCTGTGCAACCATGGCCTGGAGTACACATACCAGAAGAGCGACAATGCAACGGAGATTTCACAGCTGCGTCCATCCCACGTGAGGGAAAGGCTATCGTCGTGCCTTGAGGAAAAGCGCATGAGTCTTCCAACTCTCAGCTTTGTTTGGCCGGGCGCTTGAAACAAAACAAAAAAAAAAGCATCAGCAAGTTACAAACAGAATTGCTCGTTTAAAGAAGGAAAAATTAACAAAGGAAAACAAAAATTGTAGCATCTATCAGTTTAATGTTTCGTAGATCTAGTTGGGCATATCACATATCACATTCATCGTGCATTAGGAGAAAGAAATAATGGTATAATACTAGTAGTGGCATAAATGAAAGCAAGGGACTTGTATCAACAAATTGGCTGGGTGGATATTAACAATTAATTCTGGAAAGGCTGTCTATGTTGTAATTTATTGTCTATGCAATTGCACAGTGTCATTTAATCTCATTGTTTCTTCGGCTTCCTTTTCCTTCTCCCTTCTACGCAAACTCTCCAAACTGCCCGTCATCAAACCCCAAATTCTTTAGCGACTTTCTCTTCTCTTTGACATCTGAGGTTTTCGGTGGTGGCGGCAGAGAAAACGAAGCTCCCGGTGCCGCAGCCGGTGGCGGTGGAAGGGCAAACGACTGTAGATCCGCTGAGCTGGAAGAGGTAGATTCCTCTGCTGGCGGGGGCCGCCTTCTGCCAAACTTTGTGCCGCCGAGGTTTACTGTAATGGTCTCGCCCTCTTTCAAGCTGTAGTCCTTTGTCTCCGTCTTGGCCTTTGTCTCTGTTGCGCCGTGGCTCTGCTCGACCTCCCACCCAAGGCTCCGTCGGGCCTCTTGCAGCGACACGGCCAGGTCGAATGCGTCGGAGCGCTCCTCGAAGCCAATGCCCAGCACTGCTTTCCGTCCCTGCGGATCCTTGACCGTGACGGCGAAGAAGCGGCTGCTGTCAACGACGGGCTCGACGGCGCTTCGGTCGTTGTACGGCGAGGCGGCGAAGAGCGCGCCGGTGGACGGGTCTTCGAGCACGAGGTCGATCTTGACGCTGGACGCGGCGTCGGCGTTCTCAAACGACGTTTCAACAACGCGCAGCCGTGCGGTGAAGATGTGCCGGGCGGGATCTTCGGTCCAGGAGGCGGCAGCGTGGCCGCGCATGGACGCCAGAGGCGGGATGTTGTAGACGTGAACGGTGTTGGCGACGAAGAGGATGCGCTGGATGGCGTCGCCGGGGAGGGGCTGGCCGGTGGTTGGGTCGAGCGCCTCCATGTTGGATGAAGAATTGCAATTGATCGGATCGTGTACAGTAGGAGCTGGGGGATAGAGACCAGATATATAAAGAGTATCGAACAAAGAAAAGACGGCGCTTGCTATTGGAAGAGTAACGGTGTTTGTTGTTTTTGGTGATGGAGACGGGACTGGAGATTGGCGGTGGGGGATCCAAGTAGAACAAGTACCGCCTTTGTATGCGTCGCTGCCGTGCTTGCTGCAAGTACATCCGGCAACAAACAAGGGCATGGAGATCAAAACGCTCTCAATCTCGGCCTCTATTGGGCGCCATCTGCCCGACCTGGAATGGGCGCTGCCGAGGACTTGTTAGTGAAGCTGCTACGGGGACCGACCCTGAAATGGCGGATTGGAGGGGTCGAGCTACAGGGGCCTTGCAGTGGCTGAGTGGCGTAGCAGGAGGGAATGAAAACTTACCCCGCCATTTGTGGCTTGAACTTTTCAGATGCTGCGATCTGGGACAAGGTTAAGCTTTGCCGTCTTTTGAGTCATTCTTGGAAAAAAGCATATACACAGGCTCTCTCTTCCTTGCTGCGACAAACAAACATCTGCTCTCGGGATTCTCACTCTCTTGTACCGCTCCATCTCATATACCGTTGCCACATCAATTCGCACTATGGCCAACGATTCAGAAGCTGGTATGCTATACTTGCGCGCATGCGACGATGTAGAATCGATACTGACTGGCGCATTCTAGCCGTTGCGCAGTCCATCCCAACCGAGCTTCCCTTGCGGACACAGCCCAACGATTCCACCTTTGAGTAGGCCGCCCTCGATGCTTCTCTCGAGTCTTTTCCAGCTTGATTCTAACCCCCGTCAGCATCGTCGCCACCTACAGAGACCTCCTCGCGTCCGACCCCGACCTCACAAAACCCGTCGCCGCCATCGAGTCCCTCATCGCCCTCCTCAACACCGTCCCCTCCACCACCGTATACGAGACGCTCGACACGGTCAAATCCCACTCCGACCTCCTCAAGGCCTCCGTCGAGAACCCGCTGCCGCTCCAGGCGGGCACCGACCTCTTCCTCCAGTACCTCGTCTCGTCGCTCAAGCAGCAGGACGGCAGCTTCGACGCCGTACGGCAGCACCTGCTGCGCAATGGACGCCTGTTTGCGAGTAGGGCCATCGCAGCCAGGAACGGCATTGCGGAAGCGGGCTGGCGCTTCGTGCGGGAGGGCAAGTGCGTGCTGACCCACGGCGCGTCGCGATCGGTGACGGGGCTGCTGGAGCGGGCGGCCAAGAACAGCGAGGGCAAGTTCCGGGTCGTCTACGTGCGGGACGAGGTGCGCGCCGAGGAGAGCGATCGCGTGGTCAAGGAGCTGCGGAGCAAGGGCATCCCGGTCGCGGAGATTCCAGAGGCGGCCGTGGCACATGTCATGGGGCTGCTGCGACAGGTTCACATGGTGTTTGTGGGTGCGGAGGCTGTGACCCAGAATGGGGGCATCATTTCTCGTATTGGCACGTTCCAGGTGGCCAAGCTGGCTTCGCAGGCCAAGATTCCGTTTTATGTTGCTGCCGAGACACACAAGTTTGTGCGCAAGTTTCCTTTGGACCAGAGGGATATTGGCTATAAGCAGGAGGTGCTGGATTTCTCGGCTACGGAATCAAGCAAGCAGCCCAAGGATGCTGTTGATTACACAGTGAGTTTTCAAACATTTTCTTCCCCAATGCCATACTGGAATAACTAATGATTTATGTGTGTTACAGCCCCCGGAGCTCATCTCAAATTTAGTCACGGAAAACGGCGTTCACTTGCCCGGATATGTATTCGAGCAGCTTCTTGATATATACGGCAGCTTGAACGGCTAGAGCCGGAGAGAAAATAGATGAAAATCAGAGTTTTTGATTGGCCGATGTGATGGGCCAGATGTCTGCCAGGGTTAGTGTCATGTGTTATGTATAGATATATCAGCGGATAAGAAGATTATCAAATCAGATAATAGTATTGATAAGATTTTAACAATACTACATGTTTACAACCTCTTTATTGAGGCTGTGCCAAGGACAACTTTTCTCAAAGAGTCAAGGGAGTCCTCAAGGTCAAGTCATTCTTTTGTTGCACTGCTATATAGCCTGATGGCAACGATAATGACTACATGTACTTATTTTTATGTCTGACCTCCCTCGTTATTTCCCCTGCAGTAAGTGCAAGGCATCCTGCTCCTTTATATAGGGAGACGACGCCCGTTGTGGGAGCAAGGGTCGAACAAGGTTCGTGTCCGTGTTTTCAACTGCTCGTCATCCGATAGGTCAGTCGGCTGACAAGAATTACCCAAAACGTCGAAAATGTCCTGCCATTGCCTAGGATCGGACATTACTGACGATGGGGATCGCTATTGAGGAAATCAATAGATTGCCATTACATGATGGAATACTCTATCCAATGTCTTCTCGAAAATGTGACATCTTTATTGGCGAATCTTGCGGGCGTATTGAGGCTGACGTATCAGGGGTGAGAATCAGGTTACATCGCCAGCCGTACAAGGATATTACTTGCTGAACTGATAACATGATGTGCATAGGAACATGAATAATACTACCACCAAACACTTGGATGATACATTTTGGGAGCTTTGTTCCGATATTACTCTATATTCTGAAGACATATGCCCATGTCTGGAAACATCCACTGTAAGCGATGAAAGGACTGAGTGATGGAATCACTCTAACCTGTATTAAGCGCCGACAGATGTTTATGATAAATTTAGATCATGTAGGTACCCGTAGCAGTCATCTCTTGATCATACTCGGTTGACTGGACAATCAAAGCAATAGCTATTTCTGCCAAGTTGCTCGTCGCCCATATCAACAGCTCTTTTTAGTGGCACATAGGGTCTATATAAGATGTCTCTCCGCCGCGGTCTTAACTAATTCCAACATCATCTCACTCTTTGTCGAGAGATATTAATACAGACATTATGGCCAAACTCTCTTCTCCGACTGGAACCAAATCTGTCTCTCGATGGATTAACCAAGTATCTGCTCTTGCGCTTAGAGCCGTGCGAACTGTTACACAAGAAGCTGGTCATGGCAAGGCCGAGGTAGAAATCAAGCCAAATGCTCGTGTTGAGAGAATCCCAGAACGAAATGAAGTTCATTCTTCACAAACATCAGAAACGTTGCGCCAATACAACACAAACACCACGGGCGACGACCTGCTAAAAGATCTCTCGGGAGAAATCCAGGGCAAAGTCATTGTGACAACCGGTGTCACTCTGGGCTCGCTCGGCGGCACTTTTGTTCAGACCATAGCCAAAGCTCAACCTGCTGTTCTGATCCTTGCGGGACGCAACTTGGACAAGGCGCAAGCAACCGCTGATGCCATCAAGACGGCTCATCCCAATATTGATGTTCGCAAGGTTCAATTAGACCTCGGCTCTTTCGCCGCAGTGCGCGAGGCTGCTGCTACCATCAACTCTTGGACAGACATGCCTCATATTGATGTCTTGGTCAATAATGCCGGTATAATGGGCACGGATTTCAAGCTCACAGTTGACGGCTATGAAGAACAATTCGCAAGCAACCATCTCGGCCATTTTCTTTTCACCAATCTAATCATGGATAAACTCTTGGCTTCTAAAGCACCAAGAGTAGTTGGCATTTCTAGCGAAGCGCATCGTCTCAGCCCCATTAGATGGAGCGACTATAATTTCAGTGTTTGCTTCTCCCTCCTCTTCACTAATTTCCAATTTTTACTTGATAACTGAGAGTTTTGTAAAATAGGACGGCGAGTCGTACGATAGATGGCAGGCATACGGACAATCCAAGACGGCCAACATTCTCATGTGCCTTGCTTTGGCGGACAGACTAGGGGCAAGCCACGGTTTAACGGCTTTTAGTCTTCATCCAGGCGTTATAGCGACTAAGCTGGTTGAGCATTTTGATTTTACGGTTGCATTGCCAGAAATGAGTAGGTCTTTCATATCTATTGCGACTATATAAGTATGCTTGCTCTTATTGACCGAGGTTATAGCGGCTCTCGACAAATCCCTTGGAAACATCATATGGGATGAAATCCCATGGAAGACTCCTGAGAGAGGTGTGGCCACTCACATCTACGCTGCTTTTGAGCCCAGTTTGAAAGGTACGTACCATTATACACCTTTTTTATTCTAGATGTTCTTCAATAGAAGAGAATTCAGAGAAGAAAAGAGAAGAAAATCATATTGACATCCGTGTTAGGGTATAACGGCGAATATTTGCAAGATTCCCGTATTTCAGACCCGTACACAGATACTGTTAGGCCGTGGGCTACGAGCAGAGTAGAGGCAGATCGTCTCTGGAAGCTGAGCGAGAAGCTTGTTGGACAGGAATTCTCGTACTAGATCCGCTGATTCCGGCACTGCTGTGATGGGTCAGAACAGAATTGCCTTAGAGTTCTAATTAGTTGTTTTAGATGGACGTGGGTGGCAGACGCAAGTCTGATTGATTTCAGTTTGAATGTATATTCATTTTCTAATAATAAGCAATTCTTGACAGTACTCCCCAACTTGATACCGAACTGATGCATTCCCTATTGCAAATTTGCTCATGCCCATGAAAAATGCTCAGTGTGTAAATATACTGCGCCTGTCCTTGAACCTTGAAGAATCTTCAGATTTTCTTCAGCGACAGCATTGCGTACATTGTTTTGCATCGTCGTTGGCCCGCAAACAAAGACACCAAGAGATTGGCCGGCTTCCGCGACACTGGCTGCCTCTTGTATAATCTGGGGCAGTTGAGGCCGGCCCTCGAAATCTCTCTCAAGCACATTGATATTGCGTCCCTCTTCCCTCGTAATATTCTTCTCTGTTGATGAGATGGATCCCTTTGCATTAGGATCCCTTGTTGGCTTGTCTTCCAGGTCTGCCGGTTGGATCGCTTTGTCAGTCAGATAGACTTCAACTTGAATATCAGTGTTGAATGATGAACCAGCTTCTGAATGCTTCGATAGCAATTCGCTTACTGCTCTCAGAAACCAGGTACGGCAGCTAGAATCTCGAGTTGCCAAGATGACACGCAATGAAAGAGGCCTAGAGTTGCTGCGATTACTCACGCGTTCAGCTGCAGGGGCCTCTTTATCATCAGCATGCACAGCCTGGCCTTGTTCCTCATCAGCTGATATCATGCGGTGAGTAGCGATTTGTTCAATGAATGGTAAGCACCAGCCAGCTCCTGAACCACCCGAGATGACAAGAAGATGATCACTGTCCTGATATCTCTGCATGTTGATACCTCCGTATGGCCCGTCTACAAGAACGGGTACCGAACCACCAGGACTTTCCAGAGCGAATCGGTACAGCCTGGCAGTAAACCCCTTCTCCGGTCGAATAAAAAATGTGAGCTCAGACTGCTCGTTCTGTTTCTCTAGAGGCAAGGAGCAGATTGTAAATGGATGGGTCGAGAGAGCATGGAGGAGGCCGAAGCTTGTAAAGCGTAGAAAGCAATGCTGTCCTGGTACCCAGTGGAAACTTGCCGGAATCGTAATGCGAACAAAGCCACTGTCCTCCACAAATAATCGAGCTTTCGAGTTGACGCCATACTTGAAACAAGTCCGAAGCCAGGGGTAGATATAACAAGGGACGTAAACAGCCGCGGTGGCGATGAAGTAATCCCTACGTCTTTGTCAACGGCTGTATCATTGTATTAGCGGTGGCCAATTGCCCTTACCACGAGGTGAGAGTATAGCCGCAGTGCCAAAAGAACATGACCATGAAGATGGCAACAGCAAATAGATGTGTCATCTTGAAGAACTCGTACCCAAGGTTTCTGCACTTTGTGTTAGCTTCGTTAACTACATCTACGACTTGTTTATTACCACTGACCGTATTGTACTGTGGGATGCAAAAGTAAGCCATGCCTGGAGAAGTAGTGCGACAATGCCGGTCCAATAGAATACAAGGCTGGAGGCAAAGTGCTTTTCCATGTCGTGCCACCGAATGTGGTACACGATGAATGGAAAGGTGTGTAAGAGAGCTAGGATAAAGAAGGCGTAAGATATCCATCTGTGGAAAACTTGGAGTCTCTCGTAAGATACTCCAGTAAATAATGTAATCCAGTTTGCCTTGCTCGCGGTTGCACTATATCTCGTTGGCAATTGTAAAACCTTTGCCGTGCTCAGATGACTTACAATATAAATGGCATACAAGCCAGGCCCATCCATCCAGATCTGGTGGCCAGTGCTGGCGAATTGCCATATATTTCGCTAGGCCAGTAATAAGGTTGCGGAATTAAATCCATACCTGCTATGCTATTAGTTCATTTGGATCTGAGATTGGTGTGTGAACGCTCTTTCTACTCTCAACTTACAGAAAAAGAAAACTGTGCCGGCAAGTCCTAGCAATAAGATGCCAACTGGAGCCGAGTTCCAATGCAATGACTTGACATGAAAGCCGCGATACGCGAGGTATCGAATACTCGCTATTAGCTTTGTCCATAATGGAGGCCCTCTGAATCTGCGATAACCAAAAATCTGTGATGTAACATTGCCAATGATGAAAATACCAATGGCGCACATGAAAAAGGCTACCGTTGGCAATGCAAAGACATAGTCGGCGATGTACCTGTGGGAATTTGTTAGTTGACCAATCTGTTTTCTGGGCATCTGGATGTCTTCATACCAGTAGTGCCATCGTTGCTTATACCAGTCGCATTCTTCGGCGGTGAGCTCGTCGCATTCGAACGCACGGCTTGAATGTAGCTGGATAGGCCCGGAAAGCCAGGCGGCGTTCATGTCCATCTTGTCCGGATTGTTGAGTTACCCTTCTTTTTACGGTATATTTAGTTTGGAAAAGCTGTTAATTCACCATTTTGAGGATTCTAAAAAGATTAAATAGAAAGAGCAAAAACAAATCTCGTCAAGGGGGGCTCGTTTATCTCTTTTCTTATTAACCGCCCTTGTTTATAGGGCGTAATGAGCGCTCGCGAGCCCGTTTTTCTTCACTGAGCAGCATAAAACTATTTTCCACAAATGCTAATTAGAAACGGCGATCATTTCAATAAACTGTTGCAAATGACTCTGTATTGGTTGGATAAATGTAAAGTATGAGTGTGTTGAGCGTGTTTGAGCAAGTTTCGACAGCACTAGCTCGCATATATAGCTGTGAGTTGGTGATGCTAGAAAAACAGTTGATATGTGATTTGTTAGGGAGATGTGGATCATATACCGTTCTTCAACCAATCCAATTATACTCCGCTTGAAATAGGGGCTATAGATTCAGATATTTGAGAATGTTGTTTCATCCAGGAAATATCACAAAGTGGATTGTGTGATGGCCATCTTTTCCTAGACTTGCGACTGGCTAGTTTAAACTTCTTTAGCTACCTCTAGTCAAGTTACACCGATCTATCAAGGTCCTCTACTACTTCAACTATATCTACTACTTCCACCCATGTAATTTTTGATTCCAGCTCGCTCACCTTCATACGTTCTTTCTGAGATGTACAAATCTCCCCTTGTGCCAGTCAACTCTATCGCATATTTGACGACAAGGGGCTGTCTCACGTCGTTGATTCACCTGTCAAACGAAAGTCTCCATTTACTATAAGCTATTCGACTGACTCGGACGACTTGCACTTGGGTGTTTTTGGGACACTAGCTGCTGATCTACCAAACGGTTTTCTCACTTGAGTCCGCGAATATAGGGCTGCAAGCGTATCTTCCAACCCTAGTCGAGAGAAACCTGTCGTTTCAGATTTGAATCATGTCAAAACTTGTCGCCCGCACAAGTATAAAAGTTTAGCAAAACCCATACAGCCACTAGTCACGTTCTCAAATCTGCACCTAAAGGCCATTGAGTCAATCAAAGGCTAACAAAACATCCTCACTCCGTAATTAGATTCTGCCAACTTTAATACGCGATCCAGATCTCAGGTAACCCTTAATGTACATCGAGGACAGCCGTCGTGATGATATCCGCGCCGATTTAACAGATTACTGGGACGCATGAACCGCATGAGACAATGGATGGCATTGCCAGTACGTATCTCACCGTCTTTCAATCATGGTGTTTGGTACTGAGACTAGTATTGCGACCCTTACTTGTAGGCATGTTGCCATTCACTTCAGAACAGAGGGTCCGGAATTACCACGTCTGAACAGCCATGCTATGAAAACTCAGAGCACATGAAACCGTGCTCAAAAGCTGTCAAATAGGAGCAGGATAGTCAAGTAAAAGCAATAGCAGTAAGATATAAACTGTAATGTTTCTTGATATAGGGCTGATGGCGATTCATCTCGTCTCGATTATATACCGTCTCTGGCCTCTTTATACGAATTTGGTCCGGCAACCACTGGAGATCAGCGTCGCCAAGCTTAAACATCTAGCACATTGCAAGGCCATGATCCGCTTCGTCGTACGATTCACACTCAACAGCCCATTCTGAAGCAAATGAATATTATGTTGCTCACCAAAGCACGGCGACGTAGCGTCGTAATACTAATCCTTTGCACATTTAACCTAATTGGTCCATGTGGAGTCCGACCCGGCAGAAGTTGCGCCAATCTATGCATAGCCATCGTAGTTTGCTTTGTGATTAGGAATCTATGTCCATTAATTCCGTTCGAGGCTGATGAATTGGTGGCATCTTTCTCCGTTTGCTTTTGTGATTGGGCGCGGATTGCTTAGTCGACTGGTCCGATGGCTCTTCATTGATAATCCAGTTGGGCAACTTTCTGCGACACCACAATTGTGAATAAGAGCTGCCCAGAAGCTCCACTCCATAGGCAAATCGTTCCCGGTGGGATTCAGCAATGCATACCCCTCTTTGCTTGCTTTCAACCAGCTCTTGGCGATATCCGGGTGCATCCGGGCCCGCATATCTTTGGGGGCGCTCGTTTACTGTACATGCCGGTCTTGGTAATGCGAGGAGCTATGGCTCCGGCGTCTGATGTTGGCGGGGGAATCACATCCTGCAATGCTCGCAATTGGAGAATGATTATCAGTAGTACAAGTAATATTAGTATTCTGTATCATATAAAGAGCGCGATAACAGCATCGAATCAAGAGACGGCCTATCAGAGCTGGTTCGGCGACACATCGTAAGTACAACGGGCTTTTCGCGTAAGCCGCTTATGGCTCGATCTGACTCCTCTAGCTGTGGTGAGGCTTGCGGGAACGGTCCAGTGGGTCGCGTCTGTAAGGTACATGATACATGACATAGGTAGCGTTACCGTTGCGCGCGATTTAACACGATATATTCCGTAATGGATGGACAAAGGATCAGATACAAGGAGATCTGACTTGATCGAAAGCGGGCGATGAAAAGTAGATAAAAGGAGAGAATCAGCTGTCGCGAGAGGCGGGCTGACAGCTGCTATATAGGCCACGCTTTGCCATCCATGGGGGAAATGGCGTTATTGTAGGGCTGTCGTCACGTTTGTTATGTAAAGCAGAACCTATATAGCGCCACTGCTCGTGTCAATCGGTGCTGGACATGTTGCTTTTACTGAGCACGCACAGGGCTGACGGTCCCCAAATGCACTGCCATGAGCTTCCGGGTCTCTCAATGCGGGTGTCCACACGAGAGAGCGGAGCGGCTAAGGCCGGCTGAGATGGGGAATCTGATGACCATGTGTCTAACCTTGACCAGCATCAGAGGTCGTCTCGTTTGTTTGACAATGTTCGTCAATACAGGTATTAACAAAAAAAGATAAAGCATATACATACTACTAGTGGATAAGCTTGATAATCCCTTTCACGGAAGTTGTAATAACGGAAACTCGCAACTGCTGTGCGCCCCGAGCTGTCCGAGAAACCAGTCACAGTAGGTACAAAGTGATTCACGGTGCTGCAGCTCAGAGACTATCTAAATTACACCAAGCTGTGGAACCGTAGCGTGAACAGCAAAGCAAAGGACAATTAGATGACGCTCTTTTACCCCTTCTGGCCGCTTCTCTGTATCCATTGTGCATCCCTGTAAACAGCCTTGCAATCCTTTCGGTTCGTCGCCCATGTTTCAGTGACAAATCTGTCCTCCATCCCTTGAACAAGGCCTGAAAGTTGGACCACTTTGTAAACTCCATTGGCGCACGCACTTGTGGAAAGCCGCGCGCCATCGTCTCCACGCCTGCGTCTGCTAGTCGTCCTAGCATCATGCTGAGGATTATCCGTATTGGTTCAAGCTTACATGGAATCTTAGTATAGGCGGGTAGGCACAAACTCAAATCGACTCAGGTACGAGTACATTCCGTTGAATCGGTTTGTTAGGGGCCCTGTTTGCGGATTAATTTACGTGAGCGTCTTCCGCGGAAGCGTGCCCCCCATCTTTGACGGAATTAATAGCTGTCAGCCAGCTTCCAATGGAGCTTGCACGTTGACAAGCAGCCCTGCTGGGGGGCTGATAACCCCATGATTCCAAACAGTGCGGGCCTTTCTCAGAAGCCTTGCGGAACTACCATGTACCGCTTGATCATCCTGACCAATGCCTGATTCCAGGAGCGCATGGCGTCCGACCGGCTGGTTCCACAGCAACGTCTCGGGGCCGGTGTCTTGCATCATGGGTGCGTAGGCGTAGGTATGTAGTTTTCGTAGGTACTTGGCGGACCCTCCTGAGGCCCTGAAGCTTTCACGCTGCCGCAAAAGCTTGTGGGCGGCGTGTCGAGTTGATAGGCTCGTCGGCATATCGGGGAGGAGGCGTTCTTGGGGCTGCGGGCGTGGCATGTGGGATGAGTGAGGCTAGGACTAGGACCGCTACCTTGTCGATGATGGGCTCTCTTCCGTGCCTCGTCCTGGCAGAGCCTGGCCTTTCCGGTCTGAGGATTCGCGCCGCCGGTGGCTTCCTGCACATTACGTAGATCGTGGTCCGACGCTGCGCTTGTTGGCGGCTTGCGGGTGCCTGGATTGAGTCGCGAGGGATCAGATGTGCCAGGCAATATATATAGATCGGTGCCAGCCGTGCCCTGGTGTCGGTTCCCCTCATTCTGATACTCCATGCTTGCTTGTTCTGTTTGTTGACTCGAATTGGCCCGAGACTATATGAATTGACTCGTAATAATCAACGCTTCCATACACGCTACACATTATCCTCACGACGCATACGATAATCACACTTGAACCACAATGCCAGCTCTCAAGGAGTCCGTCCTCCTTGCGCAGCAGCCCCCCTCAGACGACACCATGGCCCTCAAAGGCACCGACCTGGCCACGGTCAAGGCGCTGGACATTATCGACATCCAGAATGCGCGTGTCGAAATCAACCTCAAGGACGAGATCCTCTCACAGATGAACCCCGAGCAGGGCCCTCGCACGCTGCCCACGCTGCTTCTATACGACGAGAAGGGGCTGCAGCTCTTTGAAGATGTACGTGTAAACTGCTTCTCGGGTGGCTAGAAGTGGCGTGTAACCAGAATCTGTGTCCAGATCACATATCTGGACGAGTATTACTTGACCAACTACGAGATCGAGCTGTTGAAGAAGTCGTCGGCGGAAATTGCCAGCAAGATTCCTCAGGGGGCAATGGTGGTGGAGTTGGGCAGCGGGTCAGTTCCAGTGATGTCATTGTTGCTTTCTTATTCCAGCGAGTGAATCTGGCTATGCCGACATTAATGCTGACGTTTTTGCCCTTGGCGATGAAGAAACCTTCGCAAAATCTGTCTTTTGCTACAGGCCTTTGAAGATGCCCGCAAGAAAATCGACTACTTTGCGCTGGACCTGTCTCAGACCGAGTTGGAGCGCACGCTGGCAGAAGTGCCCGCGTTCCAGTTCGTGACTTGCCGCGGCTTGCTCGGTACCTACGACGATGGCCGCGAATGGCTCAAGCAGGAGTCACTTTTGGACCGGCCAAAGTGCATCGTGCATCTTGGCTCAAGTCTTGGTATGACATTATTTCCTTTTCTTGATACGATTTAAATATCATCTTTGCTAATTAATGTCCGTTTAGGCAACTTCAACCGCGAAGAGGCGGCTGGTTTTCTCAAGTCGTTTGCAGAGGGGCTGCAGCCCGCAGATGCCATGATTATCGGCGTCGACTCATGTCAGAATCCTGACAAAGTTTAGTAAGTGCATTTGAGTGTTGGAATTCATTTTCATAAATTAGAAAGACTTGTGAGCTAACAGCAGAATTGCAAATAGTCACGCATACAACGGTTAGTAGCAGGCATTGATTGAATGGTAACCAGTTATACTGACACTAGATTGTTCAGACAGCAAAGGAATCACACACCAGTAAGACCGTCTATTCACTACTTCATATAGCAAACTAATAAACGAAAATTAGATTCGTCCTCAATGGCCTCGCTCACGCCAATGAGATTCTCGGCGATGAGGTTTTCAACGTCGAAGATTGGCACGTCACCGGCGAGTATGTCTACGACATCGACGGCGGCCGCCATCAGGCGTTTGTCTCGCCCCTAGAGATCTCCTCAGTTCTTGGTCACATCATCAAGCCGCATGAGCGCATCAAGATTGAGCAGAGCTTCAAGTACTCAGAAGTGGGTATCGAGAAGCTGTGGAAGACGGCTGGCCTCGATGAGGTTACCAAATGGAGCCGCAATGATGAATATGGTACGTTTCAATTACCGTCATCTTGGAAGTGCAGCACTGACAAGTCTTCTCAGGGCTGCACATGCTGAAAAAAGCAAAATTGCCCTTCACAAGACTCCCTGAGATCTACGCCAAGGAGGCTCTGCCTACGTGGTCTGACTGGGAGAATCTCTGGGAGTTGTGGGACACCGTCACTAGAAAGATGCTTCCCGATGAAGAGCTCAACGAGAAGCCAATCAAGCTGCGCAATGCATGCATTTTCTACCTCGGCCACATTCCCACCTTCCTCGACATCCAGCTGAAGAAGACGACAGGCGCTGGTGGAACAGAGCCCGTCTATTTTCACTCCATCTTTGAGAGAGGCATTGATCCCGACGTCGATAACCCCGATCACTGCCACAACCACTCTGAAATCCCAGACGAGTGGCCTGCGTTGGAGGAAATCCTGAAATACCAAGACGCTGTTCGCGAGAGGCTTTGCAAACTTTACGCCAAGAAAGATGAGCTGGACAAGGACGTCCGGCGAGCCATTTGGGTCGGGTTCGAGCACGAGGTGCTTCATGTCGAGACTCTGCTTTACATGATGCTTCAGAGTGACAAGGTCCTCCCGCCACCACACACGGTGACTCCGGATTTCCCAAAGATTGCCCAGAAGGCATACGCCGCGCGCGTGCCAAATCAATGGTTTGATATCCCAGAGCAGGTTATCACTATTGGAATGGACGATCCTGAAGACGAGCTCGACCGACAGCGTCATCTTGGATGGTAAGAATTTTTTTCCCAAGACATACAAATGGATCAATTTTCTCTAACCATTTATTATAGGGATAACGAGAAGCCTGCGAGACAGCAAAAAGTCCATTCCTTCCAGGCAAAAGGAAGAGCCATCACCAACGAAGAGGTGAGCAACTATTAATTACATTTCATAACATTTACAACATGCTAACTGGAACCAGTACGCCAAGTACCTCTATTCATCTCACATCAAGGACCTCCCCGCGTCTTGGTCCATCATTCCTCCCAACTATCACCACAACACAAACGCCACCACAGTCGGAAAGCCCATTCTCAGCGAGCTTCCCGAAAGCTTTATCCAAGACAAGGCCGTGCGCACAGTCTATGGACTGGTGCCCCTGAGATATGCTCTCGACTGGCCCGTGTTTGCCTCGTATGACGAGCTTGCTGGTTGTGCTTCTTGGATGGGTGGCAGAATCCCTACCATGGAAGAGGCCGAAAGCATTTACGCATACGCAGAGAAGCAAAAGGACATTGCGAAGCAGAGCAAGTTGGTGAATAAGGTGCCAGCTGTTAATGGACACCTTGTCAATGATGGTGTTCAAGAAACACCCCCATCAACCACTTCCCCCTCCTCTCTCTTCGTCGATCTCAGCAACTCCAATACCGGTTTCCTCCACTGGCACCCTATCCCAGTAACTCCCAACGGCGGTTCACTCGCTGGCCAAGCTGAGCTTGGCGGCGTCTGGGAATGGACGAGCACCGTCCTGCGCCCGCACGAGGGATTTACCCCCATGGGCCTGTATCCTCTCTACACGACTGACTTCTTTGACGAGAAGCATAACATCGTGCTGGGCGGATCGTGGGCGACGCACCCGCGTGTGGCTGGTAGAAAGAGTTTCATCAACTGGTACCAGAGGAACTACTTGTATCCCTGGGCTGGAGCCAGATTGGTGCGAGATGTCTAAGAGAGTTGAGAGTTGGGGGACGATTTGATGGTGAGATTGGTGGCGGATTGGAGATGTACGGGTAACAGATTGACACATACGAGTGATATACGCATGGTGGACATTTGGAGCGCAATGGCGCGGACGGTCATTACCGAGTATATGATGCTCTCAACTTTGCTCAATTCTAGCACGCTCGTTTAGATTATAAATAACAAACGACTTTCGTTAAAGATTGTCTTTTTCTTACTGACTAGCATGGAGCAGGTTAAAAATGCTGTGAAGCTAGATCTTGTTTCGCAGCGATTTTAGCATCCATTTTAAAGCATATGGAGAGTCTCATTTGCCAATATTTTCGAACGAAAACGGTAGTGGGTGGGATTTTAGCGGAAATTTATAAGACCATCGGGGGAGGTTAAAAATGCTGTGAAGCATCAAGGGTGGTCTATTTATTAAGCTTCATTTTAGCTTCATTCGCAAGCGGTACACCCATTTCTAATTCAACGGGCAAATACGTTTCCCTCCACAGAAGTAACTCTTCAATTATAATAAAATTCTATAATGATTGCATTTTCCAATAGCTACTATTTACTAGTTAATCATCTAGATTTATAGCTCTCGCTGAAATGACGAGGGTAGTTTCTCATAGGTATTCCTGCTGCCAGAACTCAGTCGCCAAAACTCCACACAACCACCCTATGGATAAAAATCAAATGGAAAAGAAAAGAAAATATTCCAAAAAAAAAAAGTAGAGGTGATAAAGAAGCCATCTACACATCTCATTTATACGTCTCTTGCATCCATACCACTGACCCCCGAATCGCCTCATCAACATGCGCTCTTCGTATTCCCGGGCAGGCTCCCAAGCACACGGCCTTGGACACGAGCTTATGGACCAAGGTATCGAGGTTTATCGTAATATTAATCTGCTCGGAACTGCACATTGATGTGTTTTCTGGCGATATACCTGTTCCATCGACATCCCAAAGAGAGGCTGCAAATGCTGTTGTTGCATCACGCTGGTGGTCGAATATACCGTAGTCGTGATCAATGCCGAGCTCATCGTGATTCGAAGTGTCTGGTATGTTATTGGTATAAGTCTGATTTTGCATGTCTGATGGCTGGGCATCTGTCTCATTCACATTGGTCATCGTCGCAGAGAGTTTGCTACCAGCGGGGATAGCCAGATTCAGCAAATCGTCGTCTGGTGCCTCCTCTCGAACAAATATCCCCCGCTGCTCGAGATATTCTTCTACGTCCAAAGGCTCGAGCCACTCTCCCTGGAGATCCGGCACTGCCGTCGAGATTACCGTCCGCGTGCACCCAAATTGTAAACGCTGCATATCGGGTTGTGGTTTTCGTGGCACTAGAGTATGCGTCTGCCCTTCAATCAGGCGCATCATCTTGGGTAGGTACCCTGCCTTGGCAGAGTAACGCTCTTGTTCTAGGTGGGCTTCCTCGCCACTAAGAGAGAGATATTGCATAGCTCGTCTGAGAATATTGTCCTCGCTTTCAAACTGGAGCGGCAGAAGGAGGGCTGGGAGGATGCGCAAGAAGGGTACTCTCGGCAGTTTGAGCCTATCTGCAGCGATATCGAGGCACGCGCGAAGGATCCTTTGAGAGATTGATGGAGGCTTTGGATAAGAACTGCCAGAGTTTATAGGCGCGGCAATGTCGATGGCATCATCTTCATCTTCGTCGCTATCCGTTGACATGAGAACTTCGCCTGCTTGATATGCATGTTCTGGCGGATTATCAGCCAGCGCATTCTTCGCAATACCAATAATGTTCGTGGCTGTTCCGTGGAGCTGCATCAGGAAGTCTGCCGGCATGTATTCCTGTTTGCCCAGCAACATCTGGTGAAGCTTGATGAATTCATCGAGAGTGCTGTTTAGAGCCTTCTCCAGCGAGTCTGCCCTCTCTTTTGCGGCTGTGAGTTCATTTGCTTTGCGGTTACGATACGATCTTTGGGCAAGCCGCATGCGAGAGCGAGGCTGTTGTAAGAGAGTACAAGTTAGCCAGGTACTTGTCTGTGATTGCTATTTGCTACATGGAAAGGCCAAAGAAAAGGGCTTAGCTCAAGTAATTACCCACCGAGTTATCATTTGGATCTATAGGCAGACTATCCTTCATGCGAGGACGCCCAGGACGTCGTGCTGGGGCATTGGCATCGGCTACTTTGGGCTGCCGGATGTTACCGGTACGCATGGCTATTTTGGTTAGATCCATCTCAACTCAATCTATATCGCTTCTCCTGTTATGATTCGACAAGAGTTAGTTTGTCTTGGACTTGCTTTTTGAATGCACATGAGTGGTAGCGAGATGACAAACAATTATTTTGTCTTGGACCCCCCAAGCTTTATATATGGGGGGCGCATCAGACAAATTAATTCCTCCGACAACCGCTTATTCGCTCTGCCGGGCTTGCCCCACTCCACCTCCGCTACTCCGCAAAATCTTTAGTGAGAGACCCGGAGCTGACTCGGAGCTGAGCCGAAAAGACCGATATCTGAATCTGGTTTGTGAATCTGAATGGGGATATGTTGGATGACTTACTTGAGCTTTAAAAGGGGCTTGAAGCCATCAAGTCGTGGTGGGTGCCGGACATAGCGGTTTTTACAGATGATTAGTATTTTCTGTGCAGATTCAATGTTGGAGATGTTGCGGATTTGACGTCGAATGATGGCGTTTCAGTATGATGCTACCAGCAGTTACCGTGAGAGAATGGCGAATAGGGTATATATATAATTGATGAAGAAGCTCGAGATGGCACTCAAATCACACTCCAGCTTCTAGCATTGCCATCACATCAAGTACATTCTCAGTTATATAATCAACATCAAAACACTATCATCTACTCCCATATCAAAGATGCCTGCTACTCTCACTCGCAAGCTGGGCAAGTATGGCCCTGAGATTCCCGCCATTGGGTTTGGACTTATGGGGATCGGCATCGACTGCTATGGCGCAATTGGGTAAGACGAAATTGGAGAAGAGAAAAGGCATTGGCTGATACAGTATACCAGAGATGATGAAACAAGATTCGCCGTGCTAGACCATGCGTGGAAGGAGGGCTGCATCCACTGGGACACTTCAGACGCATACGGAGACTCTGAGGAACTCATTGGCAAGTGGTTCAAGCTGCACCCCGAGCGCCGTGCCGACATCTTCCTGGCCACCAAGTTTGGCATCTCTGCAGAGATTCAGCCTGATGGCTCCTACAAGGGGAGCGTCGACAGTTCCCCCGAGTATGCCAAGGCGGCGTGTGAGAAGAGTTTGAAGAAGCTCGGAGTCGACTATATCGATCTTTACTATGCGCACCGAGTTGACGGAAAGACGCCAATCGAGAAGACGGTTCAGGCTTTGGCAGAGCTGAAGAGGTAAACGCCTTTGCTTCCTATCTGATACTTGTTACTATCGAGTCATCGGCATTCTTGTTCTGTTTACTGATCGAGGGTCTCCAACAGCGAGGGCAAGATCAAGCACCTTGGCTTCTCGGAAATCTCTGGAGAGAGCTTGCGCCGCGCATTCGCCGTGCACCCCATTGCCGCTGTTCAGATCGAGTACAACCCGTGGGCGTTGGAAACCGAGGGCCCAGTGTCGAAGCATCTCCTCAAGGCCTGTCGAGAGCTCGGCGTCGCCACCGTCGCATATTCGCCTCTGGGCCGTGGAATGTTGACTGGACAGGTGACTTCAACCGCCGAGCTGGACGAAAAGGACTTCCGCAAGACGGTCGAGCAGTTCAAGGGCGACAACATGAAGAAGAACATGCAGCTGGTGAACAAGTTCAAGGACGTGGCCGCAAACAAGGGCTGCAGTCCGTCTCAGCTGGCCCTCGCCTGGCTGCTTGCACAGGGCGACGACATCTTCCCCATCCCCGGCACGAAGAAGATCAAGTATCTCGACGACAACTGGGGCGCCCAGAAGGTCCAGTTGACGGCGGATGAAGCTCGCGAGATCCGCCAGCAGGTCGACCAGCTGGGAGTTGCCGGGAGCCGCGACGTTGCCTTCAACCAGTACGCCGACACGCCCGCTCTCTGAGCAACTAGTACTGTTGCTCCCCTAGAGGCGAAGTAACGCGCGTTCTGATGCTACTACTCAGCTTCACTTCCAGAGTGCAATATGCATTGAAAAGCGTGTTAGGCATAGTGGATTGGCAACGTGACTGGACACATGGGGTAGCTCGTATCGGCAGTTGCTCTCAAAGGGCCCCTTGGCAGATAAAAAGACATCCCCCTTCTCTTCTAAATTTAGCCTTAGTCATATTTCATCAAAATTCACAACTGTAAAAAAAGCCTCATCACAGTGGCGCATACAACTATAGGGCTACTTGGAGGGTACTTTTTGTCTTATATGCTGTGAGAGGCTGGCGGCGCAAAAACTATCGACATCACGTCTCATTTTTCTTGACAGCCATCAGGCGATATGATGACGCACTAGAAGAGCAGCACGGCTGCCATTTGCCAATTAACAGGCCTCGCTTCCAGTTCTTGGACAATGAGTTGTGCCGTGTCTTTGGCGTATCAAATCAATAAAACGCTGGCGCTGTTGCGTCGCATCCATCCGTTGCAATGTCTTACCAACGCTGCGTCGTAAATCACATCTCCTCTCTCCTTTTCTCCCCCTTTCCACGCCACAGCTCACGCAGCTCTTCTCTTCTCTGCAATGGTCCATTGAGATGCCCATCTCTCGTCTTTGACTCTGATACTCGTCTACATGTGTGCCTGTTGCCATAACAGGCCACATTCCTTAAACCGCGCAAGCTCTCCATGTCCCCCAGCAACTCTCCGATCGCCGAACATCGCCCCGCACGCGGAAATCGAGCAACTTGCAGCCAAATAGGCTAAAGTAGCCCAAAGCACGCAACAAAACATGTGCACCTTTTTCTGGTGCTACGTGCTGTGCCCATGCCCCTACGAAAAGGACTGCGCCTTGGCCATTAATCGGATAGTCTACTGGGCTGGCCAGTGGCGCCACAGGACGGGGAAGCAGGCCCCTGTTCCCAACTCTGGCACGGCCTGCGAGAGGCAGAAGCAGATGTTCGGCCAGGATGCCGAGCCGTCGTGGGGGTGCTCGGTCCGGCGACTCATCGACTGGATGGTGGAGTTGACGTTTGTGATTGATTCGGCGCCGTGTGCTGAGTGCAGCCACAAGTGCAAGGCCCGCTTTGACAAGAGGATGGAGGAGGAGAGGCAGAGCAGGGAAGACGGGAGGAGAGAGGAGACGGTATCGTATGGTGCTCCAAACAGTGAGTGGAGGAAGAAGTGGAAGTCTGACGAGTAGTCTACTCTGGGAGACTAAGTGTATTATTATATCAACAAGGCTGGCTATCTTGGCAGAGTATGAGACGCCCCTATTGTTTCTGGCGTCTGAGTGGTTGAGCGGTACGGCATGGAAATTGAACAACAGGATATGAATTAGTAACTCGCTATCAGGACTAGCAGTCAACTAATACTACAACTCTTTATTGCGTTAACAACTCATGCCAACGTAACTGAAGACGCCAAGTATTGCAGAATATACCTATCACGTTCAGATGGCTAAATTGGTGTATTTCCCGCAACTCTCAAGCACTATTCATGATTTGCCATGGCGTTGCCATAACATGCTTCACTTATCTTGCAGTCTTATGGATTGATGCTTCACATTCCTTCAGGAGATGGTTCTTGGAGTTTCTTGGAAGTGAAAAAGACTTGTTGCGGAGACAAAAAGGATTTATTGCCAGCACACATGTAGTAAAAATATGTCGGGCTGGATTATGTAGGCTTTGCATAACTTGCATAGAAGCAAGCCTTGACTACCATCGCAGTGTTTTCGACATTTATAGCTCCAGCCATATATGAGCGAAAGATCTTGTTCCTATGTACGCTCTTTTTTCACCGAATCCCGATTTAGTTTCAGACAGTTACTGATGATGGTTGCTACAAAGACTACATAGCACGCGCTTTCTATGAGCTGCCACTAGTCTTTTATATTTAGCTAGATGAAACCACGCATACAAGGCTCTGAAGAGACTATCTGCGATAATTGTTAAAACCTCGATAGATGGCAGTGCCTTGTTGTCAAGGGCTAGTTCCAAAACTCTGAGAAATTGTATATGAAGAAGGCTTTAAGCAATAGCATTGAGGTGGATCTAAAATATGCTGTGCTACGAAAGACAGTCGAGAGGCATAGCAGGTTGTCGATCGCGACAATATCCTTCGCAGTGAGAAGAAAAGTACAAAGGTTCAGTTCAAGGAGATCAAAGACATTAAACAGTTTACAACACAGTTGAAGATAAGTTTCCTATACACCAAATGGTCCACTATGATGCTCCTCCTGATACGTGGAGTACGGATAGAAGCATGATGAGCAGCGGCCTCGGGGTAATCTTATCTCCAGAAACAGCACTAGTTCAACTCCAAAGACCGCAGCATTGCTCAAATATACGTATGCTGAACACGGGGCTTGTCAACCCTGTGTCGCCGCAACCAGTCATCTGGAGATATTTAAGGGGCGTCATCTAGGCCATGCTCAATGTTGAATGCTTTTGGTTAGCCTATCATTAACAGTGACGTTATGTAGACGATATTCTCGTATTGGTTGTTTGGCATACAGTCAGAGTTCTATTTTGATGCTGCCGACTTGTCTGATTCCTAATCAAAATGAAGCATATATTTAGACTAGCCGACAAACACACTTGAGGCTTACTTTTTCCGACTCGCGCAGCTCCAGTTGCAAGGCTATGTACCCTTGCAGTGCGCTAAAAGTCCTGTTGGTAACGCTACCATTATTCTTGGCAGCATATGAATACTTGTTCGTACATAGCCTTGCTTATTATGGTTGAAGCCTGGACGTTAGTTGACAATCTGGTTAACGCACGATTAAGTTTGGTAAGATGGAGAGCACAGGAAGGTTGAAGATCCGCGACTCCATAAGCTAGCCAAGTCGATCCCTGCGTCATTATGCTTATTCCATACTAATCACATATCCCGATTCGACCCATCAGGTGGTTGTTTCGCCAATGGAGTAACAGCCATGGTATTTCTTTACCGCAAGTTGTTTGGAACGGAGATTAAGCAATCAGATTGAGTCCACTTACATGAACTACCTAAACTAGAGATGGCAACCAAGCTGACAACTGGCAAAAGGAGACTCAGTTGTACTCACTACAGGGTATGAGTTCAACTCACTCTGTCATTCTCTTTCTTTTTTGACTTCTCGTACCTTGACAATTCCCTCACTCTCTGAGATCAACATCATCCCTGCTTCCTCCTTCTTTACAATGAAGAGCAATATCTTTTTAATCACATCTCTGCTGAGCCTCTGCTCTGCAGATGCCTCTGCAGACTTCTTTGACAATGGAGCTGAAGGCATCTCCAACAGCGACTGGAATCTTGCAATGCGTAGCGCAAACGCAACTGGCTCAGCTAGTATCCCCGGATACAACATCCGGAAGAAATATCCAGGAGAGAAAAGCGATAACTGGACCGTGTCGATTTCAATTGCCAGCGACATACCAGGTGGAAATTCTGCTTCTGGTAAATTCGTTACTGGCACGCAGATTGAGTGGAACGGCCCACCAGGCGTAATCTCTGGAGCGGATTCGTCTTGGTTTCTGTGCCGTAATGTTTACAGCAGCTTGAAGCTGAAACAATCGGGCGCTGGGCCAACCAATGGAAGCTGTTCGGGACTGCTCTCTGATGGATGTCTAAGTGCTCTCCAAAAGTCACTTGAGGCAGGCACGCAGTGCCAAACCAATAGTCTGCCCTCTGATTGCGTAGATGAGCTTGAATTAGACAATGGCCAAGGATTCGGCTTGACATCTGGTAGGTTCTTGTTCCTCCTAATCAGGCATCTGCCTATACTGACAAGGCTGCAGCTCACCCGGCCAAGAGCTCCAACACCAGCGACTCATTCCAGATTCGCCATGGTAACGAGAACCATGGCCGCGGAAACTTTACAGCTTACGATGCTGCTATTCGACAAGTCTGGCTCGTCATGACTGGATTCGCCCAGGCTGGAAATGATAGTGCGAGCCCACGTGGTTCAGCTGGTCAGCCAGGAAGCGTTGCATGCTTACAAGCTAATCAAGTCCAAAACAATAGCAGAGATTTTAAAAACGCAGCCAATATCGCATCCTCGTCACTGGTACAAGTTTTGATAGGTATCGCTGTGGCAGTGAGCCTGTGCTGGTAACTGCGTATTCCGTAACTTTTACGGACATGGATGCTGGATGAGGTTTCACGTAGAAGAGAAGAGCAAAGCTATTTATAGTTATATCTGGAAGATTATTTATATGTTAATAGACAATTACTAAATGGAAAACACATCACTGGCATTTACATGCAAATGTGAACAAAGTATAATAACTAACCACTTCCTGGCGTTCCTCTTTAATTGTGCAGAAAGTACTTGTAACCAGTTCTCATTCTTTGAACCGCGGAACAACAGTTTTGACCCAATAAGATGTCTGCACATCATTGTATTCAAGTCCAAACTCCATGGACTCCAGCACTCCTGGGAATGCATCTCAACTTCTCTTTCAGAAAAGGCTAGTTGCTGCATTAGCATACACCAGGCGGTCCATACCCTGGACTTTTTAGTTCAGGCTTCAATGTTAACCTCCAACGTAAGATCAGACTCATGTTCGCAAGTGTTTCGATTCTCGGCTCTCAAATACAACAACCGAATCCCGGAAATTTCCCCGGATGGAATGATACAACAGCAGGCCTTCCCCGCAAAAGGCGGATAGTTGTGCATGAAAAACTCCGCAGTTTGCGGGCGATCAACGCCTAAAGGGTCAATCATTGCCGTTGTCAGGGCATCCAAGGCTTAGTTCTCAAGCTACAGCAGTGTTGGCAACATCCCCAAAAGGCATTTCAGAAGCTCCTCCAAAAATGGCAAATGTCTGCGTTGGCCCGCATAAGTATCCAAATAGCCGTCGGCTCAACGTAGTACTTTATAAATCGTCGTGGTAGCGGGAGGAAAGTGGCCCCAACGATAGCTTTGACTGTAATGACCAATTCAAGGCCAATTGACCTTGGGAATTTCTCAGAATGAAGGCCATTGTTGCAGCGCTGGCCATTGGCCAGACTGGCGTAGCAGCAAGAAAGTTCCGGACTTCAAAGCCAGCCGACCCAGGAAATGTGCTGATGACAGGGTATACTATCGGTAATGGAAGACAAGGAGGTAAAGAGATTGGAATAGTGAATGGCGATTATAGTTGGCTAAAGTTTGTATAGGCTTACCGTTGGGAATACCTGGCGACGATTTATTATGTCTGAACGATGATAGCGTATGGCGCGGTGGCCCGTTTTCAAATTCGGTGAGAAACACGTATCAGTAATCTGGATGAAGAGAGCAACGTCCGTGAGTCGCTAACATGATAAATAGAGCTATACAGGGGGGAATCCTTCATCGTCGCTGGCTCATTTCTTACCTGGAATCCAGGAGTTCATCTTTCAGAATGGAACAGGAGGTATATTTCAGCGGCATTGTGTAATAGGATGATTGATACTAATTAATCGATTAGACGAATCCGCATTATACGGCGGCTCCTCTGATTACGGTTCTTACGAGGCTCTCGCCAATCTCACAGTCTCTATCGCCGGCGTGACCAAGTACTCCAATTACAAGCGGACGCTGGACCTGGAGACGGCATTGCATTCTGCAGAATTTACTGCAAATGGAGCCTCATTCCAGACGTATGCGCAACATCATCCAAACACCAAACCTCCGTGCCCATGCTAACCTGCTCCTAGTGTTCAATTCTGCACCTTTCCCGACCAGGTCTGTGTCTATCATGTCAGCTCCAACAAGCCGCTGCCCGACATCACATTTGGCCTAGTCGACAATTATCGAACAAACCCGGCTTCTACCGTACAATGCTCTTCCAGTGGCATTTGGCTGAGCGGACGAACCGTAGCCGATGACGGCGAAGGGCTCATCGGGATGAAAATCGATGCCCAGGCCTCTGCGCTCTCTTCCAGTGGGCTCAAGGCAACATGCAATAGCAGAGGCCAGACGGTGCTCAGCACAAAGTCTGTCAAATCTGCCACCATTGTCGTGGCTTCAGGCACGGAATACGACGCAGAGAAGGGCAACGCTGCCAATAACTATTCCTTCCGCGGAGCAGACCCGCATCCCGGCGTTGTGAAGACAATCAACGCAGTGTCTAAGAAGAGCTATAACGCAATCCTTCAGAGACACGTTGCTGACCATGGCGAGTGGTTCAACAAGTTTACTCTGGATTTGCCAGACCCCAATAACTCTGCGGAAGTCGACTCCATGGAACTGCTCACAAATTACTCGACGGATAAGGGTGACCCCTTTGTCGAAGGTCTGCTAATCGACTACGGAAAGTACATGTTTATTGCCTCATCTCGACCTGGGTCCCTGCCCCCGAATTTGCAGGGTTCGTGGGCTCCTGATGGCAACCCGGCATGGAGCTCGGACTACCATATCGATGTGAATGTGCAGATGTAGGTTGCTGGCTTATACGCCTCGCTGATACATGGTTGGCTAAACACGTATGCATACAGGAACCACTGGCATGTCGAAAAGATGGGTCTGGGAGGTCTCACCGATCCTTTGTGGGATTTCATGACCTACACTTGGGTTCCCCGTGGGACAGAGACGGCCAGACTGTGGTATAATGCCAGCGGCTGGGTTGCCTTTACAAATACCAACATTTTCGGCCATACAGCGTAAGTGATTAACATGATTTCCTTCTTCTCCTTGCCTCTCTGACTTGTCATAGGCAAGAAAACGACGCAACTTGGTCGGATGTTGCACATGATATTGCTTGGATGAGTAAGTCTTGTGTAGTCGTATCATCCCGAGAATGCTACTAATTGTTTCTTTAGTGGCACATGTGTGGGATCGCTATGACTATGGCCGTGATAAAAACTGGTATGCTTCTGTTGGCTACCCCTTGATGAAAGGCGTGGCCAGCTTCTGGATGGATTTGCTTGTGCAAGACGACTACTTCAAGGATGGCACCTTGGTCGCCAATCCTTGCAATTCTCCAGAGCACGGCCCTACGGTAGGCTAAAGCCCAAATTCTTTGTTTTTGCCTGAAGAGAAACTAACAGGGGTTTCAGACCTTTGGATGTGCTCAGTTCCAGCAAGTGATTTGGGAACTGTTTGACCACATCATCAAAGACTGGAATGCATCCGGTGATAGGGATGCCAGCTTCTTGAAGCGGCTCAAAGAGTCGTATGGCAAGCTTGATCCAGGCGTCCATGTTGGAAGCTGGGGACAGATCCAAGGTAAGCTCCACGATTCTCCTGTTTCAATGCCAACTGCGAAACTGATTCATCCGCCACAGAATGGAAACTGGACATTGACGTCAAGAACGACACTCATCGCCATCTCTCTCACCTCTACGGCTTTTACCCCGGCTATGTCATTTCCAGCGTCCACGGCGACAACAAGACAATCATGGACGCCGTCGCCACAAGCCTCTACTCTCGCGGAAACGGCACAGACGACTCCAACACCGGCTGGGAAAAGGTGTGGAGAGGCGCGTGCTGGGGCCAGCTGGGCGTCACCGACGAGGCTTACAAGGAGCTCAAGTACACCATCGACATGAACTTTGCGGCAAACGGCCTCTCGGTGTACACCGCCGGCAGTTGGCCCTATGAGCTCGCTCTGCCGTTCCAGATTGACGCAAACTTTGGCCTTTCGGCAAATGCGCTGGCGATGCTGTACACGGACCTGCCGAAGAAATGGGGAGACAACAGCGTGCAGAAGGTGATTCTCGGCCCTGCGATTCCGGCAGAATGGGCTGGTGGCAGTGTCAAGGGGGCGAGTCTCAGGGGCGGCGGCACGGTGGACTTTGGCTGGGACGACGATGGAGTTGTGAACAAGGCGGTGCTGCATGGGAGGAGTTTGCCGGTTGTGGTGGTGAATAACAAGGGCAAGGTGCTGGCAAGGCATTGATGCGAGCCGATATTAAGCATAAAGAAACATTGAAGCTAAAAGGCAGAAGAAAACAAGTGACGCAATTACCGAATCACACGACGATGGTACTTTTTTGTCTGTATGCTGTGCAAACACAGTATTGATACGTAGGTAGAGAATAAGTGCTGCGTACATGTGGCGATGGCTTCATTTTTGTTGGGGCTGGATTCGACAATTGTTTCCAGCGGGAATAATTGACAGGTCGCTAGTCGTGGCGGGTTGCAGCTAAAAAGACCGAAGCGACAGCGCCTGGAGAAGCTTAATTTAGCCCCTGGCTCGCTGCTGCGGGTGGCGATTCGGGCCAATGAATGACGCGGTGGGCATCAGAGGCGTCACAGGAGCGGCGCTTGCAGGGCCAACCAAGAATCGCCGTCATGACGTGTGGGCGGGTGTCGCATGTGATATTTCTAGATGGTTGGGGGACTTGGTGAATAAATGGTACGGATACCCTATAATGACCTTGTTTCTGCTTTGATTCTTTGAAAACACTCGTGTCGTCTGATCTTGAAACCTTTGTTGATGCTGCAGCAGCTTGAACAGCGCATGCTTCAAGGCCACCCCGCCTAAATCAACCCCGCTGTCGCATCGCATCGCATCGCATTACATCGCAGCTTCTCCTACGCCCATCAACCATCTTCATATTCTTCTTCTCTCTCTTTCAGCTACTCTTCAGTAACATCCTCCGCCATCATGGCTTCTGGACACAATGTTCGCGCCAACTCTCGTCCTCCTCGCTCTCTTCTCCCGAGAGCAGCCCTTGCCCTCCAAAGCTAACTCCAGTCTCATCACCAGGATCCAAAGCTGCTCTACTCCGTCGCAGGCGTCAAGGCCTACCACCTCGCAAATGGCACCGAGCAGTCTCTAACGCCGTCAGGGCCGCAGACCCTGTCGCTGCTGATGGTGCCGACGTCTTCAGGCTTCGCAGACCCGGCAAGCACTGGAAGCGGCAATGGAAACGGAGAGCAGGACTTCTACCTCCACCTGCATCTGCCGCCTGAGCTCGATCTTCCCATGCCGGCCACGACCCAGATCTACCACCAGCCTCCCAGCAGCTACCTGATTCCGCGATGGGATCTCGGCCCCGGCAACGGCGCATTCACCCGCCTCGAGTTCCCCGTCGTCGGCAGCAGACCCAACGTCCAAGAGGACGTCGATACCTTTGAGACGATTCTCGCGCAATGTACCGCCTTCCTCGAACGAGCGCCGGCTCCAGCTCCGCCTCCGGAAAAGCGCAGGCCCTCCGATGCCGCTAGAGCCAAGGCAAGAGAAGCTGGAAGAGACGACCCTCCCCCCTATAACCCAGCCAGCTTTGACGAGGGCGAGGGATATGTCCGGGGCAGTCATAGCTCTCACTTGCCCGGAAGGATCGTCCTGATAGATGAGGAGGATGGCAGCGTCATGGGCGAGCTTAGCGGCGGCTTCAATGTTGTCGAGGACGGTGGTGTTAAACCTGGATCCAAAGGTAAAGCGAATAATATTACCCCAGTTTTCGTTGTGTACTCACCCATCTCGTCATTAGAGCCCGTCGAGATCATTCTCCCTGCCGATGGCAGCAACAACATCTCTGTTCAACCCGCCTACGACTACATCGAAGATACTATGCACCCTGCCTACAAGAAATCGACCATTGTCTCGGTAGGCACCAAAGCCTCGCGGCTGCTCATCACAACATCCGACTACGTCGCACAGGCAATGCAGAGCCAGGCCGAAAACTTCACCAAGAGCACTAAGCCTGCTGCGAATCCGATGACGTTTGCCCCTACAACTCACGACCATATCCGTCGTATAAACCATTATTCTACCAGAGTCGCCACTCTCTCGGCTCAAACTATTGGCTCCATCAATAACTTTGCTCAAAACTTTGGCGCCGGCATGTCAAAGCGCAAGGACGGAAAGGCGCGAGGCTACGATCAAGAGGGCAACGTCATTAAGACGTACAAGCCCGGAGTGTTGAACAAGAGTTTAATGGCCTTCAACACCGTCGTCGATGGCATGGAACATGCTGGCAAGGCTTTGCTATCCGGCACAACATCCAGCATGTCCACAATGGTTGGACACCGCTGGGGGCCTGAAGCAGGTGAGATGTCTCGGAATCTGGGCGGCGGCTTCAAAAACGTCGGGTTGGTGTACATTGATGTGACGGGAGTCTCGCGTCGCGCGATTCTCAAGAGCGTCGCAAAGGGCATGGTTGTCGGCAAGGTCAAGGGAGGAGGCCAAATCATTGTCGACGATAACAACGGAACCGATAACATTGCGGTCGTCTCTGGAGCCAATGGCAAAGGCAACAGCAACGGCAGTAGGAGCGCCAGTGGCAGTGGTAGCAGTTCTAGAAACGAGTCTAGAAGCGGCAATGGAAAACCCGGCGCAGTACACGACACATATGGAGGCGGCGCAAAAATTCCAGGGAGCAAAGAGGGCAACGGCAATGGCAATGGGAAGAAGGCGGCCTGGTGATTGGTATGTAAAAGATTGTATATAAGAGACGATTAGTCTGTATTGGTGGCAGCGCCGCAGCTTGGAGATACCACTTGTATGAGAAACGACCCTGCCTTGGTGCAATTTCCAAATGATAATGAAATCGAAAATTAAAAAACGAAGCTGTTCCTTTGAAATTGCAACATCTGTTTTCTTCTACTATAACCAGGGACAGAGCAGGACATCTCCAAGTCGAGCTCGTTCATAGAATCAAGGTCACGTGCCCACGCGCGCTTCAGCGATGACGGCACACGCTTCGTCCAAACTCGAAGCTTCACCAGAGCTTCTGGCTACAACCGCGTGGCTGAAGCGCCACATTTCTCGTCTCCAGAGCTTAATCGCCAACCGCCATGTCCAAGATACGGGTGCAACGGTCCTAGTCGATCCATCTTCTATGCGCTTTTCTCAAGATTCACCCCCTGCGACCCCAATTCGCTGCTCGAATGCTCGTCCGCCCTGACCCCTCCATTGTCCGTGTCCGCCTCCCACGATAGAAGCGTCCAAAGCAATCAATGTGCCGATACGAGCTCCTGGGCGTCATTATCCTCATCATCCATCGCATAGGCGACTCCCTCAAAGCTAGAAAGGCCAGCGACAAGTGCGTCACCCGTTCCTGATTGGCAATTGCAGCAGCAGCAGCTGTCAATCGCATAGTCCCATAGCTCTGGCGCCCTGATCTAATCGCAAAGCTCCTCCAGATCCCTGCCGCCCGAGCCATGCTCCACGAAATCCTCCTCTCTCTCTCGGGGCATCCGTCGCCTCTCCTCCGAGCCGGAACTGCCGATTCGGGCCCGGTGTCCGGCGTCACGCCTTCGGAACGCCAGCTACTAGCCTCGGCGGCGCATCTCAGCGACATCCACATCAAGCTCATCAAGTACGCCGGCCAGATTGCCGGTGCCCATCCGTCGCCGATATGTCGGGCCGTGGGCACGGCTATACAGTCTATACATTTGTCTGCGTTTCAGCGCAAGATATTGGAGGTGGAGGAGAGCATATTGAAAGAGGATCCTGAGCTGGTGGGCGAGTACAATATTGTGCCGCTGACGGCCGTAATGGGCGAGTTTACGCAGTGGACAAGGCGCTTCGAGTGGCTCTGGGACATTGTTCAGTTCATGGTCTCCAAGGATGAAAAGGGAAATGCATGCTGTGGCTCGCAAATCATGAATCGCCTGAGAACCGAGCTGCAAAGCGGCTACCGGGACGTCGAGGAGGCGGCCATGAGCTTGGTCAAGGTGGCCGAGACGGCGTGGCTAAAGCAGGTTTCGGCTTGGGTTCTTTATGGAAGACTGCCCAGCCTAGGAGGTGACGATTTCTTTATCCAGAAAGTAGATGGGACTGCCGAGGTATGAATTGTAACTCTTCTCTCTTAGTGAAATTTCCCTCTTCTCTCTCTAACCTCTCAACAGTACATCTATGAGCCAGAACTACTGCCAGGATTCGTCACGCCGTCTACAGCAGCTTCAATGCTATTCATTGGCAAATCCCTAAACCACACACGTGTCAGGGCCACAGTCGACTCGGGCATGGGTGGACTGGACCACCTCTCTACAAAACTACAAGAGCTAGCCAGCCTGTCATTTCCCGTCAACGGCGCTACTTTCTCAAGGACCATTGTCTCTATTCGACTGTCGCTTTCACAAAACACCCTTCAAAAGATCCTACCCACCGCAAAAGTCATCGAAACGCTGCAGCTTCTGAGAGAATTCTTCCTACTAGGCCGAGGAGAGTTTGCCATGGCCTTGACACAAGAAGCCGACGACAAGATTCGGAATCGTTGGCGAAGAGCAGGCAACCTCGCTCACGAAAAGCAAGATGGTATGAAGAACTTGACTGTTAAAGATGGAGAGGTGTCTGCCGTCTTAGCAAGGACTTGGGCTGTTCTGGTAGCCATGCAGCGGAACCAGGTAGAAGAGGACGAACTACTAGAGCTGGCAAGAGATTTACTCCGGTTACACCTCACCAAGGCTACCTTGACGCCTCCCCTCGTCAGCCCAGGCCTCAATGCCGCCGAAGCCAAAATAATTGCTTCATCACCATTCCGAAATCTGCTCTTCTCGGTCCCAGCAACTCTATCTATCCAACTGCCCTCCCCTCTCGACATGGTCATCTCCCCGTCCGACCTCCAGCTATACTCTTGCGTCAACTCATACCTCCTATCCATGCGCCGAGCTCACATTCGGCTTACCGATCTATGGAAAATCACCTCTCTAAGACGCCATCACCCCGCCCCCCGAGGCGCAAACGAATACGCCGGCACGCTCAGAGAACGCTGGTCAGCTCGCGCAGCAGCTCTCCGAAGCTCCTGGACAACCGCCAGCGCAGCCATATTCTTCCTCGGCGAGACAGAAGCATACTTCCAGACGGAAATCGTCGAGGGCCTCTGGGAAGGCTTTCTCATCTGGCTCACCGGCAAAGAGCGGCGCCGAGACGGCGGCCGTTCAGGCGCCGCAACTCCTGCCGCGCACTCAGCCAAGCACAGCATAGCCACGACGTCCGACTGGAGGCCCGGCTCCTCCAGCAACGCCACAAATCCCAACGACGTCTCCAAACTCCTCTCTCGCCCAGCTCCCGATCCGCAAACCCTCGTCACGGCGCACTCCTTGTATCTCCGCACCCTCGTCCACCGCCTCCTCCTCACACAGCCCGCCTTCACCAGCCTCCTATACACCCTGCTCAACCACATCGACCACCTCGCCACGCACATCCAAAGACTCCACTCCATATTCACCTCCATCGACCTCGAAGCCGACGCCGGCGTCGTCGACTCCTCCACCGATTTCGACCACGAAGAACGCCAGGTCATGACACTCATCCGTGGCGTAGAAGGCAAGATTCGGCAGGGCATAGAGGACGTCGTCGGCGCGCTGCGCGGGCTCGAAGGCGATGTCGAGTTTCTCGCGCGCTGGGAGGGTCTTGATGGGACGGTGGATGGGCATGAGGAGTATGGCGATGGGGAGATGTATGTCCCGGCGAGGGTGGGGGGGATTAATCGTCTGTTGATGAAGCTGGACTTTGGCACGTGGATCAACACGCAGGGAGAGTATTAGAAGGTTGACTAGGTATAGACAAGGTTGGCGTTGTATGTAAATGGCGTTGAGACAAAGCTTTGGCCTCATTTTGTTCTTTCTATAAAACAGCATTTGTCATAATAGATATCATTAACATTCACTTAAATGAGAAAGATGAGAGCCATGTATAAATTAAGAATCCAATGATTTCATTGTCAATTTAGGGATTCTAAAACACCCCAGCCCAAATCTATCTATATATACTTTTCCCTGTTCATATACTCGTTTCCTATATCCTATGCTGTCATATCAACTCGTATCTATAATATCCCATCATGTCCATTTCGCGCATCAATCTTTTTTGGCGCTTAAAAGAAAAAAGAATCCCAAAGGCTGTGATTAGAAGAAAAACAAGGAAAAAGAAAAAAAAAAGGTGGAAAAAAAGCAGTCCCAGGCGCCAATGTATGTGTGTATGTATATGTATCCGTTATATAGTCCCTTTCCCATGCATATATGCAATATCCCAAATTTTCTATTCGCTCATCATGAAGGTTGCGCTTCAGTAAAAAAAAAAACAAAGTAGAAAGAAGAAAGAAAAGTAAAAAACATCAAAAATTCAACTCAAAACAGGAAAATGGCAGACGCTCGCTCATGTAAAATTTCGTAAAATCCTTTTTATCTTTCCGGCCGTATAATTCATATGATCTTTATAACAAAGGGAACAGTAGAACAAAAGAGAGGTCAAATGAGTGTAAGTGTAGAGATCGAAACAAAACAAGATGCGTTTCCTCGATTTTCTTTAATGTTTCGTAATTCATTGTTTATGTTATGGTGCTGTGTTCGTGTGTTGCTGTTTTTCTCAGTTTCTGAATAGTCGTGTAAAATGTCTTTTGTTTTCCAAGGACATGGTGTTTTCTGCGTTTTAGAATGCATGATATATGAGAAAATATGAGAAATCTGTCGATGTCGTTGTGCCATAAAAGCAGTCTAATAAGCGAGCACAGTATGTCCTCTGAGTCGCAGGGGGCTGAATGTCTGGGCCTTATTCAGCAGCCCGTGTACAAGCATCTTGGTCCGTGGCTGAGACACTGAAACGGTGTGATTGTTAACGGTAGTGGCGTTACCAACAGCGGCAGTGGCTGTCGTAGCAGCACCTGGTGCGGTGTGGGGCCGAGCTGGAGTGACCGGGCGGCTGTAAGTGCCGGCCTTTTTCGCTGGTGGCCAGCGGCTAAGGATGGAGTCATCGACAAGGGCCATGAGACCGGTAGCGATGATGACACTGGAGCACATGTTAGAAACAGCTTAACAAAGGGAAGAAGTGAGAAGAAATAAGAGAAGACTTACTCGGCTACGTCAGTCAAGGCCTCGATGATGGACTTGTCGTTGATCCACATGTAGCACTGGGGAATCCAGTTGCCTGCAGCCTGGTCAGCCTCGACCTGGGTCGGGCTGCGGCCTTCAGGCAGAATAATGGCCACCGGCTCAATTTCCTTGTCGCGAATCAGATGGAAGGCAGTCTTGCCAAGAGCCTTGTCCATCACTCGGCGCCAAGCGTAGTTGTGTCCCCACCATTGGAAGTCGTATTGCTTGCCTAGGCGACGCATGATGTCGACGCGAGCGTAGTTGCTAAACTCGAGCTTGAGAGTGTTGAGCGGGATGGGCCGCGCCGAGGGGAGCTTGGGCTCATCAGAGTCGGAGCTTGCTGCTTCTTCGGAGTAGATGGAGCCACCGCAGCCCCAAGAGGTGTTGTTGCTGCCAAAGGAAGGACGACGAGGGTCCGGAGTAGTAGACGCAGACAAGGCAGCGGCCTTTTCGGCAGAGGCGCCGCTGGATCGTCGGAAGGAGGTCTTGACCGAGCGCAAAGCACTGGTGACGGATTTTGAGAGGGAAGAGGACGATGCTGTCGGGCGCTCAAGGCGGGGGTTGGCGCCCTTGGAGTTGCATACCTCGCGGCCAGAGTCGCGGCAGTACCGTCTCAGCGAAAACTCTCGCTTAGCAAGGTCGTGCATGCGGAGGTGGAAGAGCTGGATGGCGACAGCACGGCGACGGCGCGATGACACATCCGGTACAATGGCATCGACACGGAGGTTCATGTTACCATCGGCAGTTCGGTCGTCATGGCGAATGGACAGGCGGTCCATTGACGGGAAGAGACGCGCAAAGGTCTCTGGGTCTGATGATCGGACCGAGATCTCAGGATTGGGCATGCAGCTGTATGGCGGCAGGGTGGAAGGAGGAATGCCTGGCGAGGCAGCAGAATCTTCTTCGTCCTTGTGGTCATTGTCGGAGTCGTTGTGAGACTCTGATGACTTGTCGTCTGAGTAGGCAGAGTCATATGTATTGACTGACGAAGAAGAGTTGGAGCCAGTGTCTACCATGGACGGAGGCAGTTCCTCCCAAGTATCGCGCTCCCATGTATCCCTCGATAAGTGGTGGGAGTCATAGTAGGACCCCGATACATAGCTGGAGGTCTGGTCGTACTGGCGACTCGACGTATAGTAACGGCTTGAGGCTGCTGTTGAGTTCCTGCTGCGGGCCATGCTGGAGGCTGTGGTCCTGCTGGCCCTTGATGCTGCGCGAGCCTGTCTCCTTGTAGGGACGGCCATTGGGGATGCGCTGCGCGATAAAAGATAAAAGTAAGAGTGACTGAAGAGGGTTGTGAAGGGTGTTACGCTGGTATATTGTTGCGATGACGACTTGTGCCAATGCTATAATAGCAATTGTTGGAAAGTATGAGTAGGTAGTGGTGGTAAGTGGTGTAAGTGATGTATAAGTGGCTTTGGGTTTGGTGTGTGGTTTTGATATGCTCTCCTTGGTGAGAGTCGGTGTCGGTTTATATCAAAAGACGCCGATATGACAAATGCAGCACTTATCCAATCAAGCAATTGTGCACATAATCTGCAAGCTCTATCGAGTTTCCGAAATGTGGTCGACTAGGGACGTCATTAAGGCAGAATGCGTGCGCTTTGGTAGAGTGCAAGTGCTTTCTCATCAAGCTATGAAGTCGAGTCTTCTCAGAGTGAGACCATGGCCGCACCCGTGGTGTGATATATGTGTGAATGCCAGACCCCCTCCGTTATGTCATCTCACCTTCCGATGCGCCAGTCACTCTTGCATCGTAGCGGATCTATTAGGCGGCAAGCCACTCTCGAGTCTTTACTGTGTTCGGCATGCAGGCCTTGGGCCAAAGAGAGATACAGCAAAGCATGCAAGCACACAGCACACAGCACAGGGAGAGAGTGAGCAGGAGGAAAACATGGAGACGCTTAATGGGCTCGGGCAGGGGGCGTGTGAACCGGGACGAGTGGCAGGCCCGCCAGAGGCTGTGTAAGACGAATAGGAAGGGCTGGCCAGCTAACCAGTCCAATACCGACTTGCTGGCAAATACGGGGAGTGCATGCCTGGCCAAGCACCAGCAAGGAGAATGGCAAAATTTTCACTCCGAGCAGAGCTCCAATTCGCCCTGGGCAGTGGGCGGCGGCCCAAGGCAAGGCCTGGCCTGGGCAAAAGAAGGAGAAGGCCAGCGCAATGGACCGCAGCCGCAGAGTCGACAGCCGCGTGTTCAATGGCAGACCCTGGCTCACGCACGTCGATGGATCCCCTCCTCCGCTCTGTCGCCCTCTAGCCGGCCTCTGTGTCTGCTCGTCCAATCGCGGCCGCGGCTGCACAATGCAGGAGCTTAGAGCTCTGAGCTTTGGGCCGCAGAAATATGCAACTCCTGGAACTGACTTCCTGAGAGACGCCCATGTCCGGCCAGACAGGACATGTCTGCATCGCAGGTTACAACGGCCGAGTTGGATGCATCTTGCCTCTTACATGCCGTACAGTATAGAAATGGCCTGGGGAGCGAGGCATGGGCATTGGCACATTGTAAAAAAAGAAGTGCTCCATAATGGATCTGATGGCCGGGGTAGAACATTTTTTTTTCGTCTCCCATCCCTGGACCGCGGCACGGTAGACCGTAGACGGACCTCTAAGAGCGCACCACCTCGAGATGCGTCCACAGCGTTCTGACACATATGAGATCGATGACACCATAGTGCTCCGCCAGCGTTGGGAGTATCTAGAGGTACCGATATGCGAGGTGTCAGCAGCGATATGTTATGCCCAGAATCAACCTTATCCATGGCTTTCACCTAGGTATTTCTTTTTTTTTTTTTTTTCCTTTTTTTTTAAATCCCCATGCTGTCTTGTTCTTCGCTCGGTGGCCCTCCTTGTAACATTGTACTTGTCGTTTCCGAGAGTGCCCGAGTTGCGAGTAACGATACTTGTAAACGGTCATGGTCCGGACCAATACCCGGCTGGTGGTGTCCGCTCTGCTACGTGGCGAGCAATACCTAGACCACGATGGAGAATCCCTCAGCTACCAAGCCTCTCTCAACGATACCGCGACAACTCTCGCCTTTCTCGTACGCTAGCTAGGCCTTTGCGCAGATGGCAAATTCAATGAGAAATCAGAGAGACAAGTCGCGAGATGCTTTGTGCGTTTTCGGACATGCAAAGCGTAAATCTTGGGCTCTCACCGTCGGCAAACCCCATCAGGAGCTGAAGCGTCCCTGACGAGAAGCCTGGAGATTCATCATCAACTAACATCTGTAAGCCAGCAGATCCCCGGCCATGGCTGAGACACTATGGAGCGCCTTGCCCGCAACAGCACGCGAGACGGCGCAAACAGAGTCACACGTACCTGCCAGCCTCTGGATATCGGGTGCGCCGCCTCACTGAAAATAGCATGGCAGCGACCAACGTACGAAGCACACAGGCACCATCGTCAGCGCCGTCGCTCTCGTGATGACAGAGGCCTGTTCCCCTTGTACACTTGGCCTTGGCGCCGGATCTGCCAGTGGGCGCATGAGTGGCGCCAGAATGAACAAGTCACCGCTGGAGCGGCGCTCTAAGCCCAAGCTGGCTGCTGCCGAGTGCGCTGGCAGACTGATTGGTTAAGCGCCCAAGGGATAAGAAGCTTGTCCGTTGACACATCAGCAGTTTGGGGCTGCAGCTAGATGGATTGAGCGAACAGCAGGCCGCATCGGTGCGATCCATGGATCCCGTGGGTGCCCAACTTCAGGCGAGGGTTTTGCCAGGCCACTCGCTCGCTTGAGCGTGTCTCTCGGAAAATACCAGCACCAGGCGGGGGGGATATTCCTCAGCATGTGCATTGCTTGTGCCTTATGGTGTTCATCCATCCCGTGCTATTCGTTGTTCGCGCCGTGCTGATTGGCGATAATTGGGACTGGTGACCCCCGGCGCACGAGGTCCAACACCGCAGATTTGATTTGCACTGTGGGCGAGATGCGTGCGTTGCATGGCTGCATAATTCTTCGACCTGACGAGGCACCATGCGATTGGTCTCCTCCCGGAGAATTGAAGAGAAGAAATTTCAGCATCCATCAGGGTACGGAGGTTGCATTCTGCATCGCGAAATAATCACCAATCGCAAGGGCCAATTGAGGGTTTGATATGGGCACCCGTTCGACTTCTGACGAGGCCCTCAGCCTTGCCTATCACAAGCCCGCAACAGATTCTGCGATGCGGCAACTTTGCCTTTATCCCCTGCCGTCGCTATTCGCCCGTCATTCTCACAAAATCATCAGTTGATTGAGCTGCACAAGAGCCAATGCATGCATTCCCAATGCTGATTCTCCTCACTTGATACATCGTACAATGAGCGAAATGTAACGGGGTGAAGAGTCCGGATGCGCCCATTTGCAAGTCCATCGCCACCAGCAGCAGCAGGATATTAGCCATGTGAATATCCAGTTGGCTCGATAAGAGCGAGGCATTGCATCAATAGCCTGTGGTGCCAGTGTGGTGTGTGTCGGCCAGCCATTCGTCAATTTCACGCCACTTGCGAGTCGTGCCTCGGACACGAGCTGCACGATGCAGCAGCGGCTTGGCCCCTAACCAGCCTTTGGCTTTTTTTGCGCATCCATCTCAAGCTGCGAGGAGAATTAGCGAAATGTCGAGAAATTGAACGCGACCCGAGGCTCTCGTAATACCTGTTGGACCAAGTCAAGTCTGAGCTTCGCATCCATTGTTTGCTGCAGACTGCACCGCGAGAGACAGCCGCAACTGTCGCTTTGCCGTCCCTTTTGCCCATTCTCCCTCTTTCGCCGTTCGCCACTAAGTCGTTAAGCATAACTCGTCTCTATCACGACGGAGAACGTGGGGGACAGCCAGCAAACGCACCCCACACAATGATATGTTGCACTGCAGGGAGGGGAAGAGACAGATGACCTCGCGATAATGTCGTGTGTGTGTGTTGAGACACCGAGACACCGGGGACGGCCACGGAGGAGGTGCTCATTCACATCACATGCGAATGTTACCTGTAGCTTGTAATTTGGGGAGCACAGAGAGCAGCGACGACGAGGATGCAAGTGACAGAATCAGGGCATTGATTAATATACGGTGCATGGAGGTTGCAGCTTCCAAGGCATCAAGCTGCTGTTGCAGTGCCCGACGGTTATCGATAGCAATCTGGGTGTGCCTAGTACCTGTACCTGCCTGCGCACGGAACAATTGGAAGAGAAGGGGGTACTGTACTTTTACAGGTTAGTACTTATGTATGGGCGTCAGACAAACGCAGAGACGATATAAGGCATTATTTTGTGCCTGGCATCTACAGCACAGCCTAAGGGGGTCAGATACGTGTAAGTCAATTGCTGGTTGGCCTTGCTATCTCGTAAATGTGCGTCTGACTACCAGTTGTCCACCTACCACGTACAATGAAGGTTGTGATCTCAAGTAATATCCCCTAAGCACCTGAACGGATCATGATGAGTAGATAAACTAACTGCTACGTTGACTGTCTTTCGGACCCACGCTGCTGATTGCAGGACGGTGCAATGGACATACCTATTTTGGATATACGATAATACGGCCATCGGCATCATCGTCTCAGTCTCACAGCTACCGTATAGATCCCGAAATCCCGGTTGCCCAGTGGATGGTTCATGAACATAGCCGACGCAGGTCAAAATAGCTTTGACTTGAAGCCAGCAGTGCCTCGGATAGCCGCACTGCTTTTTCTCTCTCTCTACAGCTTACACGACCGTCTTATCATCTCCAAGAACAGGGTATCTTGTAGAATATTTGAGACAGAAACTTGCCTACCTAGCAAGAATGAAGTGATATATGTATACCAGTAGCGAGTAATACCTACATGCCGTATTTCGTATAAACGACCTCTTATACCATCCGTCCATCTCTGGTCGTCTTACCTACCCCTCTTTGGAGATTCTCTCGAATGGATACACGTACCAACTCACCTTTCCATCCACCGAGCCTCAATTGGCCGGTCTATCCCACGCTATTTTCAGGAACCAAAGCCAAAAACACTGCCGGCGTCCCTCAAGCTCGAGTCCGATTCGCCATGTGTGCTCGGAACAATACTTTCGCCCCCGTCCGCAGCCACTCATACGCGACCCCCTACACCGTCTTATCGCTTCCAACGTCTTGCCTCCCCGCTATCGGCCGCGACAAACTCCACGATGCTCCACGATGCTCCACGATTTCGGAATCCCGAGGCCCAAGTGAATCCATCGTAGACCAGGCCAGATGACTACGTGTTAGCAGCAGCAATTCGCGGCTCAACGGCTCAAAGCTTCTGGCCCAGACAGACCCCTCCTCGCATCTCTCTGTCGTTGCCACTGTCGCCTCTCGTAGCATCAAGCAATTTCTGGTCTGATCTGATCTGCCGCATCTGCATCGTCCAGGTTCTTTCGCTCCCTCCAGCATTTGCATTGCACGCTAAGAGCAGCAGCGTCTCGTCTCGCCTCCGCCCCGGCTCTCGTCGCCGTGCCCCTCGTATCATATCCTTATCCTTGCCCGCAGCGAAAATGACGGCCGATGCCATCTCCGGGTCCGGGCCCGCATCCGGCTCGCTCGCAGCGAAGCCTCTCCGGCTGCTGGTCCTCGAGGCCGACACGCCGCAGCCCAACACCAATGCAAAGTACGGCGGCTATCGAGGCGTCTTCACGGCGCTGTTGACGGCGGGCGCAAAGGCCCTGGATCCGCCGCGGCCGCTCGCCGACCTGGCCTCCATCACGGCGCTCAACATTGTCGAGGACACGCAGTCGTATCCGCCGCTGGACGAGGTTGATGCCATCTTGATCACCGGCTCGCGCCACACGGCGTTTGACAACGACCCCTGGATCCTGAAGCTGGTGGAGTATGCAAAGCAGGCCATCGACTCCGGCCGCATCAGAGTCGTGGGCGTGTGCTTCGGCCACCAGATCATTGGCAGGGCCATGGGCGCGCCTGTCGGCAAGAGTGATAAGGGCTGGGAGATTGCCGTCACCGACGTCGACTTGACCGACAAGGGCAAGGCCATTTTCCAGCTCGACAAAATGGTGAGCTTGCATGCGGTGCCCGTACGTGTATCATGCTTGCGCTGACGTAAAGCTTTCTTGCAGCGCATTCACCAGATGCATCGTGATGTCGTTCTAGAATTCCCCAAGGATGCCATTCCTCTGGGCGGCAACCAAATATGCCCCGTCCAGGCAATGTATAGCCCTGGTCGGTACATTACCGTTCAAGGCCACCCAGAATTCACCGCAGAAATCGTTGGTGAGATTGTCACCAACCGACATAAAGCTGGCATCTTTACGGACGATGTATATACCGACGCCCTCAGTCGCCTGTCCAATGAGCACGACGGCGTTGCAATTGCAAAAGCCTTCCTCAACTTCATGAGGCATGGTTAAGTACAAGCATAGAGCGACAGCACAGTTTTGCAGGAGCTAGTTTGGTACTATACCCAGCTTCATATCCAATCCAATTCATAGCTGGGGCCGGGGTCGGCGATAATATGTACATATATGTAAGGATACTTTTTAGCGCATGATTTATTTGTTCTAGATGCATCGCTTTGCCAAAATGCGGTGAGCTCTGATCACATGCAGAAGTAACATGCCTACACTTACTCCGAGAAACCTGGTACTCAGGGTTTGATGCAGCCACTGCGCCAGTCAACACACGCTCATTATCGCAGAGAGGATATGATCTAAGAACAGGGCCTTTATGTGATGCGAAACATGGGAGCAGAGAGAGGGGTAGAAACGGGTAATCAGGATGGCTTCTTCTCTTTGTTCTTGAATACCACGCCGCATCAGACTTTTTTTTCCCGCCAGGTTAATATTCTCTGATTTGCTTGTCCGCCACTTGAGCTCAACAGCTTTGACACCGACGCGTCAAGTTCATTTCGTACATTTGGAAAGATGGATAGTTTAGCAGCAATCAGCAATCATGTTTACGTTGTATTTAAACACCATTATACCATAGCCCTTGATACGCTGCTGTGAGGTGTCATTCGGAATAGTTCGCATACTGTCCAGGGTACCATCAACAAAAGCAGAAATTATTTTTTAGCACGCCACTTTCGTTGTACATCACCTCGATTAGAGTTGGTATCACTGATTTACAACTACTTTTATCTTGATTTGTTTCTTCTATTTCCTTCAATCTCGTAATTTTATGTGTAGACCAGCCGCCTCATTAAACCACAGATAAAGTGCTAGGTAATGAAGGTTAGGAGTGGAATAGCAATTTCCTATAATAAATGCTGTATCATGACTTATTGACAATGCCAACTTGGAGCATTCTGCTTATAGATTGATTAAAATGCAGTTGATGTCGAGATGCTTTGTTCACGGTGATTAAGTGACTTACCATAATATCGTCTATCACCAGCCATCAAAGTCTACTTTCTAGGGCGATGACCGCTTGATAGCTACTGTGTATTGATTCTCATGTCAAATAGTTCATTTTCATAAAAACGCTATCGAAATGCCACCCAAACCAGATACAACTATGTTTGTGCAATAAAAGTGTCGACGATGGCAGTTTTAAATAAGCATCTTTCATAAATGCCACTCTCTATCAAACGTAGCTACTCATCTTGACTGACGCGAACGCGAGTAAAAGGCATAAGTTATTCATCTAACTGATGCTTTTAGAGACTTTTAATAAAAATTAATGATTATTACATTTATCCTTTGTACATTTTGAAAAGTCGTAGGAACCTTTTAAGATTCAGTAAATGCTCCACTCCGTTCACTGCTTTGGTCACATTTGGGCGTTGAGAGCAATGGCAAGCGTTTAGACATTTTCACCAACCATATGCAAGCAATTGTCTGAACCGAATATAATTTCAACCACGATCAATGTCTCTTGATAGAGTCATATTAATACATGATAAAATATACGGTTTATGAGCAGGGGGTTATGGCGTGGTGCATCTATATTCGCTGATACCGACAGTACATATTTCTACAACAGCCCTCAGGTTTCTTTCCAAACCCACCGAGCCTAAACGTATAAAGACGTTTTTTGACTCGTCATTCAAATAATTCCTTATTCAGAAAAAGCTCATGAAGTTTGATTGCTAAATTTATTTCCATTAATAAGAGAATTATCCTATTTCTTCGCTCTAAGAGTAAGACATGTATTTCTCTTTCCCGACGGATGAAACTTGCATCAGCTTACGCATACTATCGTACTCAATGACTAGAAGTTTACAAACTATAAGACAATAAGAGTAGCTTCCTCAAATGCTCAACCTCTGTTTCTAAGGAGGCTTGATAGTTTGTCGTAGTGGTCCAACTAATCCCCAATCCAGATATTATTGTTCAAGTGCCGAGAATATGGACCCCCTGGTTAAAGCCCTGCGCAGCCAAAATCAGCCTATTCTTTAACATGCTACGTCCACACTTATATAGCTCTTGCGGGAGTGACAACGGTAGCAGGGGTGAACCTAGCTATATCCGCTCCCGGGGAAATGAATCTTTTCCGGGTCACTCTAATGACATCGACTAAGCGGAGGAAGCTGGAAACAGCAGCTCAATCGATTATCAGGCACCAGTGTAGTATTATACGATAGGACCAATTTGGAATTAATTGACCACAGCTCTGAGCTATAGATTCCGGACATTGTAGTTTGGAACAAAGCTAGCGATATGCCAATGGGTCAAACTGCCGCTGTCAAGTGAATAGAGCTAATGCAAATAGCACTTTCCCTTCCACTCCGATAGAAATATACCGAGTCTACTTGGAAATTCAATTGTTCAGATGTGGGGAGATAATGTTACGAAGCTGATTTTACGTACCACCAGCCAGAGAATGACGAATCAGTCAACTCGGGCAACTCCCGTTGGATCCAGCTCGTCTTATAGCCTCTTGGTCAAGAACATCACATAGGTCCAGTTTCCAAATTTTCACTCCTTTAAAAGGAAGTAATTAAGCAGTACATGTTCCTTCAGAAGAGCACTGCGGCCGCTACACTCCAAATCGTCCGTTCTAGGAATCTCATTAACCAGTGGCCGGATCCCACGCGGCAACGAGTATCCATTTACACTTTAAAATAGGATCGAGCTAGGCGTTTACTCATAGCAACGGTTCGATTCCATTCATTTGACGTAACACGGCCTTGTCTCCTGCCTCAAGTAGTAAAAGGCTGAGCTGTTTTGCCCCCCTGTGCTTACTGCCCCTGTCTCAGATCCGTTGGCTGCCTACAGTCGAAGCGAACGCCCTACACTTGTAAAATTGTCTGAGGCTAAAGACCAAATACTACTTTAGATATAGTAATAAAGTCATATTAACCCAGGAATTGCTTCATCATGTTGTTTTCATCCCAGCTTGTAGTGTGGTTTGTTCCCTCTGCGAACACGATGGTGTAGCTACCTATATAGAGTAAATTTTCGTCTAGTGTTTTTTTCTCCTCTGCTAAAAATTGACTCTTCCAGCGCTATGGTAATCCAGCATCAGCCAATGCAGATCGTCATGTCAGCCCAAAAGAAGCGGAGCATTTTGTTGCTGTTTTAGGAAAGTTTTGTTCTTAGACGTTTGTGTTTGATGCCCGCTTGGTTCGAGCAAGCTAAGCGCTAAACACCAAAGAAGAAGCTCCAAGATCCAAGTGGTGTACGATCTAGTTACCTATTCCATGAATGCCAGGGGTCGGCATGACCGTACCTGCAGCGCTAATAGTGTTTTGAAGTAAATCGATTCCACGTGGTAACGTTGAATCGTGAATACACCAACGGAGTTTACATTTGTAAGTGTTACATTCGTATACCAAGTCAAGGCCAGAGTAACTATATAAGAGAAGAAACAAGTCCATGCTCCTCCTCCAGCAGCTCATCATTCATTGCAAACAAGATCCGCAACTCCATCAACAAACAAAACCACCTTCAAAATGCAGTTCTCACTCTCCATCGCCACCTTTGTGCTGGCCATGACCGCCTCTGCCGCGCCCAGCGCCAAGCGCCAGAACATCCTCGCTTCCGGCGACAACATGCAGGGCTCCATCTTCCAGTTTGGCGACCCAGCTCCTGCTCGCCAGACTCTGTACACCGTTGGATCTTGCGGCCTCAGCACCTACTTCCCCAACGCGGTTGACCCCAGCATCCCTCTGGTTGCCATGCCCGCCGTCGTCTTTGACCAGTTCGGCGCTGCTCAGAACGACCAGCTCTGCGCCAAGATCATCACCATGACCCACAACGGTGTCACTCGCCAGGCTGCTGTTGCCGACCGAAACTCTTTCGACTCTATTGATATGACTTTGGATCTCTGGGAGGCTTTCGGCGGACACGATGGCGATGGCACCATCATCCAGGGCTTCAGCTGGTCCATTGCTGCTTAAGAGATGCTGAGGAGGCATATGAGTTGGGAGGTTGGAATCTGTACATATTCTGCTCTATTCTGATGTATATATTTTTATGATTCAAAAGTCCTCGCAAAAGGGGACTTGTGTTTATACTTTACCTTACATAGCTATAGCCAATGCCTATATGACTTTGGATATCATGAACCTTTGGAACTTTTATCAAAACTCGTTGTTTCATATACTCTTCAACTTTGAGTTGCCTTGATATAGTGAAGTCTGTGAATACAGGTTCTGTAGATAATTTCGAACATGTAAACGAAAGTGCGAGCTGAGAATACATCATAACAGCTTCAATGCCTGGCAGCTGATCAGTGGCTTACTGAGCAACTAGCCTGTGCACAGGAAGATGAATAAATATGTATATACCAGAAGAATCGGAGGAAATAGAGGTATCGCAACGTATATAAGTAGTTTTATTACGGTCAAGATATTGCTACAATGTTGTGGTCAAAACTCAGTTCGATGAGTTTCGCGTCTTCTAGTTGGAGTTACTGTCCAGCGAGAAAGGTAGCTGAATAACCAATACAAGTTATCATATCAATTAAGGGTCTATGTACATCTTGCGACACTACTTCGGACGCAGCAGCGGTTTAAGATGCATATGCAGCATCTGGCCTCAACTGCAGGCTGTCAGCTGTTCAGCGCAACTCATAAAAGGAGCGCTGCAAAGACAGCCAAGCGGGACAGAAGAGAAGACTCGGCCTTCTAATGAAGCGTATGCATCGAATGAGAGCATTTGCGCCAGGCGACGACAATGGACATTGAAAATGAGGCTATATCGTCTGTTAATCTTGTTTGTATCAATGTCGCATCATTCGTATCTATACTTATGTTTCTCAACTTCGTCTACAAGCTTTATGAATGCCAAGCCGACGAATATCATTATGGTTTACTCGTTTAGTCAAATTAAGCACACAAGGGACATAGGGCTACAAACTGCACCAAGTCCAAAGCAAATATTCTCTTCTCGTATGTGCCTCTTCTGCATAATTTAGCAATATTAATTAAGAGCGTACCAAGCAAATCACTGATCTTTGTTGAAAGGGAACTCCAGTGCCCTCAATTTGTTCCATCGCATAAACGAATTCTCCTTCACCACACTATATCCCCTATCATCCTAGTCTCCTTTACTCATTCAAATGCTCTCCGATATCCTTCAACGCTGAGGCAACCGCTGACATGAACTGCCGTAAATCATTCTGCATGCTATTGAGAGTTTGCACGCCCTTTTCCACATCGTGGTGGACTTCTTGAAGCTTTGAGCGCTGTTCCAGCTGCGCCTCGTGCACAATCTTCTGGATGGCTTCAGTGTGTTGGTTGAGGCGGCTCAGTATTTCATCGTCGCTCAGCTTCGTTCGTTTCTGGGGGCTTTCCAGAGCTGAAGGTGATCGCTTCGTCTTTGATACGTCCAAGTCTTTAATGACAGTCTCGATGTTCCATGGACCTCGAGAAAGGTTTGTTTCTGAGGCCGTGGATGAAGAATCGCGACTTGCGCGATGAATAAAATCTCCGATATTGGCAACAGAAGTTATTCCTCTAATATGATCTTCATCTTCAGATTTGACACTCTTGCGTGTGTCTGTTGAGGTTGGCTCTTGAGGAGCGTCTTGTACAAGAGCATTTTCCAGCATCTGTGTGGCTGCAGACTCCGTAACGCTTTTTTCCATAGTAGATGTCGGAGTTGGGTAAAAAGACCTATAGAAAGTGGTATAATCCTCGATGACTGAGGTGCCATATTTTTGCTCTATGGCTTCTTTGTATCGCTTCGGTAAATCTCCATATAAAGAGGAGAGAAGCAGGTATACGGGCCACGAGAGCCTGACAAAATTTCCGGCATCGTCACGAGCACGCTGATATAGACTGTGTGCTGTTACTGTTCCTCCATGGCATTCAAAAGGCTTTGCGACGAAATGGTTTATATGCGTCTTCTGCAAATACCAGAGATATTTCTGACGCTGGCCTTTGGTCATATCGGCTGCTTGTTTCCAGTACGTTTGAATGCATCGAACAGCATTGTTGTACATAGGATCGGATTCCGGAATGCAGAGGTCTTCGATCTCGAACTTGGGTGGCTTATATTTAGCCAACATCATGAAGGTGCTGCTTAAACCTGAATAGAAGATGGCTGTATGATGAAGACAGCTGATGATGGAAGATGGAAGATGATGGGAAAAGATAAAGAAAAGAAAAAGAGAAATGCAAGTTACGAAGGCTCGTAGGTTTTAAAGAATCGGCAAGATATATGGGCAGCTGTCAGCCAGGTGGCAGATTCGTGATTAAATCTAAGCAAGTAGCTACTACTGGAGGTTGCAAAACTTCGTATAGAGTCCCTATAATGCATCCATTGTCAAAGAAACGGCGCACACGAGGCTTGAGAAACTCATAATTTTACAACAGCTCATGACTCTGGTCGCCGATTCAATACAGAGCTACTCATGAGCGTTAAAGACACTCTTTTTAACTTCATCAAGATGTATCAGCAACTCCATAGATCAAATGCTTGCTTCTAGGGAGTGTCTACAGAATAGACAGAACATTATCTTGAAAATTGTTCAAGTCTTTGCTGGCAATTTACGCCACTCTGCTCTCTTCAAGCGTGTAGTCATATCCGAATCCCGTCCATTCACAGGACATGCTACGCATAATTTAGAGTAAGGAAGATGTATATACCGTTGCTCTTCCATATCTAGAAATAATACAACAAGATATAAATAGCCGAGTAAATAGAGAAGCATATGCTTGACAAGCACTTGCATTATACTTGAGCTGTTCCCTCATACACTATTCATTTATAGTCTTCTCATTACGTATACTGCTTGCTTTTGCTGTCCTGGCAGCAGCTCGCCACACGAATCTCATTATTTGGGGCCTTCAGACAGCCTAGCAATAAATGACAATCGAGAACACGAGAGTTCACTGCCCTTAATAAGTTGACTTCTTCAATTCTATACAGGCGCTGCGAACTCGATAACACTGCATATTACGAACAGGCCATTCTTTGGCAAAGAAAATCGGCCCAGAAATTTTGATGGGCAATTCCAAATCCAAAATTAAAGGAATTATTCAGGGGGCGGGGAAAAGACAGAATGTCTTCGGCCAACAGCATTGTAACCGTGCAGGCATTACAGTTTCCATCACCAACAAAACCAACAACCAACGGCCACTTGCATTAGTATGAGGCATTAGTTCCTCAAAACCTCGCACGAACCTTCACCGTTTCGGCGATCCAGGGCTGTCATAACGCATTCATCTATTTTTACAACGTGATCGATAGAACCTCTACGGCGAAGCAGGTGGACAGGGACTTGTCTCCTGACAAATTGAAACAAGGAAAGATTAGTTTTTACATGTATGGTGAGAGAGAGGAGGCTGGCAAGGTGCCTCGATCGCATGTAGAACCAACAACACTCGTAATACGACTCTGTACTAGCATCACTCTTGCATGGGCAGATAATGCGTCGGGCTGTCTACAGGCATTAGAGGGCACGCTGCATATTTTCGCGGGCGAGGAGATTTATCCGAAATGAAGCGTCTTCGGTCGACTGATGGTGTTCGGGGGAATGCATGAAAGAAATGGAGAAGAGTAGCAAGTCCCCTGCCTCTGTAAAAGTCTCTTATCCGTCCATTGTAACAAACATGTGCTCTGTGCTTCCCGTCTGTGCTTCTGCGAAAAAATCAGCCAGTGTCCTTCTAAATTGTTGAATACAAAGGACAAAGCGCGTTTGCTATGTCAATTGCTGCATTCCTCGCCTGCAGAAAAGGAGGGCTTGAATGCACTTTTGCATAGACAGCAGCACTAGTCTGTCGATTGCCAGTCATTCAAGTCGCCACGTACAAGAAGTCCAGGTGAATCGGACAATACCATTCCAGCCAGCTGACAGCTTGACAAAGAGCAAGCAGGCCGCAAGCAACCATCATGGGAGGCCCCATTACCGACTTGGGTCTTGCGTGCCCCGAATCCGGCAGCTTCTACATCTGCAAAGACAAGCCAAATCGCTTCGTGGGATGCTGCACCGTCGATCCATGCTCGACAAAGGACGGTCTTTGCCCTGATAATGCCGTCCGGCCTGCTTCGTTCGATCCCGATGCTTATGACCAGATTCTGGCGCAGCAATGCGTGGATCCGGGCTTTCTCTGGTACACTTGTCGCGACTCTTCGCCGCCGTTTATGGGATGTTGCTCGCAGATGGGATGTGAGGACAACGGCTGTCCGGTAGACAAAGTCGGAGTGGCGACTCTGAGCAGCAACGCGGAGCAAGCAGCTCCCTTTTTGTCGTCTGACAGCTCGTCATCGACAACAAGCTCTTCGACAACAAGCTCTTCGACAACCTCGTCAACTTCCTCGACAGCAACCTCCGCAGCCAGCAGCACCGTATCAACGACACTAAGCACAGCTACGAGCACGAGCCCAAGCACGAGTCAAAGTGCCGCGCCACAGCAGAGCACAGAAACCCCGACAGATCCACCCTCGGTGCATAAAGGATTGGACAAAGGGACCATCGGAGGCATTGCAGTGGGAGCAGTAGCGGGAGTCTGCATACTGGCTCTAGTTGCTTTTTGGGCTCTTAGGCGACGGAACAACAACAACAAGCAGCCTCCGTATGCCTTTGCGGCTGGCCGCAGCGGTAAAGACTCGCTGGCCAGGCATCGAGATCGTACAGCTCCATCGCTGCTGGGAGGCCGAGGCAATGCTGCTGCTGTGGAACAGATGGCGGAGCTGCCTGCTACATCGTCGCAGCTGAGCATCAGCTCTGGTACGACACCAGCCCCTCGACATATCGCGTCCTTGATGAGCTCCCCAGGCCCAGCCGGCGGAGAGAGCCCAATTTTCGGCTTTTCCGCCCCAGCACAGCCAGCGTCGCATATAAAGCGGGAGCAGTCGTCACTGATTCACCAGACGACGCTGTTTGAGCTCGAGGACTCGTCGAGCCGCGTCCTCAAGGGGAGACGGCAGTGATTATACAACACATTGTTCACGAGAGCATGGCCAATGGCCTCACTCGCTGCATAATTCTAGCACTATTTCCCGTAAAACTATCCATTTTTGTATTTAATCCCGCGCGCAGCCAATGCTGTGTTTGTAATCGTGGCAAGGGAGAGAAAGAGAGGGGGGGCCTTTGTTTATGACGGGCTGTGTGGCTGGCGGTTGTTTCGGGATACGAGGGCGACAGCTTACTAGTGGTATTATTCATGGTGGAGTTTCAAAGCTGTTTTTACGTCTTGGCTTTTCGCCTTTAATTCACTCCCTGTCTTTTGGGTTTCCTTGCTTGATTCTTCCCTTTATAGACTTATTTTAGCATCGAATCGAGATTCTTTTCTGATCCAATTCTGCTAGCTGCATCTAAGGGGAAAAGCCCCCTAGTCCCGCGTTTTTGGGTGGTGTGTTTGTTGTGTGTAAACACTGTACAAGTACATGTAGTGTGAAACTAGCAGCTGGACGTCTCGTATACCTACTCCATAATTTCTGTAAGCTGTACGTATACAATACGGAAACAGGCAGCAACTCCCAAATTGCAAGTCTCACAACGATGGGAATGACCTTCATTCCATTGGCTTCCAACGATTCCCTTATCGTAGCCAATCAACGGCACACGCTTGACCTGAGAAGAAGGGAAAAAGTTACGAAAGCATGCGTGGGCTCGAAAGAAGGAAAAACTGGGAATCAATAAATAGAACCAGGACCATGGGAATTATGCTTCAAGCCGCTCCAACGCCTCAGTGGGCTTCCGGCTTTGCCTACTCCGTATTTTGCCAGTAAATTCAAAATTCAATCGCCTGGAAAAGCCGGGGCAAACAAGGAAAAAAAAATACTATCTTAGCATTCTTTTTTTCCCCCTAGAAACAGAGATCCGTTCTCCGCTGTCGCCCCAGACATATGTTACACTTCAATTCGGTGTCGTGGAGGTCATACGGACGTCATCTTGGCCTAGGCGAACTGATGCCATTCATTCTTGCATGTTTTCCACTCAGAGAGGGCTAAAAGGGAAAAATGAAAGAGATGGCGACAGAATGGCGGACGAAGACGTCCAAGCCACGGGGAAACGCAGGGTTGGTCCACTTGAGGCGCAGCCCTTATGCGGATTACGACATGTGAGACACGAACCCAGCTTATTGTATACAGTGTCTCTTTGCTTGCTTGCTTGCTTGCTTGTTTCTATTTTTTGTGATGCATGCATGCGTTTGCCCTGTACTTTTCTTTTTTTTACTCGGCTTTTCCTTTTCTTTTAGGTCTCTTTTCAGCGGGCTGTGCTCGAGGCGAGATCGACGATGCCAATGCTACCCCCCTGTTGCCAAGTTGGGCCAATTGCCTAAACGGGACGAGTGTTGACGCATTCCATGACCAGATATAAAGTCATTGACTCTCAACACGATGCCACTTTGGAATAACCAAAACCTCCTACTTTAGCTGTAACAGAAGAAACCACTTGCCAAGATCCCAAAAAAACGGATTCTCTCCGATTTGTATTATGCCCAATGCAACGCCAGCCAGCCGGTCTGCCGGAGTATACGTCACCATTACAGTGCCTTGTCTCCTCCGCGTAACGCTCAGCGCCGATCGGTTGTAACGCCACCGGGAATTAATCCCTGTAGGAACATTCTGCCGCACACCATCTGTGCGTGTGCGAGACTCGATGTTCTTTTCTGACGGCTTCGTGCTGTTTTTCTCGTGTAGGCAATGTACACAGTAGGGGGCCCAGCGGGCGAGTTGGCAGTCTAACAAGTAATGTTTACGTACCAGATGTATCTATCCATGTCCGTGTGCGTCTACGGATCTACAGACACTCCGCAATACTAACAAGGTACTCCGTGGTGTGACTATGTTTGTCTGGCTGCCCAAGTACCAAGACCGTCTCCCAGCAGCGCCCCCCTTGCCTACGTCAACACTGTGTGTTTGGGCCTTCTCTCGTCACTCTTGCTCCCCGTGGATCCTCCAGCTGTGGCTGTTGCATGACTTTTGTTCTCGTTTGGGACAAGGGAGAGAAATTTGCCCGGGGGGGGATTTGATCGTTTTAAAGGGCTGATGGCCTCCCTCTGTTTTGACTCATACGACTCTTACACCTTCACTCACCCCCTTCTCTCCACTGGCCCATATATACCATATATAATCTGTTCGTCCCAGCGTCGACTTACATCCTTACATACCTTTGTTGCTCTTCTTTCTTTGAACAAGACTCAATCGTTTAACACCATCAAAATGAAGGTCAACACTCTCGCTGTTATTGCCCTCGGTCTCCTCTCCGGAGAGGCTCTTGGCCAGTCCACCAACACCGGCGCCGGTGCCTCTGCTTCTGCCGCCGTCTCATCTGCCGCTGCTGCCGGTAGCTCCATTGCCTCCAGCATTGCTTCTGCTGCCTCGTCCGTGGCCAGCAGCGTCGAAAGCGCCGCCTCTTCTGCTGCCTCTGCTGCGTCCTCTGCCGCCTCCTCTGCTTCATCTGCTGCCTCCAGCGCCTCAACTGCCGCTACTGGATCTACCACTTCTGGCAGCAGCACCAGCACTGGCCCCGTCAGCACCACTGTCACCTCCGTGGAGTCCGGCACTACCATCCCTGCCACGACCATTCCCGGAACCACCAACAGCCAAACCACCATTGCTCCTACTACTGTCCGGGGAAGCACTCGTCCTGCCTCTACTGTCACTTTCACCACCACTTCTTCTACCGGCCTGGCCATTGCTCCCACCGCTGATGCCAAGCTGCTGGCTCCCATCATCGGTGCTGCCGCCGCCATGCTGATGCTGTAAAGCAATTTTCGTCAATATTTCCATGTTCACTACTACGACTCCTTCCTGGTTTACATATTCGTTGGAGGACTTAATAATATGGAGTGGGAAATGAGGATGTGGATGTAAAGGGTTTTGCTTGTCCAGATACAAAAGAGAATTTACGCATAATGGACCTATCTACTAATTAATTGGTGTGCTTTGGTGTGCTTTCCGTTTTTTTTTTCAATACCTGTCCACCGGAGACACACGACGGCGTTACTCTTAATTGACCGCTCAAGTCACTGATGTTTACGAAGTGTATGGTGATTAATGGTTACATAGCTAAAGTGAAGAGTTCAAAAACAGATTTACGCAATTTCAAACTGGTGGCATCATTCCGTGATTTGCTTATTCAGAGTTACATAACACGAATTCGTATATGAGCCTGTGTCATCATTGAAGTATAAATATAGTCAATTAAGCTCATGTCTAAAAGGCTTAAGTCGTTTAAATTAGAAAGTGAAAGAATGGCATGTCATTGAGATTTACGGGGCTTTAAATTAGATTACCGCAAGATGAGCATTGTAGACATAGAGTTGCCCGGCGAGTTACTTTTCACGTGGCGGGCGCCTCTGGAGCTTGAATCCAACTATGAGGGAGGACATGACCAATAATGACATGGATCGCATTGCTAAGATTCGCGAGCCGAGCAACACATTCCTCCAATTAAAGCTGCTTATGCTATGGGATCTAATGAGCTGTGGATGGGCGTGTTTGCGAGTCTCCAAAACGCCAGAAGTGAAGCTATCGCGAAGTGGAGCAGGATATATTACTTCAGTTTTCAATCATTTATGTAAAGCAACTATATTATTTATTATAATTACTGCTAGATATTCATCAAGTCACTTTAATTACATTACCTTTTGCTGAAATCATCAAAAGGCTTCTCTCGATACTCGTGCATACCCGAATATCCAGCTAATTGATACAGCGCATAACCATCACGGAACTGGAATTCCCTGAGCTCATTTTGCCTTGTCAATGCGCGTGTTACTGCAGACTCCCGTCTCCAAAACTTCCGTTTTAGTCAGTGCTTCAATCACAAGTCGCTATCCCATCTGGGCTGTAAGAAGGATACTTGCATGTATGCGCCGCAACAGGCATCCGGTGGTGTATCTTGACTGCATATCCCCGCCACCTTCGGATCCATATAGAGATGCAGAGCATTGATGACAATCAATTTTAATTAATTCTACAGTTTTCTTGCATCAGCCACAAATACAGATGTTTCCCTGTTTTATTTCATCACAAAGGCGGTGTCAGCGTGTGTTACCGCGCAGCCTCTGTGCACCTGCCAACACTTGCACTCGGCTCGAACATGTTGATTTCACTTTCCACGGTTCCTTTGCTTCCTCAGGCAATAAACGAGCCGGTGTTCTTTTTGCTTCCTCTTGACAATATTTCTCCTTCTCTTCATCTTCTCCTCAAGCCCTCTTGATACGCCAATTTCACTGAGTGGCCATGAAGCTCACACCTTCGATATCGGAGACGCCTGAGACGGCCTCTGAGGCTGAGACGCCTGAGACGCCTTCTGAGGTGGAATTTCCGATGGATTCTGCCGCAGCTCCAGGCGTCGAAACCCAAATGACGGATCTAAATGCCACGGTCGATGAGAGTCTGATTCCGATATTCTCGAGCAGCAGCTGCACAGACGATGGCGGAGGCGCTGAGGATGGTGATGAAGATGAAGCCGGCGAAGCTGGTCAAAGCAGCACTCCCCAGCCCATATCTGCTCTCAAGAGGAAGAATAAAAGCAAGGGAACTGCGGCCAGAGGCCCAACAGCACTTCCCAGAAACCGTGGCAATGGATTTGAAGGTACGGCATCTCAGTCTCTAACCCGTCAGCAAAGCTTGATGCTGAACGGCAATAGAGTATTATGCGGATCCGCCCATGACTCCCGCAGAAGCTGTGGAGGAGAAACAAGAGATTTACCATCCGTACGTATTTTGCCACTGGGCTGTTGGAACGTCGATGGCATGTCAAGCTAACTCGGTGCCACAGAGACATTCCTTTTGAAAAGTATGGCCAACAACTCGATGCATCGACCCTCTCTTCTTGCTACAACTGAACTGACACACCGTCATCCAGGCGCATGCAGTCGTGCATTCAGCGCTATCGCTCTCGTCGTCGTCTCCAGCACAACAGAGTTTACTTCTTTGACGAGTACCTCTTCCTTGGCGGCGTGGACACATCCCAGGGAGCATACACCGGGCTCGACCCAAAGGAGCTCAAGCAGCTCACGGCCGCACAGCGTAAAGAAGCTACATCCCGGCATGTTATCCACGAAGGCTCTTCAGCAGGCGACCGATTCTATGACGGAGATGCAACGAAATGGACCGTGGACTTTTCAAGCGTGGTGGCAGGATTCTTCTCTACGACCATTATACCCTTGACTGGCCTTCAAAGTGGCCCGCTGGAGGAAGCAATAGACGTGGTAGAAAACTTCCTCCGCTACATCCTTCATCACGAAGTCTGTCCCGAGTATGAGGAAGATGTCAAGGGAGCAATGAAAATCTGTCAAGCAGCCAGAGAAGAGTGGCCAATGCTAAACGCGCTGCAGACGGCGCTTCCGGGGCTCTTCAACCTGGCTGCTACTGAACTCTTCTCCACGCCTGATGCCAGTGACTGGGCTTTTCACCTATTCAAGGTGCATGATGGGTTCGAGGCTAAGCCAGTCTTCTATTCATGCATTGCCATGCTTGAAGATACGACGCCATTTGAGTATCTCTCTGAACACCGCGCTACGCTTCGCGAACAATACGAATGCACAGTAGAGGTGGCAACGGTAACTCCTCCAAGTGAAGGAACCATCCAGCGGTTCAATTGCCTCCAAGTTATGACAAAAGAGGGCACACAAAATCTCCCTCTCGCGCCTATCGGCACAGTTACGCTCAGGCACGCTGTTATTGAAGACGGATGGGTCCATCCAGACACGCCGCATCCTCTGGCGACAAAGGATATTGAGCTGTATTTTGAGCAGAATATTCTGGAAAATTTCAGGCCAGGCATGAAGATGGCGCTAGAGATTGGCGAGATTGGAGGTGGAATCGCTTTTGTCAAAAGTATTCGCAACATCGTCCCATCCTTCTACACGTTTCTGCCCCAAGAACTAATGAGAGGCTTCAAGCCCCCGCGCGAGAATGATCGTCCTGCGCCATCCATTCACAATCCTACGGCAGAGGACAACCAGGCGGTTGAAGATTAGGTCTACAAGACAGTTGAATTGCGCAGATATTAGCAAGCGTTTCTTCGTACAGTAGTCAAATAAAAGGTTTATTGATGTGCCACATGATGGTGTCTTGAATTTGTGTTGAAGTATATTATTGTTCTCTTAACGGCCTAAGCAACGCACCAATGAAAACACCAAAAGAACAAGGACAAAACAGAAAAGGGTTCAAATCCATTGTCTCAGTTATACGTAACACGCCAGTAATTCCAACGCCTTTAAAGCTACTCAAGAAAAAGAAAGAGGCAGCGCGTAGTAGCTCAAAGGGCAATACATCATTATCTTCGTCTCCACCGTCTCATCAAATCTACTGTGTAGCATAGTTTCATTCACGCCGCCGCCCTGGTATCTGTATCTTTATCTGCCGGTATTGTTCGGCAGTCTTGCAAGTTGGGATGGCCGCAAAACTCTATCTACCGAATATAGATGACGAGTCCCGCCTCTAGTCCTGCGTCTGGACCTTGTGGTCGCCGGCAACAACCTCGGCGTACGAAGGAGGAACGCCCTGGTTCTCGGGGTTTGAGCTGCCCTCTCCAGAGCCCGCCACGCCCTGCTGTTGCGGCTGGGGCTGGGGCGAAGAGTTCTGGTTGGAAGCGGTGCCGTAGTTCATCTGGTTCGAGGAGCCCTGAGGCTTTGGTGGCTGGAAGTGAGGGCCATGGGGCTGGACGTAGACATATGTGACTCGGCCACCTTCGCGGTCGTTGGGGATGGCCTCGTATTCGTAGGCGGGCTCGGGGTACTTTGCGATGATGTACCAGGCGTGTAGCAGGCCTGGGATGAAGCCGAGGATGCACAGGCAGATGTTGATGAGGGAGTCGGCGCCGCAGAGGCCGCGCTTGACCCAGACTATATTGATCAGACGTCAGTATGAATGATGTCGTTTACAGCATGGAAAGAATATCGTCTTGTTGGGAGTATGACATATGACATACCAGGCAGCGGGGGAAAGAGAATGGCAAGGATGCCGAGGAACATGTCGGTTGAACACATGGTGGTCGTTGAAGAGGAGGCGGCGTAGATGAGAAGTGGTGGCGATGTGTGAGTTTTGAAGTCGCAAAATTTAAAAGTCGAGATAATCTCGACAGTGTAGTTGGATTCGACAAATAATAAACAAGCAGATGGAGGCTGGAAGTTGGTTTGTGGCCCTACCAGATGAGATGGATAAAGGCGCGAAGTGGGCTGGTGACGGATGATGACGCTGGGGTTCGCTGCTTATTGATAAGGTTGCGTAATGCTGGGGCTGGCTGTGGCGAGGGTGATTGGCTGGGTTGGGGGGAGTTGTGGGGGCTGAGCAACTGACAGAATGGGGGATTGGCGGCCTCGAAAATGGAGGCTTTGCGACGGTCTACAGGGTAGGTGAGTAGCTGCATCTAGATCTTGAATTGCTGCCTGGGTATTGGACAGTCATGGTGGTGGTGATGGTGATGATGATGGTGATGATGCTCTTACATACATAATCGACAGTATTTCATTCCAAACTGTCTTATCCCTTGACTTGGTTGCTTTGTTTCATGACTACTAGTACTGCCTTCTTGATGGATCTTTCTACTGAGTCATACATACCACCTTGGCTGTGACTGGTGGTGTGACCCATCAGCAGCAAATACATGACAGCCTATTGCGACACTCCGCGAAGACTTTGGTTGGTAGGGCGCAGTACACGGGCGCTGAATAACGTAACGAGGTGTGGTCGAATGCTACCGTACCCTGACTGGATTGGGTAGCTGCTTGACTCACGTTGTCCTATGCAGAAGCAATCATGCTTCGACTTTACTTGCTCACCTTGGAGGAATTAATAGTCATTTCAGTATTCTGTTTACGTGTAGTATGCTATCCCACCTTTTTCACGACGTTTTGCAAGTAAAAGACCATGTATAATAATAGGTAGAGTTGCTGCAAGAACAGCTTCGGTAAAGCAGCCTCATCGGATATACCGACATTTACCCGCGGTGATACAGCGCTGACCTTGACTTTTCCAACTTGCAGCAGCCTTGCCGCTAGCGCGTCTGCCAATATTCGACATTGCCAATTCGCCAACCTTTGCCTGCTCCATGCAGGACATTCAACCGCAAGCATGGACGACCTTTTGAATCTCGAGCTCCTGTCCCTCGTTTCAAAAGTCACCTCCGAGCTGCAAAACCACGTCGGCATCAGCGACAAGACCCTCGCCGAGTTCCTCATCGCACAGCGCCTCGAGAGCACCTCCAGCGATGACTTCCGCAAGAGGCTCGACGGGCTCAATGCCGACTTCCCTGCCAGTTTGGTGGACAGTCTAGATCGTCTGGTGGTTGCTATGCACCCCAAGTTTAAAGGACAGAATGGCGCTGCACACGACAATGAACATCACCACCGGACGTTTGAAGAGAATGAAAAGGTGTTTGGCGGACTTGCTTTGCCCGACAAGCAAGTCGGCTACGACGACGGCGCAAACGCCATCGACGATACGCTGGCACTTCTAGAGGGGCTTGAAGGAAAAGCTAGAAAGGAGAAGAAATCTCGGAAAAGGAGTAGAAGTCCAGATGGGGAGGCTAGAGACTCGAGATCGCGGAGGCATAGATCAAGATCCCGAGACCGAAGGAAGAAAGACAAGTACAGGTCGCGGTCACGATCGCATGATGGCGCAGATGAAGACTGGCGGGATGGATTCCGGGATTCGAGGAAATCGCGAAGTCGGCGGAAATACGACGACTTTGACGGCGACGACCACGATGAGTTTCGCCGAGCTCCCGCGCCAGAAATGGACGACGAACCGATCATGAACAAAATTTACCAAGGCCATGTCACTGGAATTAAAGATTTTGGCGCTTTTGTCAACTTGCATCACGTCAAAGGAAAAGTCGATGGCCTGGTTCACATCTCTCGCATTGCCTCTGGTCAGCGTGTAAACCATCCTTCCGATCTGCTCTCCAGCGGCCAGCAAGTTTGGGTCAAGGTGATTAGCATTGAGGGCCGCAAAATTGGATTGGCTATGAAGGACGTTGATCAAGAGACTGGCATGGATCTCCAACCACAAGCAAGACTTACAACCGGTGCAAATATGGAGGCTCTTGGTGGCGGTGGAAGAAATGGGTTTGTTGATATCGCTCCAGCTATGCCTCGTGATACTCTGGGCCCTCCCAGACGGCAGAAGAAGAGAATGACCTCACCGGAACGCTGGGAGATTCGACAGCTTATTGCCTCTGGAGTAGCCAAAGCGTCGGATTATCCCGATCTCGAAGAGGACTACAATGCAACGCTGCGTGGAGATGGCGAGATGGAATTGGAGGAGGATATTGATATTGAAGTCCGAGAAGAAGAGCCGCCGTTTTTGGCTGGTCAGACCAAGCAGTCTCTCGAGCTTTCGCCAATTCGAGTCGTCAAAGCCCCCGATGGATCCATGAACAGAGCTGCCATGTCCGGCACGTCACTTGCCAAAGAGAGAAAGGAGCTCAAACAGAAAGAGGCGGAAGAGGCAGCCAAGGAAGAATCAAAAGAGAGCTTATCGGCCCAATGGAACGACCCAATGGCCGATCCCGACAAACGCAAATTCGCCAGCGACCTAAGGAATGCCCGAATGAATGCTAGACCGGATGAGGAGCCTGAATGGAAAAGGGCGGTTATTCCCAAGGGACAATCGCTGGGCAAGCGAACAAATCTTAGCATCAAGGAGCAGCGAGAAACTCTGCCCGTCTTTGCGTTCCGCTCACAACTGATAAAAGCAGTGCGAGAGAACCAGATCTTGATCGTTGTTGGAGAGACTGGCTCGGGAAAGACGACGCAGCTGACCCAATACCTTGCAGAGGCTGGGTTTGCCGACAATGGCATCATTGGCTGTACGCAGCCTCGTCGTGTCGCCGCCATGTCGGTGGCGAAGCGTGTGGCGGAAGAGGTTGGCTGCAAGCTAGGTGAAGAAGTTGGATACAATGTTCGTTTCGACGACTGCACCAGCCCTGCTACACGAATCAAGTACATGACAGACGGCATGCTGCAGAGAGAGATTCTGATGGACCCTGATATGACGCGATACTCTTGCATTATGCTGGACGAGGCGCACGAGCGAACCATTTCTACAGATGTCCTGTTTGCGCTGCTCAAGAAGGCACTGAAGAGGAGGCCGGACATGAAAGTCATTGTTACCTCGGCCACCCTTGATGCTGACAAGTTTTCTGCTTATTTCAACGAGTGTCCCATCTTCACGATTCCTGGTCGAACATTCCCTGTCGAAATCTTATACTCTCGCGAACCCGAGTCCGATTACTTGGACGCTGCGCTTGTTACGGTGATGCAGATTCATCTCACAGAGCCCAAGGGCGACATTCTACTCTTCTTGACTGGCCAGGAGGAAATCGACACGTCATGCGAGATTTTGTACGAAAGAATGAAGGCCCTTGGGCCGAGCGTCCCAGACTTGCTTATCCTACCGGTGTATGCGCAGCTTCCTAGCGAGATGCAGAGTCGAATTTTCGAGCCAGCGCCCCCTGGAAGCCGAAAGGTTGTCATTGCTACGAATATCGCCGAGACCTCCATCACTATTGACGAGATTTACTACGTTGTCGATCCTGGATTTGTCAAGCAGAATGCGTATGACCCCAAGCTCGGAATGGATTCCCTGGTTGTCACGCCCATCTCCCAGGCCCAAGCGAACCAGCGAGCCGGTCGTGCCGGCCGAACTGGTCCCGGAAAATGTTTCCGTCTGTATACCGAGGCTGCCTATCAGTCTGAAATGTTGCCAACAACCATTCCTGAGATTCAAAGACAAAACTTGGCCAACACCATTTTGATGCTCAAGGCCATGGGAATCAACGACCTATTGCATTTCGACTTTATGGATCCGCCTCCCATCAACACCATGTTGACAGCTTTGGAAGAATTGTACGCCTTGAGCGCACTGGACGATGAAGGCCTGCTGACTCGTCTGGGCCGAAAGATGGCCGATTTCCCCATGGAGCCGTCGCTGGCCAAAGTGCTCATCGCCGCCGTCGACCATAAATGTTCAGACGAGATGCTGAGCCTTGTCGCCATGCTAAACTTGCCCAACGTATTCTATCGACCAAAAGAGAAGCAGTCGCAGGCAGATCAGAAGAAATCCAAGTTTCACGATCCGCATGGCGACCACCTGACGCTCCTCAATGTATATAATGCCTGGAAACATAGCGGCTACTCTAACCCTTGGTGTTTTGAGAACTTTATCCAGGCGCGATCCATGCGCCGGGCCAAGGATGTCCGAGATCAGCTTCTCAAGATCATGGAGCGCTACAAACATCCCATTGTATCGTGTGGACGCGACACGCAAAAGGTCCGCCAAGCTCTCTGCACGGGATTCTTCCGCAACGCAGCGCGCAAAGACCCCCAGGAGGGCTACAAGACTCTCACGGAGGGCACGCCGGTGTATCTCCACCCTAGCTCCGCTCTCTTTGGAAAGCAGGCAGAGTGGATCATCTACCACACGCTTGTGCTGACGACCAAGGAGTACATGCACTGCACGACGAGCATCGAGCCAAAGTGGCTGGTGGAAGCGGCCCCGACCTTCTTCAAGGTGGCGCCGACGGATAAGCTGAGCAAGCGGAAGCAGGCTGAGAGGATTCAGCCACTGTATAATAAATTTGCGGGAGAGGATGACTGGAGACTCAGTGCTCAGAAAAGGGGTGGAAGAGGTGGCGGCGGTGGTACATGGGGTTAGATTGGAAAAGGGGTTTTTTGCTGGGGACAAAATATATTTATGTGGCTATATATCATATGTAATGCGTGGAGTTTTGGGATTATGATGGGAAGAGAAGTTTTTTTGGATTTAATCATGGAGAGACTGGCGGTGGTTTGTGGTGTATCATAGACGAGTCTATCAAGAGCCGAGAATAAGACGCTCGATATATGATTTCTTTAAACTTTGATGCTCATGTTTTATGGAGTTGGTTTATTGTAACAGCAAATGTGAGTGTACTTGGACCAGAGGCCGTCAAAAGGATTCATCGTCTATCAGAATGCAGCATCAAGCTAGACTTGTATGAAGTAGCAACACTTGATCTCGGCAAAGGCAATGTCCAAGCATGTTTACTACTTTGAATCTCAGTTCGAGCTTTAACGAAGAAAGGCATGACTTGAAAAACAAAAACCATGATTGCGCTGTTGAATAAAACTCGCTATTCATATCTATAGAATCTAAACAATAGTCCCAGCAGGCCCCCATATCCAAATAAGTCAACCTGATGCAAATAGGTAAATAATCCCGCTGTTGTTAACACTACATCTATAACGACTAACAGTGAATGCTATATCGACCATCTCTCCGCCTTCAACTTCCAACCTGACGATACCAACCAACGAACAACTCCAGCCAACAAATGAGCCGAACAAGGCTGTAATACACCTTGCAGCTCTCAAAGCCGCCAAAAGTCATACTTTGTAATGGCAATATTTAATTCTGAGTACTCCTCGAGCCGTTATAGACCCGCATTGCAAGCTCAATGGCCTCTCTGTTGGCTTCCGGCTCAACGCACCAAAACCTGAACTTGAGGGGATTCGTCCCGTGATCCGTCATGGATTGCATGAGGCCCACCAGCCTTCGCAAGTCTTGCAAGTACAGCAGCTGATGCCCTTCCAGCCAAGGCAAGTGGCAGCCATAATTATAGAGCTCAAGACCTCCCGTCATTGCTCGCATCAGCCACGGCGAGCTGGTCCTGATGATGACGGTATGGATATCCGCATCCACCCGGAAAATCTTGGTGTGCACAAACCCCAAAGTGTTTTGCATCGCGTAAATACAGGCCGACTTTTTGTTGTGTGGAAGCATGCTCCTCACGGGACGCCACATGTTGAAGCGAGAATCATGGCCGAAATGGACGCTCTAGGCAACCGGCATCTGGCCATCGGCTCTCTCATGGGCTGCAATGGAGATGACGATTGTGCCTTCGTCTACCCAGGTATCGCCAGCTGAAAGGAAGGGGAAGTTGTGTGGTTTGAGCTTGCGTAGGTGGGAGAATTGCTTCCTGGTGTTGTAGACAAGAAGCCGATCGGGGGGGATGCCTTGGATTTGAGAGGGCTTGAACCAACGCATGAGCTCCATGCCGAATTCATCAAAACCTGTGTCCGACGCGATGCAGGAAGGGGCCTTGTGACTATCGTTGCTTGGTTCGTTCTCGCTGGGATGGTTGATGGATAGATCGTTGAGTTGTTCGCCGAGTTGGTCGATGGAACGACTGGATTCGCTGTTGGTGAAAAGGTTTGGCAAGCTATTGTCCAGACCAAAGGATAGGCTATTGGCTGATAGTCTGTTGGCTATATCGTCGGCTTGAGCTGGACCGATGGATAGACCCCTTGATAGGACACTGGATAGGTTGTTGGATCCATCGTTGAGTAGGTCGCTGACTGCACTGCTTGGCTGGCTCAAGAACGAGAGGCCGGGCGGAATATTAGGCGGGCTGTGTGCCTCAGCAGTCCTACAAGAGGGAGAGCGTCGAGACGTGCGATTCGCGCTGCTGCTGAGAAGAAATCCTCTGTCGTCGTAGAAAGCGGACCTGTCTTGGGTACCAAGAAAGAAGCCGTCGCCATCGAGATCCACGGTGGAATCGAGGCTGTCAACGGAGAATGCCATGGGGTCGTTGCTCTCGACAGATGGAGTGTCAAAGTCCATCTTGACGGTACTCCCGTCGGAGTCTGCGTCGGCTAGATATATATCGTCCTTGTCCTCGTCCATGGCTTCGCTTAGAGGCGCATCTTGTACATTGTCCTCGTCCATGGCTTCGTTTAGATGAGGCGCGCCTTGTGCATTGTCCTCGTCCATGGCTACGTTGAGATGCGCCGTATCTTGGGGGCTGTGATTGTGACCCATGATGACGTTGGCGGTAGAGTTGAAGATAACAAGGAGGAGGTTTTGAGCGAGTGGAAGTGACTGAGATTAACAAAAACTGTTTGCAGTCAAACGCTGTGGAAGTGCGTTACAAGATGTACACAATGTGATGAGGGATATGGCAAGTTAAGCAACACTAGCTGTTTATTTGTTTATGGGTATGAATTGGATCTTTTGAACTTTGAGATGTCAAGGTAGGCGTGCCTGGTCTTGGGTATACAAGAGCAGTCAACTAGCACTTGCAGTTGAATCAACGTTGCCAAGTTAAGCTGCCTACGGGACTATGAAATTGAATCTTCTTCTATACTGCTAATGGACTTGAGCGTTTTATGATGGAAGGTTTTAGACAGATCGCTGAAGGTGATGAGAGGCATAAAGGCACAAGTCTATTCTCAGCGTGTAAACAGCAGACTCAAATGCACTTTGTTGTCGGTATGTTTGGAATATAAAGTAATTTTTCACTTTCATGACCACCTCTTCCGTTCTTTGCAAAGTTTAGCAATGGCTGGGTTTTCATCTTGCAATCCATCGCAGTGGTTTGCCGCCGAGATGTGAACAGGAAACAACACAGAGGAATGGCCAAACTGCTCTGTTTCCTGCTCATTTACATTTAGGAATATCTATGGGTTCCAAAGTGGGGAAAATAGAACATTCGATAAGGTGTAATAGGGATATAGGGCGAGATTGTCTATACCTATTTTTACACAGCTGGATGGAGTTGTTGGTAAGCATTTAGCATCTCCCGTAACTTTGGCCTTCCCGTAGATAGCTGAACGCTTGGCTTGCATAACCACAAACCAGGATAGAATGCGGTGCCGATTACGTCTGGAAAATGCACTTTGCAGCCAAGGCACTTGCATGGTTCGCGAGCTCAGAGCCTCAAGAATGATATCGCGTCAACACTGCGCTGTCAGGCAGGTCGGACATGTGTCAGGCTGCATGCCAGACATGGACGGCCAGCATCAGACTGCGTCATAATTGGGGGTCCTTTGCTGCAGTTTATTCGCTGCTGTTGCAGAGCGCTTATAAGCAGGCCATGTTCGATTTGCTCGCAAGGAGGGCTGAGCACGCCTCATAACCGCAAGCGTCAGCGGCTAACGTAGCTGTCTAGGGCTCAGCCTTTGGAGCCTGGCTCCCTTGCGGCGGGCTCTCTCCGTGCGCCATTTACCATGGCATAGGCGGACTTGGACATCGTTCTGCTCTTCACTGCTGTGTTCAGGCGTGATTCGCGATTAGGCTGCTGTCGCCGCGAGACAAGAGCGGTCTGTGGAATCGGCGCATTGGCCAGCCTCTCACCGACCAGCTCTGCGCAACCAAATCCTTGCGTTCCAGCCGCACGGGCGGTGACACTATCGCGTGGCGCTCCGGGAGCTTCCTAGTCCCAGATGACCCCCGTCGTGGTCTGTGTCGTGTTGACTCTGTCTGTGGGATGGAGAACGTGGCTGTGGTTCTGGCGCTGACACGTATCGGGCATGTAGCTTCGCGGTTTGACGCCGTATTAGCGACGATGTGGTTGGACGTGTCTGTACTAGAGGAATCACGCGGGCGGGAAAAAAAAAAGAGAGGCAGAGAGAGACAAGTTGGTGAGAGGATCGATGTTTGAACACCAGCGACTCTCTCATGACCTCTATAGTGGTGTAACCGCAAACTGCGTCCAAGTGTTGTTGTTATGGAAGCTGAAGGCGATTGATGTCATGGAGAGCTGGAGCAAAGGCTGAAGGGATTCCAGGCAAGGTGAACAGGAGCCCTTCGGTGACTGTTCCGACCCCTGCATCGCCGCATGGAATCTGCCATAGTTGTACATGTATGCACGTCGTGATTTCCATTTCTCGAGGCTCAACTCGCGCGCTTTGCTAGCATCTGCTTGGTTAGCGACTGATTGCGTGCATAATGCGCCTCACGATTTCATGCATCGCGCCGCTTCACGGTTGCCATTGGCCGGGACAGTGGCTGAGCCGCGTTGGGCGTGATGGAGGATGGAAGAAGCTTCGTTTTTTGCCTGTTCCGAATCTTTTCTGTTAGGGGAGTGCCTCCAGCATTCGCCAGCAGCACAGCAGTGGAATCAGCGCCCGGATGATTCCAGCGGACGCAGCTGGCAGAGGCCCCTGTAGCTCCTGTAGCCCCCAAGACTCCCGTCTCTCCGCCAGCTCCTTCAATGCCTCATGGGCATGTGGCGCCAAGTGCCGGGCGCTGTAGCGCTTGACTTGCAGTAACACCGAGCACAATTCTCCGTGCAGCGCTCAATGCTACCCGGATTGAACCCCTCAGATTTAGGCAGTTGGCCGCTGAGCTGGGGCAAGGGCGCTAAGTCGCTGCCCGTAGGCTATGCCGCGCCGGACCCGACTCCAGCAGCCCCCAGCGCCAAAGGCGGTCGAAAACCGCCACGCTCAACCTTCTCAGAACCTTCTGTGAACCTTGGCACGAGGCAACGTCTCCTCAACAAGGCATATTCGCCTCGCTCCCTATTTAATATCCCTCCTCCCCTCCACCTCCCAACTGACTCAGCGCCGCATCCTCTGGTTGTCTGCAGAAATGGTTGTGCGACTGCTGCGATACTCGCCCCTCATCTGGTCCTGAAACTCACGAGTAATCTTGCGTGCACGCCGTCCGTGCCTTATTCGGTCGCCAATCACTGCCCTAGTGCCTGACGCAGGACCCTTCCACGCCGGGCTCTTATTAGCATCTGGCGTCTGGCATTTCAAGCGACCGGGGTTCAGCGAGACTATATTCCTGCGCCGCTGCCTTCGTAACTGTCGCCGGATGAACACCGTCCAAGGACATTGCCGGATCGAAAAGGACCTGACGGAACGCACGCCCAAGGAAGGCGAAGCCACATCACAAGTCGACGACGACGAGACAGAAGCCATGGGTGGAAAAAAGAGAATCCCCAGCCCAGATCAGCTCCGCGACTACAACTACGCCGTGGCTGGACAGTGAGTTTCACGGCGCGCAAGAGCGAGATGGAGGGAGAATGCTAACCTGCTCCTGCGCGGCAATAGTGCGGGCACCCTGTGCGACGCCGATGGAGAACTCTTCATCAAGCCGTGTACCCAGACCGAGATCGATTTCTACCAAGCCGTAGAGACAAATGGCTATCGCGACTTTGCCGACATCATGCCCCTCTACATGGGCGAGCTGCAGCTGACTCCCGCCGACGTGCCGATCCAAGAGGCGCTCATGGGCGTCATCGCGAGCGACGGCAACTTCAAGACCACCAAAGAACAGATTGCCGCGACGATAGCAGAGGTCGTGGACCAGACAACATGGGTCCCTACCCAGGGCAAAAAGATCAAGACGGACAAGTCGGTCGTGCTGGAGAATGCCACGTATGGCTACAAAAAAGCAAACATCCTCGACGTCAAACTTGGCCGGCGGCTTTGGGCGGACGACGCCCCCGCTGAGAAGAAGGAGCGCTTCGATGTCATCAGCTCGCAGACGACGCACGGGAAGCTGGGCTTCCGCATTTCGGGCATGCGAGTATATCAGGGCTCGGAGGATGAGTCAACATTGGACGAGGAAGGCTACAAGATCTACGACAAGGACTTTGGGCGCGTGACAGTCAACGACGAAAACGTTGTCGACGCATTTCGCAAGTTCGTCTTCAACAAGGCTGCCGGCATCCACAAGGCGTTGGGCAAGGCTGTCTGCTCCGCCTTTGTCCGAGACCTGCAGCGAATCGAGGATGTCCTGACAAGCCACGAGACCCGCATGTACTCTGCGTCTCTTCTCTTCATCTTTGAGGGCGAAGGCGTTTCGCTCGACGCTGCCATTGAAATGAACAATGAAATCTTGGACCGCCAGTCCGCTGAGTCATATACGTGCCCGCCAGTGTCTCGCTCAAACATGAGCTTGGACAGCAGAATGGACAGCGGCATCGCGTTGGAAGCCGACGACGATTACGACTTTGAAGCCGACGACGAAGATGACGACGAACTTCGACTGCCCCAGATCTACACGTTGAAGCTCATTGATTTTGCCCACGCAAATTTCACTCCCGGCCAAGGGCCCGACGAAAACATCCTCCTAGGAGTCAGGAGCCTTTTGCGAATTTTCAAAGAAATGGCTGCCGAGGATGACTAGACTCATGCACGATGGCATGGCTTTCTTTGATTGCCACTCGCGCGCGTGTATATACGATGCTGGCGATTAAGTGCGCCGCTCTTGGGATATGATACTGGCGTTAAAAGGAAGGTGGCGATGTCTGATACTACACAGAGAGGGCACCCAAAAAGGGAGGCGCATTTCCCCCTCTCCCCACTTTGGAGGAGAAACTATTTTTTTCCCTGATACCCCGGGAAGATGCCTGAGTACTGGTGTTTGCGGCGTAATAATTTTGACCGAACAGAAAAAGAGAATTTACAAGATGTTACAAGGTAGAGCATGGCTCCACATGGAGAGGTTTGGGAGGAAGAAGAAATTTTTGTTCTTTTCCCTGCGTATAACGACGATATATGACGGTTTCGGCGCAAATGGGAGTTGTCTTTTGTCTATTGTTCTCGTTGATTTTCAAGAGGTTTAGTGGTTGAGGATAAATGCAGCTTTAGAAAGCATCTTGATACAGGTACTGGTTGCTGGCTACTTAGAGGTAGCCATGTTAACTTCTATGTACATATTTATCCACGTTTGGGTAGACAATACCGATACGTTTTGTGTTGTGAATTCTGCCAGAACCCCCCAAAAGGTCTCAATTCTTTGGTATCAACATTATAGATTGGGTTTGGAATAGAGTTTTGCTGCTTTCAGCGGTTGGGCCAATATCGCAGAATGCACCCCGTAAAGATCTGGGCACCAACGCAGCGCTTTAGCGTCATGCTGGAAGACGTCAGCGGGTCGCTGCAGCCCCTGCTAGGCACTTTGGTTGCCTGCTAAGAACCTGTTAAGAGATACATGCATCGACACGAGTTTTTACTAGGGCCGCCATGTACTTCGCACCACGAGCTCTGGCCCACACGTCGCATTTCTTGCCGCCTTGCCATGGACCCTAACAGTAACAGCTCGGCTCAACGGGCTCCAGATAGACCAGAGCTGCGGGCAGAAGATGGAGCGAGACTCAGCCTTGCATCTTTTTTCCTTCTTTTTCCTTCTTTTTTTCATGTAGGCGGCCATGTCCATCCCCGGCCTTGGGCAAATCCCGGTACAAGTGCGTTTACGGTAGAATATCACTTGCAAGCTGCTGGCTGACAATTCTTTTCTTTTGTCTTGTAGGCCGCCGTTTCCTCCACACGAACCATCTCCCTGCGTCCCGCCTGGGAATGGCGATTCCAAGTATCTCCGGGCTCCTCCGTCGTGCTCAAGGTCCTCGCCGGCACAGCTGAAAAGGACGGCGTCGAGCTCGCGCTGCGCAATGCCTACACGTTTTCCGGCGTCCGGTCCAAGATCCTGACCTGGCACGGCTGCGAGCTGGAGATTGAGGGGCGGTGCGACAGCGACTCCGTGGCCGAGTACCTGAACCCCATAGTCAATCCCGCGACTTCACACATCAATCTCCATGCGCGGCTGAGCGACCTGCGTGTGGACGCCACGCGGCAGCGGCGCGAGGGGCCGAGGGTCCTGGTGGTTGGCCCGCCGAACTCGGGCAAGACGACGCTGGCCAAGACGCTGACGAGCTACGCTACGAGGCAAGGGTACCAAGTCATCACGGTGAATGCGAACCCGAGAGATGGGATGCTGAGCTTGCCGGGCACGCTGAGCGCGAGCGTGTTTGCGACGGTCATGGATCCCGAGGCGGTGGACGGCTGGGGGTCGACGCCGACGAGCGGGCCGAGCACGGTGCCTGTCAAGCTGCCCATGGTGTTCCACTACGGCTGGGAGAGCGCGGAAGAAGACGAGGATCTGTATCGTGAGCTTATAGGCAGGCTGGCGGGTGCTGTTAGTGGCCGGCTGAGCGAGGACGAGGAGGTTCGCGGATCGGGAGTCATTGTGGATGGCATAGGGGTCAGCGGGGACGGCCAGATTGGGATGGAGCTGACTGCGCATGTCATGGATGAGTTTTCCAGCAAGTCTTGACAATGGAGCGTATCTTAAGTCAACCAGCATGGCTAACTGTTTTCTCTATAGTCAACATCGTGGTGGTGATTGGGCCCGCGTCACTGCACAAGGATTTTTCAAATCGATTCGCCAACGAAAGGACGAGTCTTGGCGAGCCCATACAAGTGGTTTCCATTGACGAGTCGGACGGCGTGGTCAAGAGGGACGAGGCCTTTTCGCAGCACTCGCGCGAGGCGGTCATCAAGGAGTACTTTTTTGGAGACGCAAAGAGGACGCTGAGTCCGCAGATTCAGCAGGTGGACTTTGACAGCCTGGTGATTTACAAGCTTGCAGACTGTAAGTTTGACATGCCTTTTTTTACAACCCGTTTGATCAAATTGTTGATTATTGATGTTTAAAACCACAGATTCTCCTGATGAAAAGCAGAGCTTGGTTTTAGAAGAGCCCTCGTCTCTTATGCAGCACTGGACATTTGCAGTCATGAACGCCTCTGTGCGGGACAGCCCGGATGTGATCCGCGCGGCCAATGTCATGGGCTTTGTGTATGTGGCGGATGTGGATGAGGACAGGCGCAAGATTAAGATGCTGGCGCCGGTGAGTGGGAGGCTGGGAGACAAGCCGCTGGTATGGGGCAAGTGGCCGGAGCCGTACATTAATCTGCTGGGATAGAGTTTCAGGTGTACAGTATAATGCATAGGATGGATAGAATGGGTAGAGGTGTGATGTGTCTAGCATTGGAATTCAGTTTGCTGTCAAACGGATATCGAGGCGCAGGGAGGATGTGGTGTGACTTGTGTGTGTTGTGTATGTGGCGATTTGCTGCGAGTTTCACAATGTGTTGACAGCTGACTTGATGGGACTGACTTGGCGTTGTGCTTCCATGCCCCTTATCCTCGGTTATAGCTTCTGTGATATAGTCAAGATGCGACATTTAGATGCACGGCCAATGAGATTTTCGGGTTGCTCTGTTTTGGCTTATACGCCCCTTTTTTGTGTTATATTGATATCAGGTGGGCTCATGCCAAGTGTGCCATGTATGCAGAGAAAGGCGTCACATGTGCCTGCAGTCTTGGATCAAAAAAAGTGCAAATCACGTAATGAGAAGCGGTTTGTGAATCTTTTCTTGAAAGGGTATTTCCGGTGGGAAAAAAAAATTAAGGCATCTACTGTGCTGGAGATTGTTTCTTGACTGAACGCGCGTCAAGCCAAGACGGAGATATCTACGGATGGCGTATGCATGTAGAGCGAATCTATACAGTACTGGGGAATTGCTCCGGCCGGACATGTGCCCGGCCTGGCCTTGGTTATGCTTAAAAACCAACTTGCCACTCGCGGTGGCGCAGCTATTCAAGCTGGGAACTTGGAAGGCATAAGAGACGCTGCTTTAAGCAGTCTTCTTCTCTGCGTAGCTGTATCAATCAATGGCAAGTAACAATAAACGAAGTCCATAGCGCAAGGTCGCTCCCCATCCGGCTATTACGGAACAAGGAACAGGCGCAGAGTTCGGCGTGAGGAGGCTTGCAGGCCGTCTGTGAGCACGTGTGCCCGCCACTTTGACTTTGTGTACCTGTGTCTTGTGTGCGGGCGCGGGGATACGTAAGATTGACGGGATTTTGGGAGTTTGCTGTTGGGTGTGTGTCTGCCAAGAAGGCCGGCGTGGTGCTCGCTGTGGGTTCTGGCTGTCTTGTCTGCGGTTTGTCTTGTCTTGATAGTGATGCTTGCTGTTTGGGCAGATAAGTGCGGGGTATTGGGATTTGATAATACGAACGAGATGGGGGATGAGTTGCGTTGACGGTGGCTGTGGTGAATGTGATGATGGTTTTGATGATGAAAATGATGCCTGCTATGATGGTGGTTTACTGCGTGGCTTTGCTTTACCGGCTTGATGGTTTTAGTATAAATGCTGAGTTACCCTGGATGTGGCTGTCGAGATCTATTTGAGGCCTCCGTGGCGTAACTTTATGCATCATGGAGACCATACTACTTGATGGCGGTACTTGTTTACACGAAGCAAATCAAAATGGCATTATGAGAACTGGCGTGCAGCCACTTACAAGTATATCCTTCACTTCAGAGTGGGCTACGTCCTTGCCCTCGCCGTCTATTGGCTGCTGCTCCTGGTCACGGGCTCAGACTAATCCCGATAGCAGATCCCGGGTAAAAGAGACACGATGTACAAGTAAGATGCTGCTGCAATGACATGATTGTGCGCGGCGTTTGTGGAGGCCCGTTTGAGACGCTGATGCTGCGATGCTTGCCGTGTGCCGTGGTGTGCAGCACGTGTCTCTGAGAGCGCTTGGTTGGACGAGAATAGGTTATTATTGCTACCGTGTTGCGGATACTGATACACTAGAATTTAATAGAATCTTTTTGTGTTGATGAATTCAATATTCAGTACAATATACTTGTATACATGTACTAGATGCCCGGGTTATAGCTCCCACGTCCTTTGCCCGAGTCAAACATCACCCTCCAAAACCTAATATCAACCGCCGTCATCAGATAATAGCGTCTCTTGGCATCTTATCCAAAACCCCTTCCCATATGAAACTAGCACCGCAAAAGTGTGGATTCCAACATCGGCTCCAAAGCGGAAACAGCTTCCCCCGCGTCTCCCCTCCACACCTCGTTGACACCCCCCCAGCTTGTTCGTTTCTAATCCATCCGCAGCCTCCGTTTGATAAGGATTGTGTTGATGTAGTTTAGCTTTGGGGGATGATGGCTTTTATTGTTGAGGATATGCTAGGCTGGGTACTGTCGGCTAGGTGGTAGGTTGTACCTTTTGTGGCTTGCAAGTAATCAAGTATAAATCTGAGCAGGAAGGTTACATGTGCTAAGTGGCTTTCTTCTTTCTCTCTTCTTTTTAACCCTTTTGCCTTTTCTAGGCTTCAATTTGCTTTTTCCTTTTATTATCCAAAAGATAAAAATAAGGCTGTGTTATATAGCTAGCTATATAGTTAACCGGAACGAGTTCTTTTGCTGATTGCAATCGTTTGTTCGTTTGCCTCGTCATCCTCGCACTAGAAACAGAAAAAAAAAAGGGCAAAAGGGACTCGAGACTTGCACGCTCGCCTTCCCAATCCCACACCCCAAAAAGCAAAAACAAATCAAACCTTATCAGACCTCTTCGTGTCCCGGCTGGAAACAGCTCCCGATACCCGTTCGATGGGAGAGACCGTCATTGTCATCACGAATGGTGCAGAACACGCCAACACCTCGTCGGACTCGTCGACCCTCTCCAGCAGCCAGGACGACAAGCCGCCTATAGCGGAACCCCCCGACATATCAGCTATAGAGAAGCCGCAGTGTCCTCACACTCTTCCCGCCCGGCGCGTTGCCGAGCTGTTTGAAACCCATACCCAAGATGGACTAAGTGTCCAGGAGGCCGCCGCTCGCCTTGCGCGGGACGGGCCCAACACTATCAAGGGAGCCAAGGGGGTTTCCATCTGGGAGATTTTTCTCCAGCAGGTTGCCAATGCCTTGACCGTGGTGCTCATTGCCGTCATGGCTTTGTCCTTTGCCATCCACGACTTTGTCGAGGGAGGCGTGGTCTTGGCGGTCATTCTCCTCAATATCATCGTGGGGTATGTTGCAAAAAGACAAACAAGAAAAACTGACGCAGAACGGAAGAGACCAAGCCTGTTCATCAGTTTCCCTTATGGGGATCCATA